CCTCCATATCCTTGTAAATTACATTATATATATAACATTTTAGTAATTTACAATCCAAAACTAATAACCAAATAATTGCAGAAAGAAGTTTAACAATCTAGCAATTAAAAACCAGTATTAATCCATGTAACTGCATTAAATAATTTAATATTTTAACAATTAACATCCAAAACATGCATAGTTCAAATTTGATATAACAATGACCCTATTATGTTTTTAAAATCAGTTCTATAATAATATTATAGTCCAATAAATCGCTAAATTAATTCAAGCGATTTAGTTCCTTCCATCCGGTAACAGCGTACTAAGTTGTATACTTATTTTCTGTTTTACCCTTTAGCACCGGGCCACACACTAAGCCACAAGTCCAAATTATTAAATAAAATACTTCATCATAAATCTAAAATTTAATTTAGAATCATATTATAGCCCCTTAAATTGTCAAATCAAAATTAGACAATAAATTTCCAACCCGCCGTTAACCGTACGCAAAGTTGATAAATAACGCACTGTTAATTCCACTAATACCAAGAGGGTATTTGATGCAATTCAAGACCTTTATTACATCATAAATTATTTATTAAAAAGCCCATTAAATTTTTAAAACTGTTCAAGAACCAAAAGTGCCCAAACAGTAGCCAAAAAAACACTTTACGCATCAAAAATGAAAGAGCCTGCTCTAGAAAAATAGAGCAGGCTCTAAATTAGCATAGAGCTGGCTCTACCACCACCTTGGAGCCTGCTCTAAATAGGTGGGAGCCGGCTCTTGGCATTCCAGAGCCGGCTCTCTCTCCCCCTGCGAGCTTCCCCTCCGTTTCTGCTTCGTTTTGACCTCTGTTCCAACTCCGGCCAGTTGCAATCTTTCTGTTGGGTTTTAAAACTAATTTAAGAGTCATATTTAAGCCTAATAGCATCCCCAAGATTTTATTACAATAATTTGAAACCAATTACAGAGATTAAATGAAGCCATTAAATTAGTATGCTTGAAGAACAACACTGAAAACTAATTTAAGAAAATTTCAGTTCTCTTCCAAACCCTCTGTTCCCCTTTACCACTGAACCTAAGGATCTTATATCAATCCCAATAACATCCCCATGGTTCATTTACAGAGATTAAAAGCAATTCCAAAGACTAAAGTTACAACAGAGCAACATGCTTAAAGAACAGAAAACTGAAACGAGACATGCATGAACTGTAACAGATTGATTTTCAACATAAACAGATCATTCACATCACATATATTAAACATATATCTTCCAGTTATTGATTGGTTAAACCCTAGAGATTATCTAGGTGCACAGAACACGAGCCAAAGAGAAGGAGAAAGAGAAGAACTTGCCTGTGATTTCAGTTATGAAATCTCGGCGTCGTCTTTAAGTTTTCCGGCAATTACTGCAACACTGTCTAGCCTCCTATAACTCCGTCTCTAAACCTTACTCAACCTCCTTGATCCTCTCTGTAAAATTCCCCTCAAGCCTTGCTCTGTTTCTCTGACAACTGCTCTCTATTTCTCCCTCTGTATCTTGGGTACGTGACAATGCTTTTGTATTCTAGAACCCTAAATCCATACACTGTTCTATTTATATATAGAGACGTAAAATAAACCCTATTGCCTGTACGTGTAGAGACAGAGCCCTAATTATAATCCCCGTTGGCCCATAACAAAACCTACGTCGTAAAACAGTGTCGGCTACATACGAACTCCATTATACAATTAACACTATAACCTAATGCAATAAATAACACAAAACAAATAACAAATAATTAAACAAACAATCAAAATACAACAATTAAAATCATTAAATAAAACAAACAAAACAAAACAATTAACAAATAAGTCAAATTCTAATTAACACAATTAAACAATTAATTAAATAAAATGCAACCAACACTAAAATAAATTCCAAGAATATCCTTTAAAAATTAAGGGTATTACAGTGAATCAAGATACTATCCCAGCCCGATTTCTGACAGATGAAGCTATGTTCTTCAACTTGTTTGCTATGGCAAATCTGGGCTATTTCGGGAAGAAAGATGAATTATCTCTAGAGCGAGCACAAGTACTGCATTTTCTTGCCAACAATAAGGATATTTTGCTTAACCACTCTATTGTGCAGCTTATTATTGCTCATTACAAGAAAAATTCTTGCAAGTAATCTTCTCCATTTCCAATGATCATCATGGAAATTCTAAAAAAGAAGAATGTGCTGATTCTTCCAAGAGCTAATCATAAGCCGATAATGACTAAATTAGATCCTCGTGCTTTGAACAAATCAAAGACTACTAGGAAGAATGCTAGAAAGGCGAGGAGATCTGTTAATGAGGGACCGTCACAAGTTTCAGACATTACTCAGCTATTTACTCCGAAAGGGACTTTCATGAAAACTGATTCCAATATCATGTACTCCCATCTACTTCAGCATTAGAATTCGTTGTTTGAGAAAATAATGGTTGAGATTCGAGATCTCAAACTACAGATGACTCAGCTGAGAGGACAGCCATCTGGGGTTCCGGATGAGGATATTTACAGGCCTGTACCTCCAGATCCGTCACTGCAAGCTAACAATAAGGAAGATGATAAAGATGAGGATGAGTATACTGATGAAGATGATGAGGATGAGGATGAAGAAGAGAGTGGCGGAGACTAGAGATGATATTTCTTATCTCTAAGTGGTTGAGGGAACATGATGCTGCTTTTAATGTTAATTTCTCATGCATCATGACATCATGTTTTGTTTAATTATTGCACAACTTGTCTTTGTCTTTGGATATTCCTAGAATACGCTTTCATAGACTTCACTATGCTTATCTAGAATATGTTTTACTTGACTTCTTTGAATGGGAATTCTCTGTTCTATTTTTTGTCTTTACATTTTGTCAATTTGTTCCAAAAAGGGGGAGATAATATCATATACTCAATCTGATGTTAATGGGGGGATAAGATGACTTTCTTTCGAAATTTTTGGATATTCACTTCAGGGGGAGTTCGTATAAATTTTTATTTATTAAACTTCACTGGCAGTTGTTGCTTGATAGTGTGCAGGAAACAGGTCAAGCCTTGAATCCATGAAGAATAGCGACAAACAGTGTTCCTATTTTGTGTTTTGGATTTTAAGCAAATAATATAATTTATTTTTCTGCTTTGGGTAGATTGCAAAAATTATTTTTAGGGTTTTGTCACGAAATTGCCAAAGGGGGAGATTGTGAGATTTTAATTTATTTTGGCAATTATCGTAGACATAACAAGTCCAAGTTGCGTTGTAATTTAAATTACTTGTTCTACAAGTCATCAAGTTCGATAGGGATTACAGAACTGGGAAGGAGTTCAAACTTACCATACTTGAAAATTTTGTGAAGAAAAGGGTAAAGACACTACTTTAGGAAGGAATATGAACAAGGTTGGATATTCTACACTTACCATGTTGGTCTGAACTTCCTATAGAATGCAACAAGGCTGAAAGAATTCGAATATTCAGGACTGCCAACCTTGAACCGGTTCAGCTTCCTTGAACCAGTTCAAGATGTCTTGTTTGCAACATAACTTTAGTTTCCTTATTCTGAATTGTTTCCCAGTTGATCTAGAATTGTACCAAATCCTTTTCACGAATTTTTCCTTATTTTCATAGGGATTAGGTCTTCTATACTCTATATAAACCATGTCATATACATTGGTTTATTAACAGCTTTTAATCATTATTCATATATCATACAAAGCCTTAGGAAGTTTATCCCTTTTAGAAAATCAAAGTTGATTTTTCTGTTGTCTTCCTAAAATATACACATATTCACCTAGTTAGGTTAGAATTGTGGAGTTCGAATCCTGATCGTGATCATACGGTCGTATTAACATCGATCAAACAAAGCAGATCTTCTTCTACATCATTCAGATGATTGAAGAACAGAATTAAACGCAGTCACACTTTGGAAGGGTTGGAGCATTCGCGGAGTGCTGTCTGATCTACTTGCTACTCTTATACAAATATCAAGTATAAGCCTGAGGTCGAGTTGCTGTTAAACGGGGAGTAGCAAAGCCAGAGGATCGTCAACGGTTAGTGTGGTGTAGAACGATAGGGTGTGAGCCAGAGTCAAATTTCGGTATACTTTGTTTCAAACTTAGTAGATTGGTTTACTTTGGACTGCACAAGTCCATGAGATTTTTCCCATCATAGTTAACGTATTTTATCAACTGGGATTTCCTCGCTAAAATCCTGGTTTTATCTCTAACTTTATACTTTGCTTTATTTTATCTGCATGTGATTAACTGTTTAATTGTTAAAATAAGTAAAGTTGGTAACGACACAGATCTGTTTTACAAAACCTAAAACTTTCCTAAATACATTCCGCTGCATACGATTCACATAATTTTCTTATAAGAGCTGTGCACCGGTTGTAGAGGATGATGTTATACGTGCACGGTTCATCCGATGTAATACCATGTAGAGTATAATCATTAAATAATTTTTAACTATTTTACATGTACTTTACCAGTTTTTGCACAAGCTTAATTGAATCTTACAAGCATAATATATATATATATATATATATATATATTTCACCCCATGTCCGAAGATTAATTGAGTAACATATATATCTTTAACAACATAAATGCGAATGCACGTATATTTCACCCCATGTAACCCTTTACTGGGCTGGGCTTCAGTTATGGGTCCTCGGTGCCTTAGTTTATTGGATAACTTAAGTTGATTTGGTTTGCGTTCAATAAGATTTGGGTTGAGTCGTTGAGATTTCTAATCCGTAGCCAATTCTAATCTCAATTCTGCAAAAAGTTTTAAGCCAGACCCAACCCAAGCAAAGAAGAAGAAGATAAAAAAAAAGTGGTCCATATGGTTGAGAAAGGCCTTATTGTTATTGGGCCTGTGGAATTTGCTCTCAATATACAGTATAGAGTATTAATACAAACTCCATTAATACTGTAATATATTAATATCTGCGGTGGCGGTTGGTCCATTAATTTCAGCCATTCTCTGCCCTCCTCTCTTATTTGCCATATCAGGGCAGCCTCTTAACTCATTCTCTCTCTTGCTCTCAGTCTCTCAAAAGAGCTACAATGTTGCCCAACTCACTCACTACTCTTCAATTCAACAATGTCCCTTCCACTTCATCAATCTCTTCTCTCTCTACCTTCTCTCTTCACCCATCATCTCTTTCATCATTGTCTTCTTCTTCCTCATCTTTCCCCATGCCATCTCCTCTTTCCAAGCTGCATCTATCATCACTTCATGTCCATGGAAATACCCATTTCAAGACAAACCCTAAATTCAAGGTCAGAACAGTATCTTTCTAATTATGTATGCATATTTATGTTTGTGTATATATTTCTTAATGGGTCAGTATTGGCATGTTATAATCTTTTAGATTAAGGAATTAGAAGATTGGCGAAATTCTGAAAAGATTAGGTGATATTACTTTATCATATGATTCATATATATATTTACACATTTATTGCGTAATCTAATTTCAATTAGTACGACAATGTAATTGATCTAAGCTCTGCTCCTACTTTCTCTCTCTTGTGTATGTTTCTTAATTGGCAGGGTTTGAAAGTGTTGTGTTCGCAGAGTGAGCCATTAAAAGTGATGATATCAGGGGCTCCGGCTTCAGGGAAAGGGACTCAGTGTGAGATGATTGTTCAAAAGGTGAAATAACTTTCTTTTGTAGTAGTCATTGGTTTCTTCTTTACTTATATATTTTTTCAATAAATTAAATAAATATATAAATAAAATAAATAAAAAAAACACCCAATAACTGCTAGCTACCTTGGGTGTGCTACATTTAGCTATCAAGCTTATGTGTTCACTCCAGTCCCTTTCTTTTGGGATTAGGCTTGCTCAAGTGGGGATACCTGGTTGTTATATTAGTTGCCTTCTGCTTAATGTGTGTACAAGGAAAAATAGCTTATTGCTTGACATCACACACACACACATAAAAAATGTATATATATATATATATATATATTTATTTATTTATTTATATCTGAATTGATTTCTTGTAGCCCATGGAACTTACAGATTTACCTTCATTTGTGTGTGTGTGTGTGTCTCCCTAAGTGATTTGTCTTCTGCTTTATTGCTTGCTTTGCTCTTGTCACCAAAACTGTCTCCGTGTAGATAGCAAGTTATTGAGGAATCCAGCTTACCTTTATTGAGAAAACCATACTTTATCTTTGTGTGTTTTACATCCTTGCATGATTCTTTCCTATTGGTTCTTCAGTTTGGATTGGTGCACATATCAACTGGAGATCTGCTGAGAGCTGAAGTATCAGCTGGGACAGAAATCGGAAATAAAGCAAAAGAGTACATGAATGCAGGCAAACTGGTTCCAGATGAAATTGTGACCGCTGTATGGCGTGATCTCTTAAATTTATTAATCGTTTTCTTTTCCTTTCTTAAATAGGATAGGACATGAACACTTTGTTTTACAGATGGTGACGGCGCGCTTATCACTGAAAGATGCGAAAGAGAAAGGGTGGCTTCTAGATGGGTACCCACGAAGTTTTGCCCAGGCACAGACTTTGGAAAATTTGAAGATTAGACCAGATGTGTATATTGCATTAGATGTATGTCAGTATGACATTCTCTTATTTCTGCTCTATTATTGGATTTAGGAACTTGATTGAAACTAAAAAAATCTATTTGATAGTCTACCAAATTTTTTTATAACATATTGACTGCTATAGCCCTTCTAAACAATTATTCTTTTTGTGTATAATATTCTTCTCTATGTCTAGCATTACAAGCTGGTATATCACACTTTCATATAACAGATTTATCTCGAATCCTGTATTTCTATCTCACCCTCTTCATTGGAATCAGCCTTGTGTGATGTATATGTCTTGTGCACTTGTCTTTTATACTTATAAATGAGTTTATTATTTACTTGTAAATGTTGAAGTAATAGAAGGTAACAAGATGAGAAAATTTAGAAATGTTGATAGTTGTGCCCTTTGAAGGGGAAGTTAATAGATACAAACATTAAAAAATGTCTCTCCAAACCATAAATTATATTCAAAGTAGATATCGATAGGTGGTCGTTTGTGATCGTTTAACTATCAGCAAAAAGAAAAGAATAAAACAAAGGCATTGCTGCTCGACCAGAGCTATCTGCAACGTGACACATTATTATCTTAAATGGAATTCAGGCAAAATCTCTTGCCGATTCTACTCTTTCGGAAGAATAGCTTGATTACATTATGGTAAATGATTTTGGGACTCTGCAAGTTGTAAGTAATGGAATGTAATGTGCCAAGCATAGTATTTAGCAGCTGCAGCCTATTGACTGTTGGGAACATGAAAATATTGCAGGTTTATTGGTTCACGTTAAGGTATTTATTAAATTTCAATTACTCGTAGAAAAACTAGCATTTGTCTCAAGGCTAAACTCATTATGAGGATTTTGTGGATACATGATGTAGTTCATATTATAAGCTACAATTTACAAAAGGAAAAGTGGATAAAATGGTCTCTGTATGAAGTCAGGTTTTAGTTGGCTAGTGGCTGTAATTAATATGTCGCTTTAATTTGGAGAAATATTGTCTACAACCCTTGTACACTTTTGGAATTTATTCACAATAACTCAATGAAATTTTATTTTAGAGAAGATAGAGATAGGAATTTCACATTTCTCCTGCAAAATGAGTTGGTTCTTGAATATGTTGCAAGTGAGACCTAATGAATATATATTTTATACAACTGAGAACACAGCTCAATCAAAGGAACTAGTGTATTGCTACTGTTGCAAGTGAGGCCTTAATAAATTCAAGCCACTGAGAAACAACATAACTCTACAGTACAGATCCTTGTCTCAACTATTTAAAGTTAACTACTCTTCTATCTAGGGCCTTAAATTCAGTTAAAGTACATATTACAATGTTTTTCCTCACTATCTTAACCCACAATAATTTTTTTGGCACGCCAGTGAATGTCCAAACTCATCGGTCAAACTTTAGGTAGATAAAATTGCTCTGGTGTTCCAGTTGCAATTTATGAGCCATGAGTTATCTTAGCTGGCATTTGGAAAACCTTTCTTTAACATTGCAGTTTTTGTGGTCACTGTTCACAAACAATGCGTCTTGAAATGGAAGTCATACTGGATGCGGAAAGTACAGGCCCTATGGGGTGGTAGTTCAGTGTAACTCAAGTTTAAGGCTAGCAAAATATAAATCAAGAAAATTTCTAAAGGGAACATTTGATTTGGCCCCACGTTGGCACACATTTTACAAGCAGTAAATCGTGGTATTGCTTTGCATAGATTATTAGATATTTTTGTAAAATCTCATTTTTAATCAGATCATATCAGCAAAATGTGCTCTTTCTACGTCTACTTCATATGGAGTTTCATCTTTCATATATGATGTAATTGTAAATCAAAATTCATTGTAGCAGAACTTTGAGGTCACTTTGTTTTCATGAAGATCTAGTGACCATTTGTGTTTATAGTTTCAATTTTGTGTAGCCTCTGAAAGGTTTAATTCAATTTTCTGATACAACCTTTGCAATTTTTTGTACAATTATTCTTTACTGTTCATTAGTAGAATCTCCATAAGGAATGATCTTTACAGAGATTTTATTTCTCTATACTCAGGTTCCTGATGAAACTCTAGTCGACAGATGTGTTGGTAGGAGGATGGATCCTGTAACAGGGAAGATTTACCATATCAAAAATTTCCTTCCAGAGACTGAGGAAGTTAAGGCAAGGCTTGTAATACGTCCTGATGACACTGAGGAAAAAGTATGGTTGCCAAACCTTGATAATCTAGATTTATTTTTTTCGTACTCACTCAGTGCTCATGAATTCCGATGAACACATTGTCCAGTTAACTAGCAATATCTGATATCATTTATCTAATACCTACAAATCTTTTCAGCAAATAGACCTCTTATTATGTTCTTCTGAGAAATTAGATTATTATTTTTTAGATGATAGTTTCTTATTATGTGAACAGAGATTATAGTTTGCGGGAGCCCTTGGGATACAAAGTAGAACATCGTCTTTCATACTTATCCATCTTAAATTTAAATATTATGGAAAACATTTTTTAATGTGTGTACTTCAGCATTACATCAGAACTGTGACGAGAATATACATCTTTTTGGGAGCACAAACAATACCTTCATATTGCAAATTTCTGTTCTGGAACTCAGAAATCTATTTTGTGCATCTAACCCGATTTGCTGTGAACTCCTATGGTTTGCATTTCACATGCATTTTCTTTCGTTGTTTCTAGGTGAAATCGCGGCTAGAAATATACAAGCAAAATGCTGAAGCAATCTTATCAACATACTTGAACATATTGAACAAGGTGTTTGCATATTTTAACTATATTGATATTACTTATCTTTGATTCTCATCTAAGGATCCGTGTCAATAATATTTATTTGCTTCACTTTGTTTTGATACGCAGATTGATGGGAACCGTCCCAAAGAAGTAGTTTTTGAAGAAGTAGACTCTTTGTTGTCACAAGTGCAAAAAGCAAAAAGAATGAAATCAGGTACGAGATTTTAGCATTTCAAGCATTATGTATGTTCACACCAAACTTTTTGTTAATCATTTTAAAATATGAATGTTGCTCCATTGTGACCTGGAGGTTACGGGTTCAAAACAAGGAAATAGCCTCTCCTCATGCGGAAGTAAGGCTACGTACATCTGACCCTCTCCAGACTCCCCAATGGTGGGAGCCTTGTGCACTGGGTTTGCTCTTTTAAGAGGGAGAGCTTTGATGCAACGGTAAGGTTGCTCCATTGTGACCTAGAGGCACAGGTTCGATGCAAGGAAACAGTCTCTCTGCATGTAGAGATAAGGCTGCTTACATCTAATCCTTCCTAGACCCCGCAATGGTAGGAGCCTCGTGCACTGGGTTTGCCCTTGCCCTTTTATGTTAATGTTTACATGATCATCAAGTAGGGGTCCCATCTGCTTTAAATATCTTCTATCATTTGTGCCGCTATCCCATAGCGAGAAATGACCGAGTGAGGCTGAGGATTGTTAAGTTTAGTTTCTAGAAATTCATACCACGCCTACATGCAAAACTCAATGTCAAACTTAGATTGCCACTTTATAAACCATGTAAGCTCAGCAAAACCAAGGGAAAAACAAAAAGCTGCTGCACATTCCTTTTACAACTAATTTTACGTATTACTTTTGAGTGCTGATGAGTTTTTCAATTTTGGCCAAAAAACAAAATAGACAATAAATTCAAACTTCAAATTTTCTTTTTTCCCCTTCTATCCTTGTTCTATTAGCAAACAAATGGAATGCAAAACAACCGTTAAAAAATAACTGGATGAAATTAGGCAATAATGTTTAACACATGCACAAGTGTGTGGCGAACACTTCAAAACACTTGTAATGAAGCTCAAAATAATCTTCCCCGCCACATTTCCACACAAAGAAAATCATACTTTGTATTCTGCTACATTTTGCACACACAAACATATAAAAATAGTTGACCATGGCTATTTATACCTTCACACACCCATGCAAGAACTTAAAATTTGCTGAAAGTGTGGTTCTTTCTTGATACTTCAAAATATTGCACTACACTGTTAAGTGCATGAGTGAGTTATATGAAATGTAAAATCCTTTATGAAGTTCTCATCCAAATAGATGAAAAATTATCTTAAGAACCTGAAATTTCGTCTCTCCTTCTGGTTCCCATGAAAATGGAGGAGAATCATATTTGTTTAAGGGTGTTTGTGTGTGTGTGTGTGTTTTTTTTTTTTTTTTTTGCTTTAAAAGATAAATAACAGGTCAGCAAAATGTTTAACTCTGTGGAAGCTTTACCATTTCAGTTCATAAAACGATGATAAATCTATGATTTGTATTATTATATTGTTCTTATTGTCAATACTATTTTGCGTACATATATATAGAGTGGGGGAGACACAGAGAGGCAGAGCGGAGTAAAGTAAAGAAGAGAGAGATTATATGAAAACCAGATCGAATATAGGTTAGCCTTACCGTCAATATATGTCACAAACATGGACTGATCTGAGACCTGTTTGCTGGAGCCGATACTACATCAAAATTTTAAATTAATTTTCTTTGTTTTTCTGGTTGTAAATTAGCTGATGCCTTCTGTAAAGGCTTTCTTTTAGTTCCAAGGCCTATGAGTGAAGGCTCTAATACATATGTTTGTAAGGCTTCCTTGCAAAGTAGCCAAGATTCTCTGTTGGCTTTGCATTTTAATTGCTGTCTATGCCTTCTTATTCCTTCAGTTTCTATTTTTGCTGCTCTGACAAGTAATCAGGGACTTCTTTTTTGAAAATCGAGGGGCAATTTAGGCAAGATGGAAGTCAGGGTATGCCAGACCAGGCAGACCCAACTAGAACTTGAATTAGGATTATCTACTGGTAAGTAGTAACTACTTTTTACTTCTGTATTTAGTCAAGCTTCATTCAATTTCTTCTCTGTACCAGGAAATTCAGCGCTTCAAACTGACAGCAACACAAATTGGGCATCTTCAAGTCAGGTATCTTGCTATTTATTTAAATTGAGTCTTCGTTATTTCCTATCAAATTGATATGGGATGGGTTACAGAAAATGAAAAGGTAATTAGTAGCTTTAGGAATTTCCTTTTCTTATTTTGCTTTAGCCTTTTACAGGACGGTTGGAGAGGAATTCCTACTAGGTTGAATAACATTCCTCATTCTAGGGAAATCAGGGAATATTTCTATGATGATGTGCTGCAAGCGACACAGAGAGCCATAAAAGATGGAAAAACTCGATTAAAGGTCAGATATTCTTCGTAATAGTTCTTATTGAAAACTAATTCAATACAGGGATTAGCAAATCATGCCCAATGTGAAACCATTTTATTCTGTTTATAAATCTCTGCCATTACATTCATTTGTCATAAGTTATTGTTGTTTCTAATAAATCATTCCTTGGTCTCTTTGCAACAAGTATGGGACATCATATACAAAAATTGAGTATGATATAGAATCTTGAATGGTTTTTGAAATTCCTTCTTGATGGGTAACTGAGATATTTGTTAATGAACAATAAACAACAATAAGGTAACTTTTAATATTTTTATAACTTTATAGTTTTGTTGACAAGTAGAAGATCTTTGAATAACAAATGCTCATTATTTTTCTCATATGCTTATTTTTTTCAAATTTAGTAGGATGTGTTATTATGAAAACTGAGTACTGAGTAAAAGTCATTACAACCAAAACAGAAAAGATAAGATGCCCATTTTTCTACACTACATTAATGCATTGGTAATGGAAGGCCATTATTTAATGCGGTCCTCATTAATCAAGAGTTTTGGGAGGGGCAAATTGGGACAAATATAACCTTTAGCATTATTTGCACAAAGTGGCTGCCGTTTGACTCAAATCCACATTATCATATTTGACAGCGTGAACTTTTATCACTATAATAAGCAATCACAACCTGTTCGGCTCGCGAGAAAGTGCTGGTTCCACTCTCCGAAAAGCGTGGAATGGTGGATGGTGGGATAGAATAGTGTGGGTGTGCGGGCGTGCCAGGAACTCCTGTAGTTCCAAAGTAGAAATCCGAACAGTAATCCAGTTGGAAATTTGTAGGGATCAGGCGATTGTACGAAGGTCTGGAATGACCACCTTCGAAGGGTCTTTTTTGCCTTGAACAAGGACTTCAAACTATTCTATGGCTAATGGAAATGAAGACGGTATTGAAGGTGCAAGGCTGGAATTTAAAGTAATTTAAAATGCAGGACTGAAAATTTAGAGACATGGAAATGCAGTGCTCGGCTGACAGTAGCAAAAGGAGTGCTGGACTTAACTCAAGCATTACGAGAATTCATCGCATGGAATGAATGCTATACAAGATAGCAAAGTGTTGGACTCAACTTAAAATGATGTACATTCATTGCTGGAATGGAAATACATATACTAGCAAAGTGCTAGGTTTAGACATAGTGCAAAGTCATTGTTGAAATGAGAGATACATGAAAGCAAAGATGCTTGTGTTGAAGTGTTGTTTGGGCTGAGCAGGCAGGGTTTGCAAACTAGCCTTAAATGCTTTATTTATAGAGCTTTCCATGCATGCAGCAGCTTGATGTGGCAACTCCAGTAGTTTCCATGTGGCCAAATTTCAGACTGCCAAGTGCCCTATGTTCTCTTGGCAGTTGTAACTTCTTTTCTTCTATCATCTTCTTGCTCTTTATTTCCTTTGATGCACAACTCCAGCCATGTTCTCCACAGTCTTCCATGAACTTGTATCGTGGGTGGTTTTTGAAATGAATTTTTCACTTGTCTTCTTCACAAATTGACACACGTCCCACGTCTTTATGTTCCTCTTCCATCTCCTGCGAATTCCTTCTCCAATTTAGACACGATTTAACCATCTTAACCCCATCATCCATAATCTACGACAACCGTTTTCAGTTAGTGGTAGTAGTTGCATGAAACACCACCACTTTCAACTGATGCATTCGTGATGAGTCAAGTATCCCATGTTCCCTTGTGGTCTTTCCTTCTGCAGAGTCCTTTCTTCTGTATAATTTCTATATATATCATACATGTATATAGAAATTATACAAACATCCACGTTCCCTTGGCTTTAGGTAACCTCTTCTAGTTGGACTTACTTCCTTTCATGGCGTCGTGTCCTCCAAAATTACAGCGGCATCTTCTCATCGTGGATGTATATATGATATAACATATATATATATATATATATATATGTATGAATATATATATACATCCACGATATAAGTCATTGCCCATGTTCCTTTTCCTTTGCGACCCACACTTCCTTGACTTTGGTAACTTCCCTTAACCAAACTTCCCTTCTTGATTCTTAGACTCTATGACGCCATGAACTTCTAAATTTCAGCATGCTTCTCATTGGCGTCCTCAATTCCTATAACTTCCCTTCTTGAGACTTTCCTTCCAAGTTCAGAGTTTATGGCGTCGTCACGTCGTGGCTTCCTTCAGAATTTCAGTAACTCCTCTATCCATCGTGGGCTGTATAAATATATATATATATATATTTAGAAATATATTTTATATTTCTGGAAACAATCACCCCACTTCCTCGTTGCTTGATTTTGTCAAAAGTAGTTGTTGAAAACCCCCTAGATTTTAGGAGAAAATCCAGCCCCACGTCTTGCTTAGTCAACCTTGATTTCGTAATTAAATGGAAAATATCCATTTAATTGGTATCCTATAAGAATAGGATTTTCCAGGTATCCTATAAGAATATGATTTTCCATGAATCTTTAATAAAATCAACTCTTAAAATAATTGATCTACCGTGGCAAGTTCAGTAGAACTCGCCACGTGTTAATAAACCATTGGTTGGTTGGCCTTGACTTGAATATTTTATATGAGGTTGCACTCATGATAGTGACTCTATGCCAACTTTATGTACTTTTAGGACATTATATTCAAAGTTGGCAAGTCCTAACAGGACTCACCACTTTCTTTTAATTAATAATTCCATGTGGTGGAATTTATCTTGACCAAAGGAAATTAAAACCACGTAGTTTTAATATTCCAAAGGAAATTAAATTTTGTCAGAGTTACGATCCGGCGTGACAAGTTCCATTGGAACTCGCCATGTACCTCTTCTCTATTGGTAGACCATATCAATAATTCCATGTCACACCTTCCTCTTTTGGATATTTAGAGTACTAATCCAATGTGGCAAGCTTGTTAAAACTCGTCATTTGTCATCTTTCCATTGGGCAAAAATAATGGAGTAAACACAACCATAAATGCATGGGTAATATAATGTCAAATTCACACAGTACCATCTTCATGTGGGTAGGAATTTATGAATTGATAATAAATACACCATGCATTTATGGTTGTGTTTACTCCATTATTTTTGTGGGTAGGAATTTATGAATTGATAATAAATACACCATGCACCTTTATGCTGGTGTTGGATTTTGATGTGTTGAAATCTTGTTATGAAACATTCCTTTTGAAGTGATTAACGAACTGGATTCTCCTGTATAATACTAAAAGAAAGATTTGTTTCCTTATTTGGAACTCTTTTTTCTTGCCATTTAGTAGTATTAGGAATTTAGGAGAACAGGAGAATCAATTTCCCGGACTTTAAGCATCCGCTTTCACGACATCTTCTCATGTGTTCAGTTTTACTATCTTTCCCCATGACATGGTTTCTCTTATGAGCAAAATGCAGCAACATTTTCTGTTGCTAATCAGTAATCACATACACCTAACACTTGGGATTTATTTATGGTCAAATCAGCTCAACCAACATTTTTATGCAGATAAATAATGTCATAAGTTGTATATGATCAATTTGAATAGTTGCTGTCAAAAAGAGAATAGAGGGCATTTTTTGTGTTTGGGCGTGGGTGATGGGTTGCATCAGCAATTACCTGCAATATTTTTTCTTTCGGTTTGGTTCGCTGGATCTCTCTATGGATCTCGCACAGGAGAAAGTGTTAAGCGCGAGTATTAAGATGAAAGAAACGTAAACGCTACATGACCAATTTGTAAAGGAGCAAAATTAATGCCTGAAAGGAAATTTTAAAGCAAAAATATGTAAATTAACTAAAAGAGAGAGATGTTGATGTTATAGGACCAATTTTGCAATATATATATAATTAGATAAAATTAGCTAAACTATATAAGAGGAGAGGAAAGTACTAAATTCCAGTCATCTTTTAATTTAATGCAGAATAGTAATAAATCTCTGTTATAACAAACTAAGAGATAAATTAATTTTAAAAAAAAATTATGTCAAAGTTTAAATTTGTATCTAGTTTGTTGCTCCCAAAATCTTTTGTCTAAAAGGATTAACTCTTCTAACTTATCAAAAATAAATAAATAAAGGATTAACTCTTCTGACCTTGATAAATTGACTGGATTATTTCAAATTAAAACTTTTTCTTTTTTTTTTTTTATAATTTAAAGGTGTCTTTGTTGGGTGGGTTAAATTAAAAAGCAGTGTAAAATGACACCATTTTGCGTGATCTGAAGGTTTTTAATTTTGAGTTGTGTGGCCTCTCCACAGCCACCGGCTTGATCTATGGAAAATGGCAGTCCCATGTCAGTAGTGGAGAGGAGCCGGGTGTTTAGAAAGGAAAGACCACACGGGTATTTACTTAGGCATTAAATGTAGTGTTGATATATGTTTCCCTCTCTTTATTCAATTACATAGACCAAGTGAATCTTTACATGCACAAAAAGATAAAATAGGAGAGAAGGTTTCACATGCAATCTCAGTGGTCTAAGTTTATGGTTGAGTCTAAATATGGCCAAGGGTGTCCAAAATGGAGTGTAAACAAGTCCCTTCATACAAATCCTATTACTAGTTTTGTGAGACTTTAATTTTTTTCCTTTTAACTTTATTATATGTGAAGATGTTACACCCAAGGGTTGGGTTAATATTGATTAAATTGTCATTTCAAATTGCCAGGTAGAGATCAATATCCCAGAGCTGAACCCAGAAATGGTGAGCAACTTTTTTCCTTGAGTGTCCAATAATTTGTTTAGGGTTAACCATATCTTATGATGCACAGGATGTTTATCGAATAGGTACTCTAATGGAGCTTGTTCGAGTCCTAGCTCTATCATTTGCCGATGACGGAAAGCGTATCAAGGTATCCTGGGTTGAAAATTTCATATTTAGTTAAAATTTATATATATATATATATATATATATATATAGACACACACACACACACACATACATATCAAGGCGTCCACACTTTCTGTTCTCTCAGGTTTGTGTTCAAGGGTCTATGGGAGAAGGAGCACTTGTTGGGATGCCATTGCAGCTTGCTGGAACTCGAAAGATATTGGAGTTCATGGATTGGGGTGATTATGGTGCCATGGGCACCTTTATCAACATTGGTTCTATAGGTATTAGACTAATACTATCATTCTGAGTTATGTGACTTGCCGCTTGTCATTTTCATCAATCTTCCATCTATATGTATTTCCCTGCAGATGTTGGTATTTGCATTTTAATTGACCTTCCGTCTATGTATTTTCTCTGCAGATGTTGGTATTTCTAGATTCTTTTGTCGATAGTTTGTTATTAATTTATCATGCATACCCTGAAGTATTGACTTGGATATTGACGGTGATGAAGTATATCACATATAAACATTTAAAATCATAAATTGTAGCTAAATTTTGTCTATGTAAGGATAGTTTGTCACTTCTGCTTGTTGAAATATGTTTAAAAAAAAAGAAGTAATAACAGTTGTGACTTATAGGAAAGGCTAATCTGATTTGCAAATTTTTTATACTTGTTACTTAGAAAATATACATTTTTCATTTTTATTTTTAGTCTTAAAATTTTGGTTTCCTAAGGAAAGAATCATTTAGTATGTTTGTTTTCTTCAATTTTTTGATTCATTGACCGTTTTCAATTTGTTAACAAAAAGCAGGAGAACAAGTTATATTGCTTAATATGAAGGCAAAGCCTATGTGTGTGTGTATACATTTATATATAAAGCTCAGCTGTATTCAACAACACTGCACAAGTATAATTCTATCTAACATGAGATGCTTATAGGATTATTTACTCCTCTCCACAGCTCTATACCATACTAATGATGGATAAGTGAGCACTGAAGTGTATGAATCTTCCTGGAAACTAGATTAGTGGCTACCTTATAACATTCCATATTCTGGTGAGGAAATGATGATCAATCTCCAGATGCTTTCTCTGCTCATGGAAAATTGAATCGCTGTCCATAAAGCTGAAACAAGGCACTGAAGCCAGACAATATTCATAGCTGTAGTAGCCATAACATGATACTCTGCTTCAATACTTGAGCGGGATACGGTGTTCTGTTTCTTGCTTCTTCAAGAAGACTCAGAAGCCAGAGTTGAAAGTTGGGCACTAACACCACTAACAGAATCTGTCAGAATAAGCACAGAGATTAAGCAACAACGAAGAAAGTAAAATTAAGGCACGAGATTGTATGCCAGTGTACCACAAAGATAACAAATTGTACACAAAGAGCAGTGTAATCGATGTTGAGGAGCAGCAATGGATTAGCTAATAGTGTGTACAATGGAAATATGACAGAGACGAGCACTAAAAAGCTGATCGTTTAAAGGGCCTGGAGAGGCTTATCATGGTAGCACTTGACTCCCGCTGTGGTCACAAAAAATATGGATTTGATTTCACATGTGCTATGAGGCTTACCAGCAACATAGTATAGATCCCAAGCGGACCATGTGAGGTGGAAGTTCATGCAAAGTTGTGCATGAGAGAGAGAAGGGTGACATTGTAGAAGGTTACCACTTTTGATTGTTTAGAGTGTGAAAGAGAGGAGGAAGAGATGGAGATGAGAATGTGTGGTGGTCCCCCTTTGTCAAGTCTGATGAATGCTTTCTTTTCTTTTTTTTTCTTTTTTTAATTATAGCCAAAGCTGAGGTTTGGTGATGTCATGCTGAGGTAAGACAAGTGTGTTAATTATAGTGATAAAAGGAAGGCATGATAATGACATTGTAAAGTAATGGTAAGACGACGAAGGGTAACATATTGGTTGCCTCCGTAGGGTTTGAGGAGATTATTTAATAGAATAATATAATACTAAAGTTACCATCTAGGATGGGCATAGGTTAGCAACAGAGTCGAAGAGATTTTTTTCTCTCTTCAAGTCAGGTTGCGGGTCAGCTAAACCAATTGAATGTAAGAGTGATCATGAGATTTGCCTTCAACAGGTTGGGGGCCCTGTGGAGTTTCTAATCAGGACCTTGGTGACCTTGTATGGTGTACCCTGTCAAAGCTCGAACACAGAAATCGTGAAAGTATAATGGACACAACCTGAGGGGATCCTTTACTCAATGAAATATGTATGAGTTACAATAATGGAGAGGGAGAGGGAGAGGGAGAGAGAGAGAGAGAGAGAGATGTTCTCATGGAATGTCCATTTGGACTGTTATCCCATTTTATACTATGTGGCTGGGCCCCTTGGGGGATTGGGGGGTCTCATACCCACAATTTCATAAGCAGATAGTAATTATGGTATTAGTCATTACCAAAGACTGTAGCCTAGTGGTACTTTCTCACCTTCCAAAGTAGAAGATCGAGATTTTAAGTCCCCCCATAATGGCAAATGGGCGTGTGAGTATGTTTCTTGCCAAAAAAAAATTATGGTATTAGTAATTTAGAGTTTTCTCCATAGTAACAAGTTATATGATAGAACTAGTATACAAATAGATAATGGTTACAATCTGCTATAATATTTCCTAATTTAGTAATGTCATTTTGTTGCAACTGTTGCTAAACCTATACTTCTTATATCCTTAATTTCTGGAACAGTAAGAGATCAACTTCCTGAATTGGTGTCCTTATCTACGTGTTTCATATTTTTCTCAGGTGCTGAAGAGGTGGATGAACAAGATGATATGTTTATTTTAGTTGCTCCTCAAAATGCTGTGGGGAATTGTATAATTGATGTAAGGGACTGGAGGGCAATGTTTCATTATGTTTTCTGGGCAGCACCTTTGTCTCACATGCTTTAGTCGCCTTTTTGACAAGCCTTCGTATTGATTAATGCAGGATCTAAGAGCTATGACTGATGCTGCTGGCAAGCGCCCAGTCATTCTTATCAATCCTAGGCTCAAGGTAGAGTTTCTGTATAACTTCAACTGATTTCACTTTTAGGAACTTCTTTTTAAAAAACATGAATCTGTGGTGGACCTTTAAAAGATGAATTCTTAAACACCAGCCTGTCTAGAAAGAATGCAAGCTGCCGATATAAAAAAATTCCACCAAAACTCCAGTACTCTTGGATCTCACATTTTACAGCATCCTAAGATTGCTAGTTTGCTTCCTATAAGTTTATGTGAAACTATTGTGGCTCAATTTGAAAAAAACTAGTCAAAATTTTAGTTACTTGTATCTCTGAGGTCAGCGAGGTCAGCCCTGCAACAGTTGCTGAGAAAACTTTCCATCACCACCTGCATGATTTAACACTATTTTAAAACTCCCTTTCAACCTCTCTCTCTCTCTCTCATCAAAGCATCTACATTCAGTCACATCAATTTCCTTCCATCCAGTTCCATCAAACTGTTCAGCATTCAGACTACATCCTTCCACAATCAAAATGGGAAATTATGTTGGGTTATTGAATTGGAGGAATAAAACGCATAATGAAAAATTTATAGTTATATGTAGCTGCTACTGTTATATTTAAGTAATTTTACGTTCAAATCATATTTTATAATTTCTAATTGAGAATGGGGGGCTGAAACTTGTAATCTCCGATTTTACACATGGTGAAGACTTTCGCCGGATCTCCACTGTGGATGTAGGCTTTGCCGAACCACGTATAAATCTGTGTTCTTTGTGTAGTGTGTTTATTTTTTTCGTCGTGTATTGTAATTGTTGCTTGGTTCGCTGCGTTTGTCGTAACACCTATAAATTTGTGAATCTAAAAGTACATCATTGATTTGTATAATCTGCATTTCCTTATGTAAAACATTACCATCATTTCTTTTTCTTTCTGATAAGCAGTAAGAAAAGGAGATCATACTTCTACCACATTTTTCGACATGAAATTTCATAGGAAAAAGACCAGACCACTAGCCTTGAGGGTATGATCACTTCTCCGAGAGTTCAGGCCCCGCGAGGGGCATGTTGTGTGTGTGTGTGTGTGTTTGCTTTAATTTTTGAAAAAGGAAAAAGAAGACCAGATATTTGTGTTGCACTATCAAATAGTCTATAAGTTGGAACTATCTGGTGTTGCACTACCAGATATTTGGGTAGAGAAATTTAAGATCCTCTTTTAGTACCACAGATTTGAAGAGGAGTGACGTTTATTTCTCTTCCCAACTCGATTCCTTTCTTACTCAGTTAATCCAACCATTCATGCCTCAGAAGTGAGTCCTCTCATACTGAAAGTTGGAGCATTACATCACCTGAAATTCTATTATCCTCTTTTGGGAAGGAAGGAAAGAAAAAAATGATAAGCTTTCCAAATTTTGTTGTTCTCTCTCCAAGAAAATAGAACTCAACCACAGCTAAAACAATTGTACAGTACTTAATTGATTTTTATTTTTATTTATATTTATTTTTATAATTATAATAATAATAATAATCATTATGTGCACGAGCTATTTGTTTAATATATTGACCAATTTGAAAATCCTGAAATAATCTCTCTTTATTTATTTTATTTTTTTTATGTTATGCTTCAAATCATTGTCATACTGCTAAAACTCATTGTATGCAAATGCATATCTATTCACCTGTGTTACTAATTCTGTTGCAAATTTCTTTATAACCAGGATTTACCTGGTTCCAGCGGCATCATGCAAGTAAGTACAGGACCAGTGAGTCATAAATGAGGTACATTAGTCAGTGTATCTTGGTACTAACTATGCCAAATTTCTTCAAGACTATGGGTCGAGACAAGAGATTGGAGTATGCCGCATCATTTGAAAATTGCTATTCCTTTCGGCTTCTCTATTATGCTGGAACTCAATATCCAATTATGGGTGCTCTCAGGTAAGATTGTTGCAAGTCCGGTCACTATGCAAATTGCTTGTAAAAATATAGTGAAAACGCAGATGGACTCTCTCTCTCTCTCGTACAACAGTGCATGTCATTATATATATATATATATATATATATTCGGAAATTGAATGTGGTTATATTTTCCAATTCCAAAAGGTGACTAATATGTAATGTTTTGCCACATTGATAGAAAACTGATCTTTTTTCTTGTCTGGTCAACATTTTTAGGATATAATTTTCTTCTTTCTTCCTTTTGATGTGACTAATTTGATCTTTAAGTCAATAGTCAGACAAAATTATAATCCTGTAAAGTGATATATCGTTGTGGCGAAAAACCTTTTTGGGGTAGTAGAAGTCATATTGCATCTGGATTGTTAGGAGGAATAAGAACTAAAGAGTTATGCAGAAAATAAGCATGTGGGTTATGGTATACGTATTCAATCTTGTGTTAAGTATATTAAAATTGACTAATGTATGCATTTATGCTGTTGTCCTAATGACTTAAATGAATGTTGAAACTTGAAAGGCTAATTACATACCTGCAAAGCTTCCCTAGCTAAATATTTCTCCTGGACAAGCTTTACAGTTAATAGTGTTTTCATGACTTTCAGGATGTCTCATCCTTACCCTTATGAATTATACAAGAGGGTGGATGAAGCCTCCTTTGGGAAAGAAAAGTACATCGTCCTGGCGACATTTGCAGAAAGGCCAGATGGTGATGAAATCAACGACGCGTTTGACGGAAGAACAAGGTACTAATTCATTCACAAGTTTTAGAAAGTACTTGGCACTGCACCACCTTCACATTTTAATCCAAACCATCGTTCTAATTTAATTTGTTTTGCGATGAATTCTTGCAGAAACAAAGCTGAAAAGCCCACAGGAATTTGGTAAGGGTCCTCCTTGATCACTGCATAAACTGTTCTTATGTCTTTGTCATGTTAATTTTGATCCATGTGATTCTCTTGTAGGGGCTTCTTGAGTGGCATACTTGCATAATATCTGAATAGGAAATGGAGATAGCAAAAAGATCACACGCTTGCATAATGTCTGGAATCTGTTAATGGCATTAATTGAAGAAAAACGGAAATGTGAGGTGATGAGCTTGCAATGTCTTCCTTGTAAAGAATGCAGCAAGAAAATATATTTTTCTTGAAGACCAAACATAATTTTTCATTTCATTTAATTGTAACTATAGAAAAAATCCCTTTACATTGACCATATCAAGATGATCAAAGTACAATTATATACAAGAAACTGGAATACTCTTTCGGTGACATTTAGAACTAACAAGCATATTCTCTCTATCCTAAATTAGATATCCTTTTTTATGGAGTAAAACTTTTTAAAGGGACATGTAATTATTGTATAGAATTACAAAATTACCCTTTAAAGTCTAAATATATATATAATCAAGATTGAATTTTTTTAAAATTTCTGGAAAGATGTGAAATATGCCGTTTAAACTTGATAAGGGACAAATATTTTAGGACAATTAAAAAAAACTGGACGACTGAGGGAGTACAAGATGCCAAACACTTGATAAAAATTGATTCTTTCATTTGCCTAAAACTCAAGCAAGCGTTCCTGTTGAAAAAATAGAGGAAGAGGCTTGGAGGTGAAGCAAAGCAACAGGAGACGAATCCAACATCTCCCTCCTATTCAAATCATCCGCTTTCCCAATTTCTGCACATTCAGAGGAGATAGAGTTGAAGCAACTGCAATTAGTAGTCGTCATCGCATCGATCTTTTTCTCCTTCTTCTAGTTTCAAGATCTTCACCTGTCTGACCATAGTTTAGGGGCTCGGCCATGTCTAAAGGAAGAAGAAACAAACTGGTTGCGGTGAAGGCAATCTCGTTGGTGTCGAAGAATGGTGGCGGTGGCCATTTCGAAACACACACAGTGCGCGCGCGGGGGTGTGTGAAGCGTTTGGTTGCGTCGCGTTAGGTGGAAAGGTGTGTGGATTTGGGAGTGGGTATTGGGTTGACAGAACTTAATAGGACCAGTTGTGATTGTAATCACCATCGTTGATGGCGTACTGGACCCTTTCCACTAATGAAAGGATCCTAGCTTCGAAATAAAGCCCAAATGGTTAGGCCCAAAGCCAGGCGATCGTTTTAAATTGCTGCTTACTCGACTTGACCTATTAGATTTTACCGTTTTCAACGCTGTCTCAATGATAAGCTGCATTACTTGAACAAGGAAGATATATAGCTTGCTATAATGGCAAAATCTACTTGGGCCGATTTGGGCCAAGCCTGATATCAGATCATGTGGTCCCACATGTTTGTGAGTAACTTGATTTGGGCTTGAATCAGCTCAAGTAGCACCACGCTTTGATTTGACACCAACCAAATTCAATGATTAACTGCATTTCCTGAACAGAAGAAAGATGGCTTTTGGTTAAGAGGCAATTTGGCTCTTTGATCCATGTGGTCCCACATGTTTTTGTGTAACCTGACTTGGACCGAATCGGCCGATGTAGCACAGCTCTTTGATTACACGCCGAAACATCAAAGACAAGTTGAAAATCCAAGTGAAGATGATCACAAGGGTGAACTTAGCAAGTTCTGGAGCAAATTTATATATGAGGATAACATAGATGAGGATGGTGATGCGGAACAAGAATAGATTATCTAAACCGAATAAGGTGGAGGAAACCTTTTCATTTTTAATTCATAAGAAGTAACTGTTATAACCGACTAAAGAACCTCTCTGCGTTAAAGAAGGTTGTGGAGGGTTTTGTACTACATCAAAGGTGAACATTGGATGATGGTTCACCCTCAAATGAGGCCATTTTTGGGATCCGAGTCTACTCGAACCTGCATTTTTATTACGTTAACAGTTGTTGAGCCTCATGTATCCGTTGCAAAATACTCCCTCGGTCCCCCAAAAAAAAAAAAAAAAATTTGGGAAAGGAAGTACTGTGTTAACAGTAGCTTCCAAGTGCGCATCTTTCCAATATAAATTTGCGAATCTTTTGTTACTTTCGGTGTTTGAATGATTCAGAGACGATGCAATTGTCACTTTGCTGTCTCAACATGAATTTTTGGTCACTACCAGCCAAAATGTGAAAGGGGTCGTTGTAAAGTAGCTAGAATTAGAGGACATGTCCCTTTCTTCACTCACTTAATCCCCACCCACTCTCTATCTTCCCCTTTTTTAGATTGATTTATGCATGTATGATTGATTTTTTATTTTTAAATTTAAATGCTAATCCATTGTGATTTATGCATCTAACATTTGGTTAGATTTTCCACCCCCTTAAGCACACTCGAGAAAGACAAGATTACCCTCCATTCTCTAAGGTGGATCTTTCTATCACAGGGTTAGCAGTAGTCTTTTTCATTCCATGGGTGCTCTTACGATAGAAATAGAAAGTTTTCAGTGTTGGCCCATTTATATATGAGATAAGATTATTTAGATATAAAACATAAGCTCCTCCTCCTTCTCTTTTGACTAAAGTCTAAAACAAATCTGTTTTGCCTAAAAAGATGTGTTCTTCTCAAGCAAGCCAGAGGCACACGGTTGGTTGGTGCTCTTCCTTTTTCAAATCTGCATGGGAAAACTTTTTTAAGATTTCTTTTTTTAATTTCCTTTCCAGGTCCTCTAATTGAGCATTTACTAATATTTTTATAAACTGCCATTGCATACTTTGCATGAGAGTTTAGAAACTTGTGCACACAGTTGGACTTATTTCAATTGTGTCTAGAAAATGAACCATATCAGATTAGAATATGATAATATATCTGGTTGTCCAACGGGTTAGTGATACGATGGTCTTTTAAACGGTGATGTTTAGGTATAGATAATATATTATATCCTCCGATTTTGGGACAAGTTTAGGCCTAGTGCTTTAGCATCTTATTTACAAATTTAAACTACATCTAATATATTTATACTCATTCACTTTTTCGTTTAAATTTGATGTGGGATAAATTCACCTTGTGATATTTTTTTCACCCGAATTCGTAATGTTCTTGTTGTCCCTCTGAGCCGGACGTTTGGCGTGACACCGGATTAAGGAATAGGTCTGGTTTTAATATCAATTGTAATGGGTGGGTGTTTTGCGATTCGATAAAAAAAATTAATAAAAAAAAAAAACTTAAATTATTAAATAGGGCCAACACTCAATTATATATACCTATTCACTTTCTCATCTTAATCGGAGTAAGGACAAGTTTTACCTGTGACCTGAGTTACACAGTCCTTCTCAACAAGTGTCGCTCTCATGCTCCAAACGCATTCTTTCATTCAAATTTTCTCTATTTATGACTTAATTACGTCGCCTTTGCTTCCGTTTTATATGACTAGATCTGTGACAACTAGCTACCACTTTGAAAATAAAATTCATCTAGTTTTATCCGTTTGGTGGGCATATCAGATTTATATCATTAATTGGCAATTGTGTTATGAACATGGCAAAATCTACTTGAAAAAAAAAAAAATAACTAAACTCATTTATTTGAAAATAGCAAAATGTGTGAATTGAAGGAAAGAACACAAAATTGAAATAAAAAAATTCAGTGTACTCACGGGTGTTACAGTTGCCTCCTGTGATGGTAATGAATACGGGAATTAAATTCTTGCAGAGTGCTTCATAAATGACTCTGTCCAAAGTTTCTCTGGTTATGAAAACACAGGACAGCCATTTTATGTCCTTTATGGTATATCATAACTTCTTCAGTAAGACCCTCTGATGACCCTTTTGGTCACAGCCAAAAGTTTTGTCTGAATTATGTAAAAACATTATTTTTTAGGTTAAAACTTAAGGAAAATTATACTTAGGCCTCCTAATTAAACAAATAAACGAGAACAAACTCAACCTATCACTGTAAAATAAGTATAAATTCACCTACCCAAGTTGAGTAATGATACAATTGTTGAGATTGATGTAACAACATAAAGAAAAGTGTGTGGCGTTCACCGCTTCACAACCTCCTCTTTCTTCTTTATTTATTTTTTTTTTTTATAATCGTAAATATCTAGATCAGCTTACGCGTAACTCGATTAATTTTATGAGATCCTAAAGTTAACGATTGAGTAAGTCTCCAGTAGTTCTGAGAAAATTCGAACTGATAATCATTGAGGAACAAAACCCAAACCCGACCAACTAAATTATCCTGCAAAATTCACAATCTTATTTTTTAGTCAGTATCACAGTGTTATTAATTATAGACATTTTCATTAAGTAATGCCGGGTGAAGTCACGTTACAAACCTTCCAAATCCTAAGAGCAACCTAAATTTGATTGATTATATATAATTTTTATTTATTTTTAACAAATTCAGACAAACTAAATAAGAGGACTATGCCTGTTAAGAAATCAATAAAAATAAAAAATAAAATGATTTGAAATGATGACGGGTCATTCTAGCTTTATTGTAAAGTGAGTTTGTATAAACTTTTACTAAAAAAATGTTAATTTGCTTTAGTTGTGGTATACTTGATTTGTATATGCGTTTGAGTTGATTAGGTTTAGTAAAATTGTCAGTTTGATTTACTTGTACTTGTTGCCTGATTTATAAGTAGATAACTACCTAGGTTTGAGTTAATTAATTTGTTTTTTTATTTTTAGTCTTCACATGGTAGTCAAATTTAGACAAATACGATAACAAATTGCAAGGTCACCATCAATGCATGCCACAGATTCCAACACAATGACACACACTTTTTCTTGCTTGTACAGATTTCGATACGAGGACTCAACTTTTGTATCCTTCAAGGCTTCAAATAAACAAAAGGTTTTTCAAAAAAACAAAAAAAAAAAAAAAAAAACTGTTCTCTCATGTACCCAGTTCCATATACAGTCATATGGCTAATAAACCACAACAATAGTCTATGTAAATCCCTACAATGATCTACATTATCTATACTATACACTAGCATATGCCATACATTCACTGGAATTACAAATCTTCAAGAAAAATATGAAAATTTAGTATTTTCATTGACTTTTAGGAAAGTTCATTAATTATGGATGCCTATAGTATATATGTGACGTGAAGGAACCTTACAGTTGTGTCATGCCTATAATATTCCTGTGACGTGAAGCAGGGTTGGCTCGAGCCTTAGGCGAGTTCGGCGATTGCCTGTAGCCTCCAACTAATAAGAAGGTCCTATAATTATTTATTTTTGTATATATTATAACTTTTCTAAAACAATTATAATATTTTCTTTAATTAATAAACTTCAACGTATAAAGAAATTGGACAGTTGACTTAAAAAAATTTTATTCTTTATTTTTTTTGCGGGCCACCAAATTTTTTTTTTTTCTTTATACATTATAACTTGCCTATATATTTTATTTTCTTATATCATTAAACCTCAACAAATACAAAATTTAATAGTCTGATCAAAATATTTCTATTCTTGTATTATCTTCTTTTCTTTTCTTTTCTTTTCTTTTTTCTTTCTCTCTCATCAGCATATATACACACACATTAAAATTAAATATTAAATATATATTTAAGGGAAAATTGGTGAAACTTTCTATATTTTTCTAAGAATCCTATTAATTTTTATTCTCTCTTCTTTTCTTTTTTTTATTCCTCACATATTTTTTCTCCTTTCTCATTATAATTTTTTTTTTTTTTTCATCTTCTCCACAATTACAATTTACAATCTCACAATCTCACTCCCGAAGGAGATTTTGAATATACTTATATTCTATTAAAGAATTTATTGGAGCATTAGACCAAATTATTCGAAATCAGTTTTTATTATTTTATAACTTAAATTAGTTTATAGTTTTATTAATTTTTGTTATCATAAAATTATATATTTTGTTTGTAATTTTTATTTATATTGTTAAATATGACTATTAGAAAACACATACATAGCCAATTAATTAACAATAGAACTAGAGCTTGGAAAAATTTTAATAATAAGTTTAAAAATCACTAAACAAATAATTAGTTACATAAATATATGAATAGATCTAATGAAAAGGCCACTTTATTTTTTTTTGGCCTAAGGCCTCATACTGTATTGACTATTGAGCCGCCCTCGTGAAGGAACCTCACTGTTATGTCAAGGTCAACATGAATATTTAGAATATAAAGTAGATTAGAAAATCACATCCATATAAAATTGCTATGGAAGTCAATTATAGACATTGATATTTAAGTTTTCTTGTTTATATATATATATATATATATATATATATATATATGAGCAATACTTAGGTCCTCACTAATAAGGATCTACACCATCCTCATTAGTGATGTGGACTAATAATAAATAGACATGCCATCACGAAAACGGTGATTTATTATGATGGGTAAATACACACTTATCAAATCACAACTAAATCACATTGATAGTGATTTATTATTGGTCTACATCACTAGTGAGGATGGTGTAGATGCTCACCTAGTGAGGACGGAAATATCATTCTCTCTCTCTATATATATATATATATATATATTTTTTTTTTTTCCCTGGAAAGTTATGATTGAACAAAGTTTTCAGTACAACTGAATAATCATGGGGCCGTGTGGTGAGCACAGATTGAACTAGGGCCATTATTATGCTTCTGCTCCACTCTAATAGTAATTGTTAGAACATCATTAGCACAATATTCCTCACTTTAATCCATGATTAAAGCATCACTTTGACTGCATAATTACCAATCCAATGGCAGATGACCAAACAAAACACCTTTATTTCTGTATTACTCCAATGTTTTTTTGATGATTTGAAACCATCATGTCGCACAGTGCTTAAATTCTATTTCAAGCTATTCACTGCTACCACACGTATTGGATTCCCCTTCATGAAAAAGGAAGAAAAAGATGCCTTCAGGATGGAACAAAAGTTCTTTAATGGCAAACACCATCCAAAATAAACCCACCCACTGGTCCATTCTTGCTCCCAAAAGCAACCCAATAATATTCTTATACCAACTAATCCCTATTTGTCACTCCCTTTCTTTTCCACACCTTTCACTAGTACCCATGCACTGCTCAACAAAACACACAAAACATATTATAACATGGTAATATAGTTAGATATCTTCCACACCCACTGGCCTCTGGGGTCTATAGCTGTCCCTCTTTGTTCGTCCGTCCGTCCGTCTGTGAGTTCCAATGGAGATTTCCGTGTTCATGTACTTCAACCTTGTCTTCTCTTTGATGTTGGTCGCTGCTGTTTTGGCAGTTGATCCCTATTCTGAGGCATTATTGAGCTTAAAATCTGAGCTTGTAGATGAAACCAATAGTTTGAGTGATTGGAATGTGCCTTCTGGAGTGAACCCATCTGAGAAAATCTATGCTTGTTCTTGGCCTGGTGTCACTTGTGACAAGAACTCAACTGTGATCATTGGTTTGGACCTCTCCATGAAGAATCTTGGTGGTGTCATGTCAGGAAAGCAACTCAATCTCTTCACAGATCTTATGGATCTCAACATCAGTTACAATTCAATCTCTGGGAATCTTCCTGTTGGGATCTTCAATCTCACCAGTTTAAGAGGCCTAGATATCAGCAGAAACAATTTTTCTGGCCACTTTCCTGGTGGAATCTCCACCCTTCAACAATTGCTTGTGTTGGATGCCTTCAGTAACAGCTTCTCAGGCCCCTTGCCGGCCGAGATTTCGCAGCTTCAATCACTCAAAACACTCAATTTAGCTGGGAGTTACTTCAGTGGACCAATTCCATCAGAATATGGTTCATTCAAGAGCCTTGAATTCATTCATCTAGCAGGCAATTTTCTCAGTGGCAGCATACCACCTGAATTGGGCAATCTCAAAACAGTGACACACATGGAGATTGGCTACAACACATACCAAGGAAGCATTCCATGGCAATTGGGTAACATGAGTGAGCTTCAGTATCTTGATATTGCTGGTGCAAACCTCTCTGGTTCAATCCCAAAGTCACTCAGCAATCTCACCAAGCTTCACTCACTTTTTCTCTTCAGAAACCAGCTCACTGGATTGATTCCCTGGGAGTTCAGCAAAATCACACCTCTCACAAGCTTGGATCTTTCTGATAACCAAATCTCTGGGCCTATTCCTCAGAGCTTTTCAGAGCTGAAGAGTCTTGAACTGCTCAGTCTCATGTACAATGACATGAATGGCACTGTTCCTGAAGGCATAGCAGAACTTCCATCACTTGAATCACTCTTCATATGGAACAATTTCTTCACTGGCTCACTTCCAGAGAGCTTGGGGAGGCACTCAAAGCTCAAATGGTTGGATGTTTCAACAAACAATTTCATTGGTGGCATTCCACCAGACATATGTGCAGGAGGGGTACTCTACAAATTGATTCTCTTCTCAAATAATTTTACTGGTGGGCTCTCTCCATCTCTCTCCAATTGTTCTTCTCTTGTTCGCCTCCGAATCGAAGACAATTCATTTTCGGGTGAGATTTCTTTGAAATTTAGTCAACTCTTAGATCTCACATATGTTGACCTGTCTAGAAATAGGTTCACTGGTGGGATTCCAAATGATATATCTCAAGCTTTTAAGCTTCAGTACTTCAATGTGTCTAATAATCCAGAACTTGGAGGCACAATCCCAGCAAAAACATGGACTATACCATTACTTCAGAACTTCTCTGCCTCTTCTTGTAGTATCTCAGATAATCTTCCTCCATTCCAATTCTGTGAATTGATCTCTGTGATTGAATTGAGCACGAACAAATTATCTGGAACTGTCCCAGAAAGCATTTCCAATTGTCAGGCTCTTGAGAGGATTTATTTAGCTCACAATAATTTAACAGGTCATATACCTGGAGAGCTTGCAGGCCTGCCTGCTCTTAGTGTAGTGGACCTTTCACACAACAATTTCAGCGGCTCAATACCGGTGAACTTCGGTAATTCCTCAAGCCTAGTACTTCTAAATGTGTCTTTCAATGATATCTCTGGTTCAATTCCTTCTGAAAAGACTTTTAGGATAATGGGTAGCAGTGCATTTTCTGGAAATCCTAAGTTATGTGGAGTGCCTCTGCAACACTGTCCTAACTCCAAGGAGATTCGAAATGAATTTGATTTGGGAAGCAAAAGGACACAGAAGCTAGCATGGGTTCTCATACTATGTGCAGCTGTGGTTTTGTTCATCACATGTTCAGCATTTGGGATTTTTTACTTCAGAAGGGAAAGTAAAGGCAAATGGGAAATGGTTTCTTTTATTGGACTTCCTCAATTTACTGCAAATGATGTTTTGAGAAGCCTCAATTCATTAGAAGTAGAGACAGTGCCACCATTATCAGGTTCAGTTTGCAAGGCTGTCATGCCCACAGGAATAACAGTTTCAGTGAAGAGGATCGAATGGGATGCAAAGAAATTGAAGATTATGTCGGAATTCATAAACCGGATTGGGAATGTGAGGCACAAGAATCTGATTAGATTGCTGGGATTTTGCTACAACAAGAATCAGGCTTATCTGCTGTATGATTACTTGCCTAATGGAAATTTGACTGAGAAGATTAGAATGAAGAGAGATTGGGCAGCCAAGAATAAGATTGTGATTGGAATTGCAAGAGGACTCTGTTTCCTTCATCATGATTGTTATCCTGCAATTTCCCATGGAGATTTAAAGACAAGTAGCATCATGTTCGACGAAAATATGGAACCCCATTTGGCCGAATATGGGTTCAGATTTCTCCAACAAAGGAATAAAGTTCCATTTCCAGCAAAAACAGGTACAATTGACTTGCTTCTGCTTATACAAACTACTGAAGTCTATCACAGTTTAATAGTTGTTTTGATTCAAGATTATATTTTATTTATTTATTTATTATTATTATTATTATTTTGAATTCAAAATACGAACTTGGGTCATAATTTTATAGCCTGCAGAGTCAGTTTACCATGGTTTAGAAAACAAAGGATTTCCAGGACCATGTTATGTTTTCATGTGTCAGCCTATGTGTTTTATCTTTCTTGTACTTCCAAAACCTGGTTTATTCTAATCTTAGGACAGGTAAGATTAACTTCTTTTCATGTAGTTCAAATTGTGGAGGAAGATCAGAATTACAGATTGATAGAAAAGCAAGGATATGGGCGTGTGTGAATAGGAAAAAAAATATATTATCTTTTCTACCTATAGCTGGATTTTCTATGTACACCCATCTTCAACAATAATTGATTCCCTGTTAAAAGACAAACAAATCAGAACTTTCGTGGAAAATTCGTATGTAAACAGAGTTGACAGAATGTCTAAGTAGCCTTTAGATGTGCTTTATGATCTTTTGGTTAATCACAAAGGATCCAACGAAAGGAAGCTGTCACTTGTCTCAGTACATGTAGCATGTTACAGTTAATATTCCATACGAATAATTCTTAATGTTTAACAATGTGGAATAATTTTCCTAATTCTAAAATAAAGCATAAAAGATGGTCTCAAATCTTTTTTATTTTTTTTTATTTTACAATACTGAAATGTTTATCGCATCCTATAGTGTCTGCATTTGGCGATTCTCAAAGTTTGTTTTTAATTTATGGACAGGTGAAGTTAGCACTGCCATAAAAGAGGAACTCTGCATGGATATATACAACTTTGGGGAGGTCATACTTGAAATCTTAACAAATGGTAGGCTGACAAATGCTGGAGAGAGTGTGCAGAGTAAACCAAGGGAGGTTGTTCTTAGAGAGATTTACAATGACAATGAAGTTGGTTCTTCCAATTCATTCCAAGAGGAGATAAAACAGGTTATTGATGTTGCTTTGCTCTGCACTAGAAGACGGTCCTCTGATAGGCCATCCATGGAAGAAGCATTGAAGCTTCTATTGGGGCCAAAGCCACAAAAGAAATAACACAACTTTTGAAGCAGGACCATCAACAGAGAGAGAGAGAGAGAGAGAGAGAGAGAGAGAGAGATATATATATATATATATAACAGGTAGCTTAGCTGATAAGAGTGTCTGTTTGTGTTTCATTTGGTTTATAGCTTGTTTCTGTCATAATCAAAAGAACTGTGTTGATGTATAATAGTGGCCTGTATGTTTGTGTATTCTTAAAGCATCTTGTGGAAGATCAATATTTAACTACTTTATTCATTTTGACATCTTTTTTCTTGGGTTTTATTTTCATTTTTGAAGCCCATAAAATGTAGTGTACCTACAAGAAAAAAGAAGTGACATAAAATTTTCCTGCTTATTTTTTTTTTTTTTTTGAGGATTGGTTTAAACTAGATAACCAAATCAATTTCTAACTCAGAATTTAACAAAAACCATGGAAATCCTTAATTATAGAAAAAAAAAAAAAAAAAAAAAAAAAAAAAAAAAAAAAAAAAAAACCATGGAAGATTTTTAGCTTTGTACATCTGATGCAGACCTATAATGTTTTGAAGGCCTATCATGGCATTTTACAGCAGAGCTCTACAGTAAACAGAGGGAAAACAGCCAGCTTCACGTTCAGAAATCTAGAACATGCCTATATATGTATAGAAGGCTAGTCAGAAAGTAAGAGGAACTTGCGCCATTTTACTAAGAACATCATTTTAGATTTTTTAAAAAGTGGGATCCCGACTTCCTTGTATCTAGCACAAATGACCAATTAAGAGGTTCGGAATTCTGCTAAACTCTTTGACTGGAGGTCAAAAATAATTTATCCAACTTCAATGTTGGCCAAATATAAGCATTTGATTTCAAATCAGTACTAGCAAGGACTAACAAGAGTATAAATTGATCCAGGTTCTAAATTATTCGATTAAATTAGTACTAAGGAATAAGCATGGTTCTTTTGCATTAGTAACGGGAATAAGTCATCGTGATTCGTGCAGTTTCAAAATCTATTTTCAAAATCATCAAAATAGATGAAACTTAAATAAAAAAATATATAAAAAATCCTGGGTACCACTTCATTAAATAAATAAACACACATAAACCTTAAATTAAATTTGTACAAGAAAAATTGAATAATAAAAAGTGCAGTAAATAACATGAAAATAATAATAAAAATAAATTTTTGTTTACCTTCACCTTCTTTATGATCTCTTCTTCCCCTTTGGTACCCTTTCTAAAGGGTATTGTAATATTTTGGTGAAACAAGGCAGTCCAAACAAATCTCTGCTTCATGCCAAAATAGAGGAGCATTGTGAAACTATAAGTTTTCTGTTGTAGATTGTACATAACAAATCTGGTACCACAAATTGCAAATAAATTTTCATCGTTGTTTGAGATATGCAGAGGCTTGGAGATACAACAAGGGACGACAAACTCAAATTTAGTCCAAGACTCTCTGGTGCCGTATTCCTTCATCACCCAAAATTTGGGTGCAGGCCCATCTCCAGATAGGATACAAAGACATCCTTTGACAACTCCAATCACACAAGAATGAAATGGATATGCTAATATGTTATGATCGGGTAATGGAACAGTGTTGAATTTTTGTTCAGCTAAACTATAAGAAGCCATTTTGGTCCCATCACAATTGAACCAGTGGAGATTCCCATTCAGAAACACCCCTGATATGGAGCCTGCAACTGAGAAAGGAAAATCTTGAATCCTTCTCCAGGAATTTGATCTTAGTGACTATAAAGTGGTAATGGTTTCAAAAGGAGGAAAAGAATGGTAAGAGATTTGAACAACCATGTAGTCATCAACCAATGCATCATAGGCAAGCCCAAGTGATGCAGATTCCTTAGATGGGGAGTCTGGTAACCTAATCACTTCTCTGGTTGACGGATTCACCAAGTATAGCCTAGGATGCTCTGCAATAGAATAACATAACACCAACCCACGACAACAGTTGGAGATACTCATCCACCCGTTCTGATAGTTACAGTCGAAGATGTCAAACGCTCCTCCTCCTCCTTCTCGATCATCACATGCTTCATCGGTGCCGCAAGGCGACACGAAAAGCCTGTTACAGGGAAGAATATTAGTATCCAAACCGCCGCGCGAACATGCAAGGACGAGATTGAACCTGCGGGATCGAGTGAGGTGAAGCGTGACAAAATCAGGATGTGTGAACGTGGTGAGCCAAGACTTTGATACACACTTAAACCGTACAATAGATTTGACCGGGAGCCACCATAATATCTCGATTATGAGATCGTACGGCAGTATTGGTTGTGATAACTCGTCCCCCTTCGTGGCCATAACCCCAAAATTTCTCCAAAACATGAGTTTTACAGCCAAACACCGTTTTTTTTCTTTTTGCGGGTATTCAATAATTTTTGGTAGGTTTTGATAAGGTTCCTTATTTATATTATGCTAATTAACACTAATATATTTGGGCGGGCCACCAACCCGAAAATTTTGAAACTTGGACTTTTGAATTCCCAAATCGGGTTCAATTTGGGTTGGATTTTCTCCAAGCCCAGCCCAAAATTTAAAAAGTTTTTTTTTTTAAATATCTTTCAAATCTTTGATATATATACGTAATTTGGATATATATGTATGGTATGTGTTGATCTTTGATATATATGTATATGTACGTCTTTTACCTTCTTCTTTTTTCACCTTCTAATTTTTTTTTTTCTTTTCTTCCAAATCTTTGATATATATATATGTGTGTGTGTGTGTATACATGTGAATCGTGAAGTGTCTATATCTTTTACTCAAAATTCTAATTGGTCCGGCGGAGTTAGGATTTTAATTCAGAAAGACGCATTGTAAAAAATAAAAATAAAAAATTATAATTTAAAAAAAAAATTAATGAGAAGAAGAAGAAGAAAAATGAGAAATTTGAAAGAAAAAAAAAATAGAATTTGAGTAAAGAAGGAAAATTTAACCTTTTTTTTAAGGAAATCTAAGGATATAAAATATTAGGGGGCATAAATAGAAATTTTCTTATAAATGTATAAATTAAAATAAAAATTAATATATTTTATAGTGGACAGGGCTAGGCCAGGAAGGGCATGTGCCCCCTCTGGGCACATTTATATTTAAATTTATATTTATATACATCTGATTGAAGAGACTATAAATAATATTCCATAATAGTTGTCTAATAAAAAAAATTTGACTTATTACCATCTTTTATTTTTAAGTTATTTGAGATCATTTTTAGTCATATTCATTTTTTTTACTTATATACTATCTATATCCCATATTAGATGTCTATTTGGCTAATTTTAACTTACAAAAATTGTGAGTCAAAGTTTTTGATGCGGACAACTAATATGAGACGGAGGAAGTAATAATAGTGAGACGGTCGGTGCTTTTTCTCCCCTCTCTCTTCAATTTGCTCTCCATTGGCGGCGGCTTGTGTTAACGGCTTGTGTTAAGGATTACTTCCATGTACCCTAATTGTTTTAGGATTTTATTAGAGTAATTTAAAAATAAAAATTTATTTAATAACAAATTAAAAGAAATTTTTTCTTTTACTTTTATATTTAAAATAAAATAAGGTAAGTTTTATATTTTTGTATTAATAAAAATATAATTAGAGTTTAAAAAGCATAAAACTTAATAATTGAATATTTTAGTGTCAATGATGTTTCAAATCGGAAAAGAAACAATGTAATTTGCATATTTGTTAGTAAGAAAAAAAATAAAAGGAAAGAAAAAATAAATAAATAAAAGGAAAGGAAAAAAAAAAAAAAAATTCAGAACTTTCAGAACTTTGGTGGAAAATTCATAATTGATTCCCTGTTAAAAGACAGACAAATCAGAACTTTCGTGGAAAATTCATATGTAAACCGTTGACAAAATGTCTAAGGGCTCGTTTGCCATAGCTTTTAAGTAGCCTTTAGACAAGCTTTATGAGCTTTTGGTTAATCACAAAGGGTGCAACAGAGAGGAAGCTGTCACTTGTCCCAAAGTGGAATAATTTTCCTAATTCTAAAATAAAGCATAAAAGATGGTCTCAAATCTTTTTTATTTTTTTATTTTAGGATACTGAATTCTCAAAGTTTGTGTTTAATTTATGGACAGGTGAAGTCAGCACTGCCGTAAAAGAGGAACTCTGCACTGCATGGATATATACAACTTTGGGGAGGTCATACTGGAAATCTTAACAAATGGTAGGCTGACAAATGCTGGAGAGAGTGTGCAGAGTAAACCAAGGGAGGTTGTTCTTAGAGAGATTTACAATGACAATGAAGTTGGTTCTTCCAATTCATTCCAAGAGGAGATAAAACTGGTTGTTGATGTTGCTTTGCTCTGCACCAGAAGCCGGTCCTCTGATAGGCCATCCATGGAAGAAGCATTGAAGCTTCTATTGGGGCCAACGCCATAAAAGAAATAACACAACTTTTGAAGCAGGACCATCAACAGATAGATAGATAGATAGATATATATATATATATAACAGGTAGGTTAGCTGATAAGAGTTTCTGTTTGTGTTTCATTTGGTTTATAGCTTGTTTCTGTCCTAATCAAAAGAACTGTGTTGATGTATAATAGTGGCCTGTATGTTTGTGTATAGATCAATATTTAACTACTTTATTCATGTTGACATCATTTTCTAACTCAGAATTTAACAAAAACAATGGAAGATTTTTAGCTTTGTAAATCTAATGCAGACCTATAATGTTTTGAAGGCCTTTCATGGCATTTTACAGCAGAGCTCTACAGTGGGAAAGCAGCCAGCTTCACTTTCAGAAATCTAGAACATGCCTATATATGTATAGAAGGCTAGTCAGAAGGTAAGAGGAACTTTGTGCCATTTTACTAAGAACATCATTTTAGATTTTTAAGAAAGTGAAATCCCCACTTTCTTGTATCTAACATAAATGATCAAACATAAATGATCAATGATCAATCAAGAGGCTCGGAGTATCACTACTCTTTGACTTATGGTCAAAAATAATTTATCCAACTTTAATGTTGGCCAAATATAAGTATTTGTTTTCAAATCAGTACTAGCAAGGACTAATAAGAGTATGAATTGATCCAGGTTCTAAATTATTCGATTAAATTAGTACTAAGGAATAAGCATGGTTCTTTAGCATTAGTAACGGGAATAAGTCATTGTGATTCGTGCAGTTTCAAAATCATCAAAATAGATGAAACTTAAATAAATAAAAAATCCTGGGTACCACTTCATTAAATAAATAGACACACATAAGCCCTTAAATTATATTTCTAACAGAAAATTTGAATAATAAAAAGTGCAGTAAATAACATGAAAAAAATAAAGCAAAAAGCAATTTTGATAGTCAAAAATAAAAATTTGTTTACATTCACCTTCTTTATGATCTCTTCTTCCCCTTTGGTACCCTTTCTAAAGGGCATTGTAATATTTGGGTGAAACAAGGCTGTTCAAACAAATCTCTGCCTCATGCCAAGATAGAGGAGCATTGTGAAACTGCATATATCTATAAGTTTTGTCTTGTAGATTGTACATAACAAATCTGGTACCACAAATTGCAAATAAATTTTCATCATTGTTTGAGATATCCAGAGGCTTGGAGATATAACGAGGGACGACAACAACAAATTTAGTCCAAGACTCTCTGATGCCGTATTCCTTCATCACCCAAAATTTGGCGGCAGACCCGTATCGAGATAGGATACAAAGACATCCTTTGACAACTCCAATCACACAAGATTCAAATGGCGATGCTAATATGTTATCATCAGGCAATGGAACAGTGTTGAAACTTTGGTCAGCTAAACTAAATGAAGCCATTTTGGTCCTATCACAATTGAACCAGTGGAGATTCCCATTCAGAAACACACCTGATATGGAGTCTGCAACTATGAAAGGAAAGTCTTGAATCCTTCTCCAGGAATTTGATCTGAGTGAATATAAACTCGTAATGGTTTCAGAGATTTGAACAACCTTGTAGTCATCAACCAATGCATCATAGGCAAGTCCAAGTGATGCAAAACCAAGTTTCTGAGATGGTGAGTCTGGTAACCTAATCACTTCTCTGGTTGACGGATTCACCAAGTATAGCCTAGGATGATCTTCAATAGAATAACATACCACCAACCCACGACAACAGTTGGAGATACTCATCTTCCAATTCTTATCGTTATAGTTGAAGATGTCAAACGCTCCTCCTCCTCGATCATCACATGCTTCATCGCTGCCACAAGGCGACACGAAAAGCCTGTTATAGGGAAGAATATTATTAGTATCCAAACGGGGGCGCGGATATGTAAGGACGAGATTGAACCTGCGGGGACGAGTGAGGTGAAGCGTGACAAAGTCGGGATGTGTGAACGTGGTGAGCCAAGACTTAGATACACACTTAAACCGTACAATAGATTTGACCGGTAGCCACGACAATATCTCGATTAGGGCATCGTACGGAAGTATTGGAATGATAACTCGTCTCCCTTCATGGCCATGCCCCAAATTTTCTCCTTGAATTTGAGTTTCACAGCCCTCCACAGTTTTATTTCTTTTTGCGGGTGTTCAATAATTTTTGGTAGGTTAGATATCCTTATATATATTATGCTAATTAACACTAATATATGGGATGCAATTTGGGCGGGCCAACCCGGCCCAATTCGAAAATTTTGAGACTTGGCCTTTTTAATTCACAAATCAGGTCTAATTTGGATTGGGTTTGGAATCCAATCGTATTCGGGTTGGGCTAGGGCTCGACTCGAACCCAGCCGAAAACTCAAAATTTAATTTTTTTTTTAAATATCTTTTAAATCTTTGATATATATGTACGGTGTGTGTGTGTACACGTCTTTTACCATTTTTTTTTTTCACCTTCCAATTTTTTTTTTTTTTTTCTTTTCTTCCAAATCTTTGATATATATATATATATATATGTGTGTGTGTGTGTGTGTGATTGAAGAGACTATAAATAATAATAAGAGTGAGGTGGTTGGTGCTTTTTCTCCCCCTCTCTCTCCGATTTGCTCTCCATAGGCGACGGCTAGTTGAAAATACATAAAAATTAATAATTGAATATTTTAGTGACTATGATGTTTCAAATCGAAAAAGGCACAATGTAATTGGCAAATTTGTTTGTAAGAAAAGAGAGAGAAAAAGAAAAAAATAATAATAAAAATTGAACGGGTCAGCCGTCCAGCCCGAACACACTCCTATTTAATAGGTGCCAAATCTCAATTTGAAATCTTTTAAGTGTTATTTTTGAAAATCTAAATTTATATATATGTAAAAGTAAATATAACCCATATTTTTATGGTTAGTTTTTAACTTTTTATCCTTTAATATTAGTTGATGGTACCCAAATCTTCTCCTTGTTTTACTATTTTTGAATTTTAAATTTTTTCAACACTTATATATATGTATTTATATAGAGGCCTACCAAATTCATATATATATAAAAGTAAATATAACCATATTTTTATGAAAAATAATTTTCAAGCTTAAATCTTGCCGATTTGTTCTGCCAATTAATTTTTATACTTTAATACTAGTTGTAGGTACCCAAATTTTTTTCCTTATTTTACTATTTTTGAACTTTAGATTTTTTGTCCACTTATATATAAAGTAGGAAAAGATACACGTGGTGAATGTTTTGTAACTTACAGAATTTTTATTTTCATACATATTTTTTATTATTGTTAATTTGAAGTTTGTAACAATACACCTTACAAAAAATTTAAAAATATTATAACTCTTTTTATATTAATTAATAAATATATTTTTTATATTAATAAATAAATACTAAAATATTTTAAAATTGGTGGTAGAGTTTGAGTTTTGTAATGCAATAAATTATTTTAGGTTTTTATATTAATACTAAAATATTTATTTTTTATTTTTTATTAATTAATAAAAAAAATTATTTTAATACTGAAATTGGTGGTAGAGTTTGAGTTTTGCAAAGTAATAAATTCTTTTAGGTAATTTGAATTTTATTAGATAATATTTAAAAAATTATATATATATATATATATATATATATATATATATATATAATAGTATAGATTTGAATTTTATTAGGTAATTTGTGAATTTTATTAGTTTATTTGAAATTTAGTATAATTTTAAATTTACAATAGAAATTCAATTATATTAATTTTTAACTAAATTTTAATATAGAAATTCAATTATACTCATACATTAGATTGAAATTGATATAAAAATTTATTATATCGAGTTTTTGGTTTTTTGGAAGACCCTAGGTTATATTTTATTTTCTTTAAATATATCCTTGTGTAATGTGATAGAGTTTTATAGAAAATAAAATAGGTAATTTATAGTAGATTTTTATAAAACTTATTTTATTTTATTTAAATATATCCTTGTAAAATTAGATTTTTTTATATTAAAAAACTCATAATAAATAGATAAATACATGTGTCATATGTGATAGAGTTCTCTTTTTATATTAATTAATAAATATTTTTATATTAAAAAATAAATGCCGAAATTCTTTACACTTTTATTGTAATGTTTAAGTCTTTTATATATGTGTGTGTGTGTATATATATATATATATATATATATATATATATATATATATATTAGTGGAGGGACCCACAGTTTTGTTTTAAAGTGGTCATAAGACCACGTTTGTGTTTTGGTTCTCTGTAATCTCAATTCACTCTCTCCCGCTGCCTGCTTCTATCTTCCTCTCTGTTTTATTTTTTTTTCCTTTTTCCACTTCAAGGTTTCAATCCTTGATTAATTCCTTATTTCTTAGAATTTTTAAGTGCCGTTTGCTACAAAACGGAGAGCACGGCGAACTCTAAACGTGTGTACCAGCAATTTCAGTTTTGAGCAACTTTGGGAGTCCAAAAATTGAAATCCATTTTGAGGGTTTGAGGTGAAAATTGGGAGTTTTGCTTAAAAGTGAGGTAGGGGTTCCTAATTCATGATATTCTTGCTCCCTTATGAATTATTCTTTGTTAAATATAGTTAAACATGTTTAATTTGAGATGAATGCCTCAAAAATGATTGATTTGGTTTTGTATATGGAATTCATGCTTATGTGTATATGTGGATTTATGTTAAAAGCATATTTAAATGTTGATTTTCCATGTGTATCGTGAAATTCATGAATTCTATATATATATGCTGATTTGTGTCACAAGCATACCTAAATGTTGATTTTTCTATGCCTATCATGCTAGATCTCTATTGTATGAAAGCATGTGGTAGTTTTACTTGAAACTTTTGTGAATCATGTTATATTAATTAAGTGGAGTTAGTTATGGAATGATGAACTTGGACATGGCATGATACATCCATGCACTACCATTGGGCATAAAATGGGATTAATGTGATTTGAAATGAAAAAGGGGAATTTTGGGAAGAAGTTTTGATTAAAATGGTTTTGAAAAAACCCGGTCACCGCGGGGTTATCAAAGGGGCTGTGTGTTAATATAACCTAGAGAGAATTAGGGAGATTGCCCTAGCGTGGTTGAGCTAGTTGGGCCCAAAATGACGCCGCGGGGGTACCAAGGGTCAGGGACACTAACCAATCCTTCTCTCGTGTCACTACGGGGTCACCAAATGGTGGGTTATATTAACAGTTTGAAAGTGATGGATTTGAATGTTAAAAATGGGGAGTGATATCGACATGCATTGCATTTCATAGCATCATATTGTGTATGCTGAGATTGGATTTAATGTTGTACTTTCTCGACATAGTATGACCCTGATTCCTATTGTCCTATTCCTTGTTTGGATTCACAGGGATACAAGAGTTGTGTCTTAGGCACTACCTACTGAGCAATTTTGCTCACCCATTTTATTTAACATTTTTTTTTTATGAAACGGGAAAGAAGTGGCGGATAACATTCTACCACAGACTTAGTATGGATTAGGAGCTTATTTTATTGTTTTTGTACTTATGTTGTAAAACATGGACACTTGATATTAATCTTGTATTTTGGGATTGTAATTATGATATCTGAATGATATAGTATGTGGTTGTACCACCATGGAATGTATTATATGTTTATTGTGTTGGGACGGATTAAAAATGCATTTAAATAGATTGTTGTAGGACGATTTTTAGCAGAGGTCATGCCGAATTTTTTTTTTTTTTGACATCATTTAGAGTTGTTACATTTATATTTTATTTATATGCATTATTATATTATTATATATTTTCTTTAAATATATCATTTTCTGATGTGATAGAGTTTCAAAGAAAATAAAGTAGGCAATTTGTGAGAAATTTTATAGAAATTATTTTATTTTGTTTATATCCTTGTCTAATTAGATTTCCTTTTATTAAAAAGCTAATAATAAATAAATAAATACAGGTTATATGTGAATGAGTTTTTTTAAAAATAAGATAGTTAATTTGTGGTAGAGTTTAGGTAATTTGTGTTAGAGTTTTATAGAAATTCTTTAACTATATCATTCTCTGATGTGATAGAGTTTTATTTTAAATAAAATAGATAATTTGTGGTATAATTTTATATAAATTATTTATTTTCTTTAAATATATATATCCTTATCTAATTAAATTTTCTTTTATTAAAAATTTCATAATAAAAGTTAATTTATGGTAAAGTTTAGAAAAATTATTTTATTTTTTATATCATTTGTTAAATATTTTTTATATTAATAATTCTTGTCTAGTTATATTTTCTTTTATTAAAAAACTAATAATAAATAGATAAATAAATAATTTGTGTGAGAGTTTTATATAAACACTTTTTAAAAATTATTTTATTTTCTTTAAATATATTCTTGTCTAATTATATTTCCTTTTATTAAAAAATTCATAATAAATAGATAAATACAGGTTATATTTAATAGAGTTTTAAAGAAATTAAAATAAATAATTTATGATAGAGTTTTATAGAAATTATTTTATTTTTTGTAAAAATAATCACAATAAATAGATAAATATAGTTTATATGTGATAGAGTTTTATAGAAAATAAAATAGTTAATTTGAGGTAGAGTTTTATATAAATTATTTTATTTTTTTAAATATACTTATCTAATTAGATTTTATTTTATAAAAAAACTCTTAATTAATAGATAATGTGATAGAGTTTAATAGAAAATAAAATAGTTAATTTGTGGTAGATTTTATAGAAATTTTTTAATTTTTTTTAAATATATTCTTGTTTTATTATATTTTTTTATTAAAAAAACTCTTAATAAATAGATAAATAGGTAATATGTGTTAGAGTTTTGTATAAAATCTTTTAAAAACCCTTTTTATATGAATTAATAAATATTTTATATATTAATAATTCTGGTCTAATTAGATTACCTTTTATTATAAAAAAAAAAACCTCATAATAAAAAAAAAAATTGTGGTAGAGTTTTAGAAAAATTATTTTATTTTTTAAATAAAGTAAAAAAATATTATTTATATTAATAATTCTTGTCTAATTATATTTTATTTAATTAAAAACTCATACTAAATAAATAAATAGGTATTGTGTTAGAGTTGAATAAAAACTCTTTTGAAAACTCTTTTCATATCAATTAATAAATATTTTTTATATTAATAATTCTTATATAATTAGATTTTATTTTATTAAAAAAATTATAATAAATAGATAAATAGGTAATTTGTGTTACAATTTTATGGAAAATATTTTAAAACATCTTTTTATATCCATTAATAAATAATTTTTTATATTAATAATAGTTGTCTAATTAGATTTCCTTTTATTAAAAAACTCATAATAAATAGACAAATAAGTAATTTGTATTAGAGTTTTATAGAAACTCTTTAAATATATCTTTGTTTAGTGTGATATAGTTTTATTGAAAATAAAACAGGTAATTTGTAATAGAATTTTATAAAAATTATTTTAATTTTTTTACATATGTCCTTGTCTAATTAGATTTCATTTTATTAAAAAACTCACAATGTGGCATAATTTTATAAAAGAGTTAATTTCACTGACACCCCCTCAAGTTTGGTCAAATATCATCCTTAAACATCTTTTGAAAATAATTATCACTCACATTACAAATTTTTGTTCCGTTTTTTACTCACACTCCAACAGTTAGTTGAATAGTTCTGACACGATATAAAATGACGTAAATACCCTTTGACTTTGCCAAAACAACTCTTTTGCCTAAACAATTGGATTAAAATACTAAAATATCCCTAAAATTTTATAAATTTACAAATTATATAGATATACCAGATATATATAGACACGTATATATATTTCTGGAAACCCAAATGAAGAACAATCTTGATTTGATATGTAATCAGTTTAAACAAAGTGAAGAAAAGAAAGAATATCAACTCTTTTGATCCGTTATCAGTTTTTTAAAATGTCTTTCTTTCTCTCAGTTTTCTAGAAATTTAGATTATTAATTTATGGAGACCTAAATGAAGAACAATCTTGATTTGTGGGTTTTCAACTATATAAACTAGAAAAAAAAATGTTATGCTCTGCATTATGCTTGAATTTTGATGGAATTTGGTCTAATTGTAGTATTTGTTTTTGCCAAGAACAACAATCACTCTGTGTGGTGAAAGAGGAGGAGAGATTGGGATGGGTGTTGGGATTGGGATTAGGATTTGTGTGAGTGGCGGCGGTGACGATCGGTGATGGGTTGGGATTGTGTAGGCGGCGACGGCGATGGCGGATGTTTATGTTGGTGGCGGGGCGGAGTAAATGTCTCTGTATGTGTGTGTGTGTGTGTATGTCTTTGTGTGTAATGTGTGTATACACGGATCTAAGGCGCAAACCATGGAATTAGGAATTGTAAGACTTCACAACAGCCAAGCACTGCTCATCTTTAGCCCACCTTGCGTCTAAAGTTTGAGTGATCTCTCACCAACTAAAATGTTCATTCCCGCTCTGTGTGTGTGTGTGTGTATATATATATCATACATACATATAAATATAAATATAAATATATGATATATCTATAATTGTAAATTTGTAGTGTATTTAGAGGTATTGTAGTCTTTTTATTTATTTATTTATTTTTTTATGTTAAGAGCACTTTTGACTAAGTTAAATCGTATTTAGGGGCAAAATTGTCTTTTATATATTTTTAACGGAAAGTGTGATGGGAAAGTGACAACAGACTTAAGTGATCGAAAGATGTTTGAGGGTGATATTTGGCCAAACCTGAGGGGGTGTCAGTGAAATTAATCATTTAGAAAAAATAGGTAATTTGTGATAGAGTTTTATAGAAAATATTTTATTTTCTTTAAATATATTCTTATCTAATTAGATTTTATTTTATTAAGAAACTCATAATAAAAGCTAATTTGTGGTAGAGTTTTAGAAATTTTATTTTATTTTATATATCAATTAATAAATATTTTTTTATATTAATAATTCTTATCTAATTAGATTTCTTTTATTAAAAATTTCATAATAATAAATAGATAAATGGGTTAATTTGAATTTTATTAGCTAGATTTTAGAGTTAGCTAATTTGTGGTAGATTTTATAGAAATTTTTTATTTTCTTTAAATATATTCTTGTTTAATTATATTTTCATTTATTAAAAAACTCATAATAAATAGATAAATAGGTAATATACGTTAGAGTTTTATATAAAATCTTTTTAAAACCCTTTTTATATGAATTAATAAATATTTTTATATATTAATAATTATTGTCTAATTAGATTACCTTTTATAAAAAATAAAAAAAAAACTTATAATAAAAGGTAATTTGTGGTAGAGTTTTAGAAAAATTATTTTATTTTTTGTATCAATTAAAAATATTTTCTATATTAATAATTCTTCCCTAATTAGATTTTATTTTATTAAAAAACTCATAATAAATAAATAAATAGTTAATTTGTGTTAGAGTTTAATATAAACTCTTTTTATATCAATTAACAAATATTTTTATATTAATAATTTTTGTTTAATTAGATTTTCTTTTATTAAAATCTCATAATAAATATATAAATAGGTAATTTGTGTTAGAGTTTTATTGAAACTCTTTTAAAACCTTTTTTTTTTATATCAATTAATAAATAATTTTTTATATTAATAATACTTGTCTAATTAGATTTCCTTTTATTAAAAAACTCATAATAAATAGATAAATAGGTAATTTGTGTTAGAGTTTTATAGGAACTCTTTAAATATATCTTTAGCTAGTGTGATAAAGTTTTATTGAAAATAAAATAGGTAATTTGTGATACAGTTTTATATAAATTATTTTATTTTCTTTAAATATATCCTTGTATAATTAGATTTTATTTTATTAAGAAACTCATAATAAAAACTAATTTGTGTTAGAGTTTTTGAAAAATTATTTTATTTTATATATCAATTAATAAATATTTTTTATATCAATAATTATTGTCTAATTAGATTTTCTTTTAATAAAAAAATTATAATAATAAATAGATAAATAGGTTAATTTGAATTTTAATAGGTAGATTTTAGAGTTTTTATTTATTTATATATATATATATATATATATATATATATATAAACTCTTTTTAATATCAATTAATAAATATTTTTTATATAAATAAATAAATACTTAAATACTGAAACTCTTTGTACATTTAATAATAGTATAGATATAGATGAAAACTCTTTTTATAAAGAGTTTCTGTATTTTATTCTGGAATTCTGAATTTCTCGAATTCTCAATTTCTGTACCCCATCCTCCTTTCTCCATGCCTTTATTTATAGGCTTCTTGGATTAATAAGATGATAACATGTGTCCTCTCCTGATCATAACTAGGCGGGCCGGTTATATTATGATAATTAACCATAAAAAATAACTATTCTTTTTATATTAATTAATAAATATTTTATTGAAACTATTTTTATATCAATTAAAAAATATTTTTTTATATAAATAAATAAATACTGAAATACTGAAAGACAAAAAGTCTTTGCACATTTAATAATAGTATAAATATAGATATAGATTGACATTATGATATTAGTGTGGAGAGATATATAGAGAGAGAGGGGCTTAACCCATTGAAAAAGAAAAAAAGGAAAAAAAGAAAAAATAGGGGTTGACCCGGACAACCTGATCGGACTGAAAATATTTGGATTGGAACCCGAATTCGAGTTATCTCGGACTAGCCCAACCCAACCCGAAACCGGGTTGAGACTGGGCTCGGATTGGACTGAGTTGGGCCAACCCAAGTTGCACCCTCTATATATTATATACGGAGTACTTCTTTTCATATACTTCATTATTAATGAAATTCCTTTTAATGGAAGGATTCTTTTTGTTAGGTACTACTATAATCGCATTATAAATTTTCCCTCGGGTTTCATTTCTAATTAATTCTGAAGCAATGGTACAATTGTTGATCCATACGGAACAAAATTCAAGTTCTGTTGTAATGGTCTTTTAGGCTTGGGGCATTGGAGATCATATGAATGGTTATGTCGTATTTTTAATTGTTTTTTTTTCTATATATATATATATATATATATATTTAAGACTATTTCCTTTGTGCTTCCTTAGCTTTTAGCATCACCATGCACATCATTCCCTGATCTTTTAATTCATTCTGTTTTAAATTATTTGGAAAGAGATTGAGCATATTCTTCTCAGCTTATAGAGAAATACAAGATTGATTAGTTCTTTTTTCTTTTCTTTTTTTTTCCCCGGTAAATACAAGATTGATTAGTTTGTTCAAGTAATTCAGAGGTTTGCGCTTTGCTATCTGTTGGTGGTGCGCTTGCTTCCTCTGTGTCTTTTTGTATGGAGGTCGTGTGTTGCCTTCGGGCTTTTTGATTGGGCCTAAGTGCCCTGTTTGTTGTTGTTTTGTTTTTGGGCTGCCTGTTTTGGGTAGCCTGTGTATTGTTTTCTTTTGTGTTGGAATAAATTGATTTACCCAAAAAAAAAATTCAGAGGTTCGAGGGCTAAATTGATCAGCTGTCATGGTAAAGGATTTGAGATGATTAATTAGAGGTTTTAGCTAATGGAGTTTATGTTTGAAGAATTGTCATCATTAATTATCTGTGAAATACTCCCTTCGTTGCAAAATATACAGTAATTGTTTGTAGTCAATTGGGCACCCATGGCCACAACCATGAGTCCTGGACCTGACAATATGCCTTTTCCAGTTCCTACCGCGCTGTGGGTACTGTCTTGTTTGGGTCATGCCCATTTTTGGTCTTGTGATAAAATTAACATCTACCTTTAGGTTGGGCCGAAATTAATCTTTCCATTAAATTAGGAAATAATTCAGCCCGAATAAGTCTTTGGGTTCTTAATGTGTTCTAGAGTTTCTTCCCCTTCTCCTATTTATTTATTTATTTATTTATTATTATTATTATTATTATTATTTTTTAACATTTGCTTTGACGACAACTCATATTATTTTGTGATGTCAGTTGTCATATAATCCATGAAACATATCATGAAAATCATGGGATGATACATTATTGATTTTAGAGACCTCGTCATTATCATTACAATAAAAAAGTATGTGGGGGTGTATGTGTAAAAAGAAGAGTGGGAATATTGCCTTCAAATGGTTGATTATTGTTTCTTTACACTTGATAGGATTTACTAAATTAAGAATAGTCAAATTTAGACTCATTTAATGACATATTTAAAATGTCTGCACGATACAAAAAATTGTTGTGTGAGTGGTGAGCAAATTTCTTGCCAATAAAATAAAAACAATAATAATAAAAAATAAAAATAAATAAATAAAGTTAGGGCGCCTAGATAGGGAATGGGGTTGAGTGGCCACCTAACCACTACAATAGACATATACATAATATTTCAACACTTCCCGCAAACTTAAGACAGGTTTTTGGAAGCCAATTTGAGTTTGAAGACGAAATCTTGAAAACAATGTGAATCGAAAAAGCATCCTAAAAGTTAGAATAATGCCGAGAAAGGCTAGAACAAAGGCAAGAAATGCCGGATCAACGTCGAGAAATGGCCGAAATTACGCCAGTCTTCAACAACTATTCCGGATTTGAGCTGGCCATCAACAAGGAAAAAAACAATGCTACCAAACACACCAACAATTACAACAAATCAAAGGACGAAACAAGGCAAGAAAAATTGACTTTTTCCTCCAAATATGTTGCTAAACAAACACTGGCAGCAACAAGATAAAAATAGCACCCAAAACCCTTTAGCAACATTCACCTTGAACGCCGCCGAGCATGGGACAAATGAAGGCTTTAAATTTAGGACATGAAAAAAAATAATAATAAAAATTAAAAATTAAAAATTAAAAAAAAAAATTAAAGACGTAAACACATCTTACATATAAAGTGCGTCAGCATTTGAAAGTTTATTTAAGACTGCTCAAATTTTTGGGAATATAAAGGGGTAGTGATTAAGGTATCTTGTCCAAAGAAAACTACTTGTGCTTTATTCTAAACTCACATGCTTTCCCACGCAAAGTGTTCGATTCTCTTTTTCTTTTTCTTTTATTTTTTTTTTATTTTTTTAATAAGCGTATGCAGAGCTGAATTAATGCTGACGCCTTCCTTCTAAAGTCTAAAATCACTTCGCACGCAAACACCGTACCTCTCTGTCGTTGCTATCTGAGGTCACACTTCAAGTCAACAAAAGTCAAACCGACCGTTAACACCACCGTCTCGCCGCCATGGACGGCGATCCTAACAACAAAGCCTCTGAAGCTTTATCGATCAAATATCAGTTTTCAACTCTCTCGGTGGATGATGATGATGATGGTGATGAATCGAGCGTTAAAGACGGGAATGCAGAGAAAGAACCGGTAGAAAAATTATCTACAAAGTAAGGTTTTTTTTTTCCTTTCTCGATTCTATATTTATTTTTAATGCAATCGCATTATAAATTTCCCTTAGGGTTTCCTTTATAATTCTAGATTAATGATACAATTGTTCATGAAATTGCCAGTTCGCCAGAGTCTTCGACATCAGAAGCAGAATCACGAAGAGAACTATACGAGATGATTGTTCCTTCTGCACTTAGAGAATCGTGGATCGATTCGGAGAGACCTGTTTGTCTCAACTTTTATTTTGTGAAGTTCATTCCTCGACCAGAGGATAGGCTTTATAAAGAGTTCGGTATTTTTCTGAAAGCATCTCTCCCAAGAGAGGCTGAGGGATTGAAAGTCCTTCTTCAATTGCATGGTGGTGGTGGTAGAACAGTCGAGGCCGAGCTTGTCCCATCAGGAGTTGTAAATTTTGATGAAGATGAGGTAAACAAACAATTTATAAGTACTATTATTATTTAAGATAAAAATTCAATATATTCTACTTGACTTTGGGCTATTGGTTGATGAAATATGAGATTGATTGATACAAGCATTACATTATGAGTTTTAGTCCCTAAGTAGCTTGTGTTAAAATGAGTAATTCTATTATGGGTTGGAGCTGCAAATTTTGAGAAACAAATATTCTCGATTTAATGTATTCTACTTGACTTGGAGGCTATGACTTGATAGAATCTGCTGTTGTTGACTGATATAATGATAAAAACTTGGATTGATGACAACCATGGCATCATGTGTTCGGGCCTCAAAGTAGTGTGTAAATTTGAGTAATTCCAATATGGGTGAGCTCTGTACCAGCCATTAGATTGAGAAACTTTTCTTAATCTAAGGGTCGATAGTGCCCCTGTGATATTTTTTTCATGCAACAATAGGGTGAAAAAAATGGTATGTCCATCAATTTCTTTCTCTCTTCATTGCAGGTTAACAGGATCTGCACAATATGATATAATTTTTTCCCCTCCCCTTTTTTAACTTGACCTTCTTGCTGATATTCATCATGTATTTACACAGATTCAGGAGGCACAAAAATTTCATCAAATGTGCCTCAAGGCCATACTTCACCGAGAAGAGTTCATTTCTGAATTTGTTTCTTTGGAAAATAATAATTTGAGTAACTCTAGCTCAACAAGATTCTACCTGTTGCTTCCAGTCATTCTTCGTGAATCTAACAGGAAAGTAGACTGGGAGCTTATTAGAAGATGTTTATCCTCACCTATTTTCAGGACTCAAGATGATGCTGGAGACCGTGCTACCCCTCATTTGAACAACCACTTGCAACTTGCTAATGGTCCCAAAAGCATAGAAGATGTCGTCAATAGTTTAGTGTATATCCCAAGTCCGGGCAGAAAAGGATTTTACTTTGTTTCTGAAGTTATTTGGGAGAAGAAAAGGTACAATCTATTTCTAGCTTTCTTCTTGAAAACATTATAGATTATGTACACTAATAGTGTCCTTAGCCTGGAAAATTTTGTTTTGCTTATTTCTAGGGTAACTTCCATTGAAATTTGAATAACATATAATAAAGAGAAGCTTTGCATAAAAGAATAAGAGATCACTTTGTGTGTAACTCTAATTATGGTGTATAAATACTGTTCCATTTGGTCTTAGAAGTGTATCCTCTTTGATGGTGAAATACTTGACAGGAGCTTTTCCTACTCTGTTATAATCACGCTTAAGTCTATGTAACATATCAAAACGTTCTGGTTACATTTTTTTTTTTCTGTTATTCCAAAAATGAGGTTATATTCAAGTCATTGCGTACCCCTGTTGTAATGGCCTTTTAGGCTTGAGGCATTGGAGATCATATTGATGGTGGGTTAGTCTTGTAGCATTCCCATGAGTCTTGGTATCCTTTTTGGCTTTAACTTTTATGCTTTTTGTTTAATGTTTTTGAATTGTTCTCATTGCTTATTTATGCTTTAAGGAAGCTGGGTATGTGGAAGTCTTTATCTTTGTCCAACAGTTTGTATTTTTCAATGGATGTTGACACACATCAATAGAATAATACTCCGTATGTAGCTAAATGGTAGAACTACCTCACTTCTCATATTGACACCATAGTGTTTGTATGTTATCCTTCCTTTTCTTTTTCCTTTTCTAATCATGATTTGTTATCGTTTTAGTTGGAGGTGTCCTAGTTACGGTTACGTTTATTAGTTCAAACAGTCTAGTAGCTAAGGTCATTTTTGCATCATTGAATGCCACCAATGTGGCCTTAGTTTCAAATATGTTTTATTTAGAGAAGCATGAAAATCCCATAAACAAAAACATCTTGGCAGTCAGAATTTGCATTTATATTAGAGCAATACTTGCATAGAGTTTGGAAGAATCACTGCATGCATTTCAGTATTAGAATTAAATCAGAATATATTAAAGGCACAATGGTCACACCATCCTTTTTCAACTCTAAATTGATGCCATAGTGTTTTCTAAGTCTAGTATTCTCGGTGTAAGTGTTATCTATCTGGTTTATGTTTTCCTATTTTCCTTGCATGATTGAACTTTACCCAGAGAGGGTTGATACAGCCCCTGTTCAATACTGATCTAGTACTATTAGGTTTGCTAATCGTAGTTTCCTTCTTTGGCACTCCTATCATATGGTCTCTGTCATGCATTTCCTCTTTGTTGGTTGAATATGAGTCAATGTTTTCCCTCTCTCTTTTATTTATTTATTTTTTATTATTGTCGACCTAAACAAGTGGGAACCAGGTTCCTTTGTGCTCCCTTAGCTTTTAGCATCACCACATCATTCCCTAAAGTGCTGAATCTTTTTATTAACTCTGTTTTAAATTATTACTAGACAGAGATTGAGCCTATTCTCCACTGCAAAATGAAACTGAAATTTATTCTATCACTTTCTGTTTCAAATACTTTTGAATCACTCACTATCCCTCATTTAATTTGATAACGACTCACAACGAATCTTTCATATCATTATCTAACAAATTGTAATTTGATTGAGCAGTAAATGTAATACCCAGTATTTTTAAGAAAATTATTAAATGGGTTTTATTTAATTAATTTTGGATTAAATTATTTTATCTTAATTACGTGCATTTATTTAATTGATTTAGTTATTTGCAATTTATTATGTGGTATAATTTAATTATTTAAGTGTATTTGATTTATTAATGTTATTTAGTTAAATATATGTAATTACATATTTTATTTATTTATGTATTATCTATGTGCATTAGTATAGTTTTACATTTTTTTTTTCTATCTAAGTGCATATGTGTGATACACCCGGATTTCCGGATGCGGGTTGGCCAAGCCCACGCCCGATTACCCGAGGATATCAAACCAATTAGCAATAAACGAACACAGAATACAATTACGATAAAAAGGAATAAATAAAAAATTCCTGAAAGAAAACTAAAATGATAAACCCAAAACTTAATCCTCATAATAAAATTTTATAAATAAGAAACTATTCTAATACATCGAACTTCTCCATTTCTAATACAACTCGGGAATCCATCTGGTGGACCCCTAATAAAAAATCCAACACCGACAAATGAATAACTGAAGAAAATCCAATGCTAAACCATGAAGAAAACTCCTACATCGTTGGAAGAATGAGTGACCGTCTCTGCTCAGCACGAATAAGCTCTAAGACCTGGAATCGTCCGTTACCTGAAAAATAATAATGGATCAGGCCCACGAACAAGTTTTATCCTAATTACAATCCAAACAGAGACCCGATACGCAGATACATCCTAGATATCTCAACTATATCTATATAGTCCGTAAATATATATATATATATATATATATATATATATATATATATATCCACACTACAGGACTCTTACTGGACTACAATGGGGGTCTCAACCTGAATAGAAGGCAACATGCAAAAACGCACCCAAAGGTGGGCATGAGTGCCTAGACCTAACGGGGTATACCTCAACCATCATAACCAGTTACGGATCCCAACGCATATACGCTCCCTAACCAACGATCCTGAGACTCAAACTCATATCGCGGTCTCATAAATTAGATATATAAATTCCCATCCAAATCAATGTAGTGCCGCTCAACTGTTCGTTGTCAAGATACGACATAAAATTAGGATTTAAATGTTTTAATTAAACCCATTTCCTTCCTAATACAGAAATATCAACAAACATCCAATATGTCGTTCAACTGTTTTAGTTGATAGGACATGCAACCATGTAGGATTTAACTGTTTTAGTTAATCCATTCCGTATGTATGAATAGGTAGGAATTAGCGTTTTGATCTAATCCGTCCACAATATGCCACCGTCCCATACTAGTGCATATAATGCGTATGATCCGTAAATAATGCAACACTTTAAATAGTACATCAAATAAAATCCACATAATCTATAGAGTTGATAACAACAGAATTTAACCAGTTCATCAACTAAAATCCAAAATAACATCCCTGTAATTGCTAAAACATTATTTAATAGTCCAGCAATTAGAATCCAAAACATTTAATCCACGTAATTGCAGAACAGAGTTTTAATATCTCAGCAATTAAAATCCAAAGTAAACATAAAACAAGTTTGATAATTAAATGACCCCATTATGCATCTAAAACATGATTTATAAATCATACGATAGTTCATTAAATTGTTAAAACAAAACTAAACGATTTAATCCTGTCTATCCGTTAACAGTATGCAAGATCAGTTAAACTTTCTTACTGTTAAATCCATGAGCACAAAGACATTAATTATGCAATGTGGGTTCTAAAACAGCATAATATAATGTTTGGAATCTATGCTACAATCCATTTAATTGCTAGATACAGTTTGCGCAATTAAATCCTCTCTATCCATTACATCCGTGAACAACATGCAATTTGTTTTAAACTTTCATACTGTTTAAAAATTATTAGCATATAAATAAAATGTTGCATCCTAGGGCTTTAATACACCATGAATTAATATTTAGAACTCTCTTAATATCCCAACACAGTTCAAAATAACAAATTTAACCAAACAGTGCGCAAAAACAGCCCCGATACACTTTAAAACAACAGAGCCTGCTCACAAGACAATGGAGCAGGCTCCAACAACCTTGGAGCCGGCTCTGTGAAGAGGGGAGCCTGCTCCCAACCTCCTGGAGCCGGCTCTTTCTCCCTCTCTGAGAGCACTGCACTTCTACGCTTCATCTGCTTCGTCTCTGGCCATTTCCAGCCATTCTGTTCTTCATAAATACTGATCTTAAGAGTCTAAAAAATATCCAGAATCATCCCAGTCCTTTATTTAATTCAGTTTGCAGTAAAAAGAACTCTAAAATCAATTACCGATTCAACATGTTTTAAGTTCAAAACTGAAACCCAAATTTGCAAGAACAATTCCAGAGTAAATTTAAACACACACAGATAAACAATTCAATATATATAAAACATGCAAGATTTGATTAATATCCAATTAAAATCTTAGAGATCATCTAGGTATGCACATAACACAGGGCAAAGGGAGAGAGACAGAATAGAACTTGCCTCTTAAGGTTTCGGTTTGAAACCTTTAACCGTCTTCTTCCTAGGTTTTCCGGTGACCTTAGTTGCCATTGGACCTCCTCTGCCGCTCTTGGTTTAACCCACGAGCTAGCCCCTGTTCCTCCTCCTCCTTGGTTCAGCCCTCTGGCCTGAAACCTAGCTTTTCTTCCTCTCAGTTTCTCTCTCTGTTCTAACGTCCCTTTCTGCTGCTATAAGGGTTTTTCCAACCCTATTGCAGACATCCTATGTATTTATAGGTTAAACCTACTCCAACCCTAATCCTTATTGAAATCCAAAACCGATGGAAAGAAAATAAAACCTAATTACATAAAATATAATGATTAAATATATACATAATTTATAATATTATATATATATATATATATATATATATATATATATATATACGACCTGCTAAATTCCTATTATTAACATAAATAATAAATAATTATGAATAATAATACTACTCTATCCTTACATACGTATATACTCAATTAAATATATACCACCATCCATATATGGGTAAATATCCGTACCCATCAAACCTCCTGTCCAAGTAGTTCTATGTGACCTTTTGGCTGATCCATTACTACCATCTAATTCCATTCTTTTAAAAACATAAAAATCAAAATAAAATACTTTTAAATCATTTCCAAATAAAATTATAATAAATTAAAATCATTTAAGCACACAATAACAAACAACACATAGACAATTCAATCAAGAACTATTTACATAAATTAAAACACACAAGCAATTATTAATTAACAAATTAAATCAATTTAAATAAAACATGAAACTATACAAACACATAGCCACATAAGCACTTAAAACACAATAAAAATTCCAATTATATCCTTTTGAAAACTAGAGGTATTACAATATGCACTACCTATGTGCATTAAACATTAGGAAGACAAGTGTTGTTGGGTAGTTTTTATAGTTTTTATTTTATTTTATTGATGTAAAGTAATTCATTAATCAAATTATATAAGCATGTTTATTATTTACAAATTTGGAGATTTAAATATATGTATGTGTTGCTATGATAATTTAATCTTATTTTCTGAAAATTTTAAAGTTAGATTTAATTTTGTTTCACATGATTAATTATATTAAATTGATTTTTTAAAAATCATTATATATGTTAGTTATGGCCCAAAATTATTAATTTAAGCTTTTGAAATTTTTCTGGAATTATTCTATATTTTTTAATTTTTTTTTTTTTTTTTTGAATTTTTCTATAATTTTTGGGCAATTATTTAAGCTACTGGAAGTTCTGGCGAGGTTCTGGTGGACTTCCGGCACTTTCCGGTCATCGGAGCGACAATAGGGGTGACTGATTCAGTGTGGCGCGGTACACAACGCTTCAGTGCGCCCAAATCAGGACCATTAGATGGTCTGACGATCAGCAGAGATTTCAGTGTGGTCTGGCGCATGGGATGATGGTGTGCACGATGATCTGAGCCATAGATGTGGCTTGATTAGAAAGGGGACAATCCGGTGTGGCGCGGCGCATTAGGATATAGTGCGCTGGATGCTTGATGCAATCTGATGATCAAGTGCGTGCAGGTTCACCATAGCGTAGAGGACATCCAACCAGAAGACGCCAACACACACTGAGAGTACAACAGTCGTGTGGCAGCGCGTGGCACCGTGTGGAAGCTCGTGCGGCGGTGCGTGGGGATGCGTGCGAGGTCTCGAAAAGTTTCTGTGAAGCCCGGTGAATTTCCAGAATTGATTTCAAGCATGTTAGTGTTGAAATTAACCATTAGATGGCGTATTTATGTTGTTTTGAGGGTCGTATAATGTTACTACATTATTTTAAACGGCATTTTTAGATGCGACTATTAATTTAACCCGCGTTTAAAGGTATGGAGCATTATTATGAGTAAACGTAAATATCTTTTGGTTATTTTAAATGCTATTATGTGTATTTTGTAATAAATGGGTAAATGGTAATTACCATATTATGGATTTATATCGGAATAAGGAAACCATTGTGGGTTGGCTAATAATTGCAGTCTCACCATTACCATGTCATGATTGAGTTGCCAAGACATAATTTAGTTGTCTAGGTTAGTGGTTACGTGTATGGCATGATTGATTTTCCTATTTATATTTTATTTGGAGGCATGGATGGGTTGCCTATATATATATATTCAAACCACTGTGGGCTGGCTAATAAGTGCAGTCTCACCATTACCAAGGCATGATTGAATTGCCAAGACATGATTGATTTGTCTAGGTATGTGAAGTTTATGGCATGATTGATTTGCCTATTTTACATTATATTTGGAGGCATGGATGAGTTGCCTATATATATATATAAACCACTGTGGACTGGCTAATAAGTGCAGTCTCACCATTACCATGGCATGATTGAGTTACCAAGACATAATTGAGTTGTCTAGGTATGTAGTTACGTGTATGGCATAATTGATTTGCCTTTTTTATTTTTATTTATTTAAAGGATTATTATTTTATGGCATGATTTATTTGCCCATTTCCTTATTTAAATTTTATTTGGAAGATTACTAATTCTATAGGCATGGATGAGTTGTCTATATGATATAATTTTTATACATATATATGAAGGTATGTTTATTTAATTAAATAAATTGTTCATCCAGATTATTAGCATATTTGACGATGTATAGTAGTTATAGAAATGATTTTTATTAGAGATGATTTGTTTATCGGTTCTCTGCTGGGTTATAGAAGAGAGGATTTGCTCGTGGGCTTGACCCACCTTTTGTTGTTATATTTCAGGTCCACGTCAGTTCCAGCCACAGGGTTGAGGACTCATGTGTTCGTGAAGTTCATTCATCATCTATTCTACCGCTTTACTTCATGGTAGAAGTTTTATTTGTTGTTTAAGATTTCAGACTCATTTATTTATGTAGTTGGATTTTATTTTAGGGGTCATACACATGGGATTTCCAAGTTGTACTCTGGAACTTAAATTTTTCAGGATGGATGGATTTTTAATATTTCTTAGATTTCATTTCTGCCTTAAAATTACCAATTGTTTGTTTTTGATATCCCCATATTTTTGGGTGTGGACCTGATCAACCAGTGCTCGAAAATTTGGGGGTATCACAGTAAACTTTTAGAACACAATAAGAACATAATTACTTGAAGAGAAATACAAGATTGATTAGTTTGTTCAAGTAATTCAAAGTTTTGAGGGCTAAATTGATCAGCTGTCATGGTAACAAGTCGAGATGACGGGAGGTTTAATGGAAATGTGCTTGAGTTCCATGTTCGCTAAAGGGTATCTTCTTATGCGATTATTATTGTGTGTTTGTGATGTTAAATTGCATTTATAATTTCTAGAAAAGAAGACAACAAAGCAAAATCTCTGTGACAAAATGTTTAGCTGGTAATGCTAAATGCAAATGACTTAACCATAATTTGCTCACATATTTATTGATTTTTGGATATAATGTGACTTATTTGATATAATTCTGTTATATTCTATACTGTTGCTTGCGGTGACCATTGTCTTTCTTTCTAACTTTGTAAATCAGGTTCAGCAGTCATCTTTCCTACCCCGACCAACCACTTTTGAAAGCAAAAAATCTTTTCCGTTTGAAGAATTTACTATGCAAGAGGGGGAATCCAGGTAATCATTTATTTTGTTTTATCTTCAGGTTGTCACAGTTACTTCAAACTGAGATTTTGGGTAAGTGTTTCTTGTTTAAGTCAAATAGTTTCTGTTACTGAACAACATTTTGAATAGCAATGTTACTGTACAGCTTGTTATGGTAAATATTTTGGTATTCTAACACTATGCTGGTCAACCCAGAGTACCTGATAAATTAAATATTATCACATTTTGGTGAAGTATGAATGACACAAAACAGGGTTTCCTTGGGGAGAGGTGACAGATTTTAAATATGGCATATATCGTTTGTGTCAGGAGCATCATTCTAAGACTTGATGCAGTATTCATTTTGAGGGGCCCACTAGTACTATGTCATAATTGTATACATAGAGTGTCGATAGACATGCTGTTGAGATTCTTGAGAATATAATATATCGACACTCTTCTTGAGCTTTCATCTTGAAATCATTAGATCAAGAGGCTAATCTCACACCCTTATGGTTATAAGGCACGAGCTTAGTGAGAGCACCTCAGCACCCTCACTATAACTTTTTCCTGTTTGTAATATAAGCTAAAAAATGAATAACCTGCAACCTACAAACATGAGGAAAATAGAATTTAAATAAAAGAGAAGGAAAAACTTATACGAGAATTTTTTTTTGCATTAACATATAATTAATGAAGTTGTCAAGTGCCTAGCAACACTTTTTGTCTTTATTATATTCATATAGATAGTATGTCTGTGTGTGTGAAGTATCGATATGTTGTAGCAAGGGCTACCACAATAATGAACTTACTTTCTTTTTCACCAGATTTAGATTTCTAAAACAAGTCTAAAAAATTTCAATGGACTTTGAAGGGGCCACATTATTTTCAAACGCACCATTAATAGGGACCATAAATAAAGGTTGTGAAAAATCTTAGGGGGGATCCCCCCTCTAGTTCCGTATGGCGACCTTGTGGGCGGGTTCGAGGCACTGGCAGGCTACCATGCTAGCAGACTATGGGTGCACGATCACACATTGCCTGGGTGTGGAAAGGAGAAATGTTATACATGTAGGATTGGTATACTCCAAATGGTTTGAGTCGTTTTGAGGTAAAACCCAATAACAAAACCGTGTGGGCTCGGGCCCAAAGCAGATAATATCATACCATGTGGTGGGGTGGGTCATTACAAATGGTATCAGAGTCTGACTCAGTCGGAAGTGTGGCCAACGAGGTTGGGTCCCTAAGAGGGGGTGATTGTGGCGACCTTGTGGGCGATTGCGAGGCACTGGCAGGTTACGGGTGCACAATCCCATATCGCCTGTGTGTGGAAAGGGGAAGTGCTATATATGTAAGATTGGTACACTTCAAATGGTATAAGGCCTTTTGGGGTAAAACCCAAGAGCAAGGAGATGACATTGATTCACATATCTGCTTATTAGAAGGCATATTCCTTGTAGAAAAAGCCCTAATTCTATGTTTAGAAGTCACTTTTATTATCAGAGAGCTTATGTTGGAGGGAGGGTTGTTTCTTGTTGAATATTTGAATGTTTACTTGCTTCATGGTTTTTACATTCATGTCTTCTTTGTTTTTATCATAAATGCAAAATGCATTCATACATTGCATGTGCACTTTGACTAGTATGTAAAAGAATTGTAAAATAAACAAAAATTCGTGATGCACACTAGAAGAACGAGTTTTGTGTATGTTGTTGTTTTCAAAAACTGTGGACTAGTATCATTCCCCCTCTCCCCCTCGAAAGAATAATATACAAAAATTTTGGGGGTGTTGCTTAGTGCTGTGGCTAAAGTTCGGGCTACAAAGTATGAGAATGCTGGTTCCAGTCTAAGGGAAATCATTGCAAATAATATTAATGTTAGTTCTGAATCCCCTTGACTCCTCTAGGAACCATTACGATTCATTTTAAGAACAATAAGTAACATTTGGGGATGTTTCTCTCTTAACTACAAAGCACAAACTATTATATCATATGCTTCTATTTCTTTGAGTTTCCTGTATTTTCTTCTTACCTGTTTGGCTACTTCCCATTATGTTAGTTATGTGTTTTATTAATTACTCATTGTATTAGTCGTCTTCTTCTAATACATTTCTCTGAAATGTTGGATTATGTGATTATAACTGTTTAAAAGCAGAATCACGAGAAAAAGAGGAGCACTTTCTCAACTTACGCCCTGAGATTTGTCAGTTGAAGATAATTGGATTTTCTAAAGATATTGGAAGTTCACTGTCTTTGTTACCATCAATCATGCATCGACTTGAGAGCTTACTTGTGGCAGTAGAACTTAAACAAGTGTTATCTTCATCGTTTCCCGAGGGAGCTGAAGTTACTGCTTATCGTGTAATGCTTTTTCACTCCTTGTATTAAGTTTGAGTAACCTATGTCTCAAACTAAGTCACTGATTACAGCACTCAAGTTCTGCGGATGTTTTTTTTTGTTACTATCAATTACAAAAGTGAACTTAGCATACTGATAACAACAGCACAATAACTTATTAGGTTCTCGAAGCACTCACAACAGAGAAATGCAACGAGGGATTTTCATATGAAAGGCTTGAAGTGCTCGGCGATGTTTTCCTCAAGTTTGTTGTTGGCAGGCACCTTTTTCTTTTAGACAGTAACCTTAAAGAAGGAGAACTAACCCAAAAGCGCAAGGACATTGTAGAAAATTCCAATTTATTCAAGCTAGCAACAATGAGCAATTTACAGGTGACTTTGTATATATAACATCCAAATAAATTTGTTTATGAGACAGCAAAAGTGGATGTATTTTTATGACATAATTATAAGGCATCTAAAAATCCACCTTCAAAAAAAATGTAAAATTGTGATAGAATTGTGAATGCAATAGCAGATGTTGTGGTAGCCTCCTTTCTGCAAGGATGTCTTTGTGTTGTTTTCAGATTTGATTACTAAAGTGTGTGGTATCTTTGTCCATATTTCAGTTATATATACGTGATCAGTCCTTTGATCCGTGCCAATTCTTTGCGTTGGGCCATCCTTGTTCAGGAATTTGTAGTAGGGAAACAGAGAGTACTAAACATTCTCCATGCAAAAGCGATGTGAAAAATAGTGCAAATGCTGAAGTTAGATGCAACAAAAATCACCATTGGTTGCAAAATAAAACCATTGCTGATGTGGTTGAAGCTCTCATTGGAGCATTCATAGTTGACAGTGGCTTCAAAGCTGCAACTGCTTTTCTTAAATGGTTTGGCATACAAGTGGACTTTAAGGTGTTGCAAGTTATTAATATCTGCTCTGAAAGCAAAAAGTTCATGCAATTTGATGCTAGGCTAAGTATTGCAGATCTGGAAAATTTGTCAGGGTATCGGTTTCGTCATAAAGGTTTGCTTTTAGAGGCGTTTGTACATCCGTCTCTCAGAGATCAAGTGGGAGGCTGCTATCAGGTATGCACTCTTTTTCTCACCACATGAATCCAACTTTGTCCTCAAAGCTGTTCACTCTGTGATATTACATTTTAAAACAATTTGATGACTTTAACCAGAGACTCGAGTACCTTGGAGATGCTGTGTTGGATTATTTAGTCACCTCCTATCTGTATTCAGTGTACCCAAAACTGAATCCTGGCCAGTTTACAGTTTTGAGATCAGAGTTTGTAAAGAATAAAATCCTTGCGGACGTTGCAGTACAACATTCACTTCATGAAAAACTTATAAGCAAATCCAGTGGCCTTGAGGAGTCTATAGATAAATATATCAATTTACCTGCATCAGAGAAGGGTCAGGTCAAATCGCCAAAGGTAACCATTGTAAAGTCTAAACTTTTTACCCTTGGTTTTTGGTACATTGATGTTTTGCACTCGTCTAAATTAGTCAGAAGAAAACAAACTAAAGTTTGTTGTAACAGAAAATAATTTAATAACCAATCAATACCAGAGATGTTAGCTTGAGTTGTTTCTTCCCCACCCCCGCCAAAACAAAGAACAAAAAAAGCAAGGGGAGGGGGGAAAAAGTTGCTGGTGCAGGATTCTGTCTGTTCCTATGTTTATAGTCACTATGGTGAGGTGTCAACTACAGAGGATTTTAGTGCCAGGAGTCATTTTGTGGTGGCTTGTGAGGAAGAATATATAATTTTAGTTCCAATGAATATTTGGAAAGCTTCATCATTTTAGGTTCAAAATTGGATTTTTAATGATAAATTATTTTACTTTACTGATTCAGGCTCTAGCTGACTTGGTGGAGTCTTTTATTGGTGCCATTCTTCTTGACACGGGGTTCGATTTGAGCCGCGTGTGGAAGATAATGCTGTCCTTTTTGAATCCAGATATGATCCTTTCCAGGTTGAAGGTAAAGCTTGCATGCTCATTTTCGTGTTCTTCTGTTTCCTTATGTTACAGCCAGGTGAAATTCACATGCTTGCAGTGAAATTGATGCTTGAAACATTTTTAGAAGTGTAATTTCTGTTAGGGCTGCTATTATTGTCACAGCAGCAGTTGACGTGGACAGCTTTATTCTCTCTCTGTCAATTCCTATTTGAATACCTGTTTTGAAGTTTCAACAAGTTGATGGTTTTCCATGAATTTTGGACGTTTGTTATTCTACTCTAATCATATGAAAATATAGAACTTATTTACTTCTGTATCAGTTGAGTAATTCATTTGCTGCATTCCTCTCCTTAAATTTTCACCTAAAATACTACTTTACTGGGTTAGTTATCTTTAAGCTGAAGCCAATCCTTCTAACTCCCTTGTAGTGGAGCTAGCCAAAGTCTCCACCGCATTATCAATTTCTCAGCCTGTGTCTAACTTTCAATCTGAAATGTCGGGGAGCATGTACAGGGGCCGTCATCTCTTTTTCCTCCTCTTCCACCTGGGACTCAGAGACTCTTACCATTTATTGAGCCTTTCTTTGTTTTTATCTTTCTTTTCTTTCTTTATTTCTTTATTTATTTATTTATTTTTGTCCCAGATATATCTTTTGAAGATAAAAAAAACTAAAAGAGGAAATAGGAGAATGTTTTCCAAATAGTAAGATTATGTTTTAAAACAAAAGTGTACCATATTTTGAAATGCATGGGATTTGCATTTCATGTCTCTAAATCACTACCACCTCCGCTAGTGCTACCATGACGGCAACCAACAACAGTATCAACGTTAATATTACAATTTCCCATTCTTGATCCCCATTAGCACCACCATTATATCCACCACCACTGGCTCCTTTAGCACTGCCTTGAAAATCATCTGAGTCATGCATTTGCTTTGTCATTTTCTTGTGTTCAATGTGTGAAAAGGCGAAATGCTGTTTGTCCTAGCCCTTGTTATTTGCTCAGTTTCAAAAAGTTAGACCAAAAATGCCTATTTTGTGAGCCTTGGTTTTAATTATTTCAGAAGCTGTTCTAAATTATGTAGCTGTTGATTATAATTTCAGTTTGCAGGCATGAAAATAAAAAGTTTGCATTTTAACTGTTAAATCATATATAAAGAAAAGTAATTTCGAACTTCTTTGAGATTTTAAGAAATGTTGGCATCATTTGAGTTCATTAAAAATATCTTTTTGCTTAATGTTTCATATTTAGGGTCCTAGAAAAGAATGAATCAACGGTGGAATGGAACTAAAAATAGCAGTTCATACAACTGTTCTCTGCCATTGAAATTCCTTTTTTGTGTATTTTTTTTATTTTTTATTTTCAAAAAGAGAATACTGATATAACCAATATGTTGGTGCATCCTCTGACTTCTTTCTTGAAGGAACTGCCCCTTTTCCTATATGTTGTTGATGCTGCTGATATAGCCATTTTCCTGTCAAACCCGCGCCATTTTTCGAAACAAATAAGAAATGCTAAATTATTAATAACCACCGGAAAAACAAAGGAACTCTATTAAATGAACCGGAAAGACGAAGAAACTCTATTAAGTGGATTGGATTCATTAGAGAAGAACAAAATAAAACCCAATACAGCTAAAGTCCGTAGAGGGAGGAAGGGGGGGGCGTTGTCATCTGCTTTTGCCGGGTTTGTATCCTCAAATGGACTAAGAGATGGATTAGTCTTTAGGTTTCCCTCATGCTTTCCAATTACATATCATGTGCTCATTGACTCTGGATTTGCAGGCCCAAGGTTACAAACTTGAGCCCAAATCATTGGAGGAAGTTTTAGAGTCGAGCTGCAAGATGGAAGCCAAGCTGATTGGGTATGATGAAACACTAATAGATACCATTGCTTCAGATGCTGCTGAATTTAATACAATGAAGCTGGAGGAATCTTCCTCTGAGGCAACTGCAGTGTGCTGCAGTTCTGGCTCACAGCATGCAGGTTGGTTTGGAAAAAACTGTATGCTCTTGGTATGGAATTCCTATATCCTCATTGATTACCATAAAGGCATAAACTTATATTTTCAGGTGGTTCACAAAAGGGATCAGCAGAGTCGCATTTGTATAAAATCTGCAATGATAATTGTTGGAAACCTCCTGTGTTTGAATGCCACGAGGAGATGGGACCAAACCACTTAAACGAGTAAGTTCATTACTTAAAGCCAGTATTTCCCTTGTGCTAAAAAATATTCTGAGTTGGTAATTTCACTTGGAAGTGGTAAGATACTTGCACTAAGACTTTTGATTTAACTTCCTAAATAAAAATTTTTGCTCACCACAATAAAAAATAAAAAAAATTAAAAAAATGAAGTTAGCAGAAACTATTATTTGCCGCTTCTACAATATAGTGTCTAAAAATGTAAAGCATTTTAGAGTTCAGTGTCTTCAAGAAAATCACGGTTGAAGTATAGTCTACATGAAGCAATTAATGGTGAAATTTGGATGAAATCCATTTTCGAGGCTGAATAGGAAGTATCTGTCAAGGTTGTTCCGAGTTCACCTGAACTTTCCTCATACTCTGTTGTCGTATGAAATGAAACTATCTATAAACTTTATGTTTCGGCTGGCTTGCTGCTTCCATTCATTTGCTGGTATTCTACTGCTTTGTATTGGCAAATTTATCAATGTAACTCCATTACTGATTCCAATATATCTTGAAATTTAACTCCACTACTGATTCCAATATATCTTGAAATTTGGACCCAAATTTTATGCAGATTCACTTCAAAGGTGGTCGTGGAAATTGAGAAATCCTCGGATGTGATTTTGGAGTGTTATGGAGAACCTCGGGCGAAAAAAGAAGATGCCAGGGAGCATGCAGCTGAAGGGGCGGTTTGGTACTTAAAACACGAAGGTACTTGCCTGTGAAAGAGAGATCAATCTAATCCTATATTCGAGATGAGTGAAGAACCATTTTACATGCACATGTTGTAATACTTGTTCGGGGAACTGTAGACTTGTAGGTAACAAACTCACACAGCAAAGAGCAACTACATACGACATCATTTATACGTGACACTCGACTGTAGATGCTTACTGCTATTATGACACATCATGAACAGAATTCATGGGCCATAATTCTGTATTTGATTGTCGTTGTTGGCTAAATGTAAAATGTGATGGTTATGGGGTACTTGCTTAAACCATTTAATGGACTACTACTACCAGAAATCATTTGAGCAGGCCATTCTTTGAATGGACAATGAAAACTGTGATTGCTTGCCGATACACTTGTAGTCCCTACTGTGTCGTCACACAGTAAAATGAAACGCCATGATAAAAAAGTCACTTATGCTGGCTCATTTCATGTGCACCATCCTTTTAGAAATGCTAGAACAGAAACACGTCTGTCTGTTTGAAGAGAGTGGTATTTGATAGGATGTTCAAATTGATGGGCATGTAGAAGCTGCATTTTGCTTAAAGTTTTAGGTCTTTTTCTGTTCAGTTTTATTTATTTATTTTTATAACAATTTCTAAAAACTTTGAAAACTGAATGTTTCCAAAATATTTACTTATTTTTAAGCTGAGTTTTTAGAAAACTATTGACATAATTAATACCCTTTTCTGTTTTTCACCTCTAAATAGAAAATTATTTTTAAAAAACTGAACAAACAAGATCTTGTTATCATGATTTTGGCAGGTAGTGAATAGGTTGAATTCAAATACCATTTAATCTTGTCATTTCTAGATTAAGTTGTAAGAACAATTCATCAAAAACAGAAAAGAGTAATGATACTCGTATCAAAGACTTGTAATGAATTGTTTAACGGAATGATTTTTGATTGGTTATTCATGGATCAAATTTCAAATATTGTTTAATTTATGTGTAAACTTGTACATCAAAATGATAACTTATTAAATTTTAAAAATCTGGGACATTTCTTGGGTATTGTTAGCTGGTCTAGTTGATAGTGGGGTGATCCAACTATTTGACCGGTGTACTTTGTGGGATAAATAAATATAAAAAATAGCAAAAAATTGAAATCCCAAATATAAAGAGGTCGTGGAGATTATTTAATCCAACGGTTCAAAAATAAGGAAGGCGTACTCCTTAGTCCTCTATAGCAAACACTATCGCACGTGCCATCGCACCCATCAGTTCCCGCCAAATCCTTCCCGCCAAAAACCTATTAGTCAGAGAGAGAGCCTCACTCCCCCGACCTGTACACCCCGCCGCTTAGAGAGAGAGTAATCATTTCACGGAGAAGAGAGGGAAGGAGTTTTAGAGAGAGAGAGGAAGGATGTCTGGTTGGGATGAGGGGGCCATCTTCTACAGCGACCAAGCTCAGTTCCCTCGCGGCGGCAACGGCGTCGGCGATCCCGAACAGGCGGCGAGCCGCCATACCATCCTCCGGAAGTTCAAAGAGTTCATTAGAAGCTATGTCCGGAAAGATCAACCAAATGTCTTACCCTACAGAGAAAGCCTCCTTCAAAACCCTAAATACCTCCTCGTCAACCTCGCAGACCTCGACGAATACGAGAATGGTTTCGCAGATTTGCTCCGCAAAAACCCAGCCGATTATCTACCTTTGGTATCCTTAATCTCATCACACTACTGATTAAAGATATACATATATATATACACACCGCTAATTGCATTTATGTAATGATTAGAAGATTGAATTTTGATTTTTTTTTTTTTTGTGAATTGGTCTTAGTTTGAAACTGCCGCGGCTGAGGTTCTAGCGAGTTTGAGATCCAGGGTCGCTGGAGAGACTGGAGAAATGGAGGAGCCGGTGACTGGGGAGGTGCAAATTTTGTTGTCTTCAGGGGAAGATCCAGCGTCGATGCGATCACTGGGGGTTAGTTTTTTAAAAATTTTTGGGGGCTTTTGATGTTTTTGGCTTTAGGGTTTTGGTAGATATATTTATTTGTTTGTTTATTGATTGCTAGGCACAATATATATCAAAACTGGTCAAAATATCTGGAATTACTATTGCTGCGTCAAGGACTAAAGCAAAGGCGACTTATGTGACTTTGTTGTGTAAGAATTGTAAGAATGTGAAGACTGTTCCCTGTCGCCCGGGGCTTGGCGGGGCGATTGTGCCTCGCTCATGTGATCATGTATCCCAGGTCGAAGCAAATTCCTTATTGTGAATTCTTGTGGTTCAGTTTTGTTGTTTGAACACAATACAATGCTGAGTGATTGGAGATTTTGTAGGCTGGGGAAGAACCGTGCCCGATTGATCCATGGATTGTGGTTCCAGATAGAAGCAAGTATGTTGATCAACAGACCCTGAAATTGCAAGAAAATCCTGAGGTGTGAATCTTCATTCTGTAGATGAATGCTTGAAGTGAAATTGATGTTTCTTTTGCATTAATTTTAAAATTTTATTTTGTTAATTATGTATTTATTTTTATAAATTGAAGGATGTCCCCACTGGGGAGCTACCAAGGAACATGCTTCTATCAGTCGATCGCCATCTTGTGCAAACAATTGTACCTGGTACAAGATTGACCATAATGGGAATTTACAGCATCTTTCAAGCTGCCAATTCACCCGCAAAGTACTGATTTTTATTGCCATGAGTGAATTGTTTAGCATCTTTGTTGATTTTTACATTTCATTGATATTGAATCGTGGGATTAATGTTTATATTTATTTTGGGTTCCTATGCAGCCACAAAGGAGCAGTTGCAGTTAGACAACCCTATATAAGGGTTGTAGGAATAGAAGAAGCTAATGATGCTAATTCTAGGAACCCTATCGACTTCACAACAGAAGAGGTAGTTGTCTGAATTGGCATAAATTTGAACTGCAAATCACTCAGATGCAACTCTTGTGCAGTAGTATGTGTGTTCTTAGGTTGTTATTACAATGCAAATATTCTTAAATAAGTGAAACTATGGTATAGTGGTGAATAAACTTTGGATGAATGATATGTAGTCATAAATTTGCAACTTGATGTTTCTATAAAATGAGGTGGAACTCTAATCCTCCCATGTGTTACTTCTGGAAGAAGTTCAGAGTCTATATTAGCATCCGATCTAAATAATATTTCATTGATTATTCTGTTTTTGCACTTGTAGTTTTTTCTTTATTTGGATGCTAACGAAATGTCCCTCTTACTTTTCAATATGTTATGAGGAATATTTTTAACAAAATTTTATTTTTTGTAGTTAGAAGAATTCAAAAAGTTTGCCTCAGAAAGTAATGCATATAAAAATATATGCTCCAAGATTGCTCCCTCGATATTTGGCCATGATGATGTGAAAAAGGCTGTGGCTTGTCTTTTGTTTGGAGGATCAAGGAAGGTATATCATGAATCTTCATCTTCAACCAGTGATATAGTTTAACTGATAGCATAGTCACTTCCTCTGTTAGTGCAGAGTTTGCCAGATGGTGTGAAGTTGAGAGGTGATATAAATGTGTTGCTTCTGGGGGACCCATCTACTGCTAAATCACAGGTTAGTTCAATATTGTTTTGTTTGTTCATGCTGCCCATATAGTGGCTTTTAACTGTTATTTTATTTTCTTTCTAATTACATTTCTATGTAAATCATTTTTAATTTTTTTTTTTTTAGTTTAAGCCACTCCATATTCTTGTAAAAAGGGTACTCATGCCAAACTTACTACCATTGTACTCTTGCTTCATTTCCCCAAAAGTAACTCCCTAATTTTATAATAATTTTTCTGTGTAGTTTCTTAAGTTCGTCGAGAAGACAGCTCCAGTAGCTGTATATACTTCAGGAAAGGGCTCATCTGCTGCTGGTCTTACTGCTTCTGTGATTCGAGACAGCAGCACTGTAAGTTCGTGAACCTTTAAGCTATTTATTCTGATGATGTCATCATATCTTTTTTGCCACCATGCCCTTGGAGTTCTCTTTTAATGAATAATTGTTCCCAATTTCCTCAAGATAAATTATTTTCTGACTTACAATCATACTTCAGAAAATTCCGCAACCGATCTTTTAATAAATAAACGTTCCTGATTTCCTCAAATTTTATTCAGCGTGAATTTTATCTGGAAGGAGGGGCCATGGTTTTGGCAGATGGTGGTGTCGTCTGCATTGATGAGTTTGACAAAATGAGAGCGGAAGACAGGTGATTTAGACTTTACTTGGATCTTGATCCCATTTTTATCCGTTCTGGTTATGCAATTCTAAATAATTCATACTTCTGTGGTTTAGAGTTGCTATTCATGAAGCCATGGAGCAGCAAACCATTTCCATTGCCAAAGCTGGAATAACCACTGTTCTCAATTCTAGAACCTCTGTGCTTGCAGCAGCTAATCCCCCATCAGGGCGTTATGATGATCTTAAGGTTTACATAAGTGCTTTACTTTTTATTTATTTTTTATTGTGTTTGTCATTTTATCAAATTTATGTCTGATAAGAGACAGTAGACTAACAAAGACAATTTCCCCTTCCAGACTGCTCAGGATAACATTGATTTGCAGACAACAATTCTTTCAAGATTTGATCTAATCTTCATTGTGAAAGATATCAGAATGTACAGTCAAGATAAGGTACTTTATAATCAGTTGTGGTGTTCTCGATAAGGTCTCATTTGAACTCTGCAACAGAGTGAATTAATAGAAGTTCAGTCATTTTATTTGCTAAGAATAGCATGCTGTTGCACTTTGAGAAAGAAATCTTTCCCAAGTACCCCAAAGATAAAGCTGTCAGAAAAAATGATAGATTATCATCCAAATATATTTGCCTTTTGTTCTATAAAGAACTTCAAATAGATTAGTTGAAAAAGCTCATTTCAAATGCTATGCATGTCAAAATGGAACACTCTTGTTTCAAATGGTTTCTTGATCCCCTAAATGTGCCGCAATTTAATTGGATGTACTTTCTTTACAGAGCATTGCTAGCCATGTCATCAAACTTCATGCATCTGCTGGTGCAGTCACGGGTGACACAAAAACTTCTAAAGAATATAATTGGCTGAAGAGGTGTTTATTGTGAATCTCCCCAATGTTAAATTATTTCAAAGAGGCTACTTTGTCAATTAGTTATTAAATGCTGAAACTTCCGAGTTGCATGTACACAGGTATATACAATACTGTCGAACTGCATGCCACCCTCGTCTATCAGATTCTGCTGCTGCAACTTTACAGGAGAATTATGTTAGAATCAGACAGGTATATTTATGACTATCTCATAATAAAGAGAAGATTAGAAATTTCAAGAAGCTCCTCAAATTAATTTGTTCCTACTGACAGCATGTTTGAGATAACTTTGTTGAGTTCGGAAAAAGCCTTCACTGAGTTGAGTTGAGTTGAGTTGTATGTTTGAGATAACAGTCTGAAACTTAGTAAAAGTCAGGAAGGTAGCAGTAGCACATCAAATTTTGGAATAAGTAGAGGCTAATATAAGTAATATCGAACCACAGTTGTTATTATTCTAGTTACCACATCAACTTTTGAACCTTAATGATGATATTACAAGTGAGAAATTTACTTGAAGCTTCGATTTTTAAAAAGATGTAAATTTCTCAATTGATTTAATAAATTAGTGTAGCATTCTTTTAAATGTGAAAAAGTAACAATAAAATGTGATATCAAAGATTTATTTTGTTTAAAGAAAACCGTTGTTGGCAAATTGCTTTTGCTTAGCTTAGTGCATATAGGTTGGGGTTGCAGAAATTTCTGTCCATTACTTGATACAGGGATTTTTATCTGTGTTGATTTGACTGAGTAGTTTTTATTTACTGACTTTATTACCACAGGCCTTGTAGCCAAGGTGGTATTTGGTCGAGTCTCCAAATAAAGTGTCAAGATTCAAGCCCCAACAGGTTTAAATATTAAAATTATAATGTAAATACTACAACCCAAAAAGGAATAATAATAATAATAGTAACATTGAAAGAAAAATATTGACTTCTTTGTTGGGTAAGTCAGAAAAGGTGAGGAATTATTCAATAAACTGTTGAGGCAATTGCTTGTCAAGTAAAATGTATACAAATTGTCATGTTTCTTGTTAGCACAACCGCTTGTATTTTCCCTTCAAATAATAAATTATTCTATGCTGCTTCTTATAGGATATGAGGCGACAGGCAAATGAAACTGGTGAGGCAGCTGCTATCCCAATTACTGTGAGGCAGCTGGAAGCTATTGTAAGGTTGAGTGAGGCAATTGCAAAAATGGAACTGTAAGTTAACGGGCAGGCTCTCTTATCATTTTTGAACTTGGTTTTCTCATGGTTTCCATTGTTGGCCTTTGAAATTGTTGCTAGGAATATTGACTCACAAATCACAATGTTTTTACTCTAATGGCTATTAGATCTCTGGTTCTAAGATTTCTGAGTGATTAAATCTGTTGAAAGGGGTCACTCAGAAAAAAATGCAATGTATGTGCATTGGATATCTGTCAATTCCTCTGAACGGGGATTTCTAAATTTGCAATGGTTGGATATTAGCATGCGTGAAAAATAAAAAAAAATATAAAATAAAATAAAGTATTAGAAGAATGAGTTGTAGCTTGTTTGTTGGTCTATTTGAGTAATCTTTTGGAATTATTGTGATTCTGACTGAGAAAGTTATTTACTACAAAAGTGCCCAACTTTAGGTTGCTTGGTATATTCCATTGGCTATCACAGTTAATTTGGTCCGATATGCATTTTATCATGATTGCCTGAATTGCAAAGTAAAAGGTGTAGATTGGATGTGCCATGGAACTTGAATGCTCCATTGTATTTCGTTTAGATATATAAATTATTATTTTGTTGGGGGCATTATAGGGAAACTGTAGGTAAAAGATAGAACAACTTGTATTTCCCCCTACTTTCTTATACAAGTAAGGTACTTGAATGCAAACCTTTTCATGGGTGGGGCCAAAGTGTACTATAAACTGGCCCTAAGCTCACCAAATCATCAAGCTTCTTTAAGTTCGGTTTCAAATGAATATAGTTAAAGAGTTCGTTTTTACTTGTGTGCTTTCTTAATTTATAATCAACTCTCCTTTTACTTATTTCTCGTGCACCATGTTTTAGGTCCCATGTCGCAAATGATAACCATGTTCTGGAAGCCATCAGGCTTTTCAACAATGCTACTATGGACGCAGCACGTTCTGGAATAAATCAACATATTAATCTTACTCCAGAGATGGCAAATGAGATAAAGGTTTGGCTTACAAATTACAAAGCTTATTTCTGTTTTTCATCTTCTTTGTTATTTTTTTTTTTGTTTTGTTTTTTCTTATCTCTTTTCAGTATTGAGTTATATATTATTTTCCTCGAACAGCAAGCAGAAACTCAGATAAAGAGAAGAATGGGAATCGGAAGCCACATTTCAGAGAGACGGCTGATAGATGATCTTACCAGGATGGGGATGAATGAATCCATTGTAAGGCCAATTTTCTATGTGTGTGTGTGTATATATATATATATATATTGGTTAGATGTCATTATGCTTTCATTTTTAGATACTAGGTGCTGTGAAGTTTTAATATTTTAAAAAAAAAAAAAAATGTAAATAACTGTAGCAGTAGAAAAAGAATTGTAATAATTTCGTATTGGTGTCTATGGTTGTTACTAATTAAATAATTTTCAAAATTGGCAGATTAGAAGAGCTCTGTTAATTATGCATCAAAGAGATGAAGTTGAGTACAAGCGAGAAAGGCGTGTCATTGTTCGTAAAGCTTAATCCTTTGTAATAATATCAGCAAGTTTTTAGCACTACGCAGAGTAGGAGCAAACATTGTATTATTCAAAAAGACTTCTGAATTCAGGGCTTTCCTCTAGCAGCAGCAATTAGGATAGAAAGTGCAACTGAATTTTTAACTTTCCTTGTTTGTGTAGTTTAGTACTTCTTGCTCTGTAATTAGTGCGCAATATATATTGAAAATTCAACCCAATTGGCATGACATTAAGCCAAATGTTCTATTTTGCCACATTACGCCTAGTTGATGGCTATTTGAACCTATTGAAATTTGAAACATAGCGATTGCCTTGCATTTCCTTAAGTACAGTATGTGCCATTACAGTGTAGCAGTATCAATTAAAGGAGGAAGATTTGTTACTGTTCCCTATTTGGAGTAAAGGAGGAAGAGGAATAGATTCTCATTCCTCTCTTAAAAATGTATCCAGGAGGATGTAAGAGTGACTGCTATTCATTTTGTTCCTATTTTGATATAAATTGAATTTCTATTTGGTTTTACTAAACTAATAACAATATTACTATTCTTTTTATCTCAATCTTTCCTCTATTATTTTCAACAACATTCTGTATGTAGAACATATCCTGATAAGCTTCCTATTTGGGCCTATGAAGCCAGCCTAAATGGCTGGCATTGCAAATGCTTCTTTCTCAATGGCATAAACTTCTGTTGAAAATTTGAGAGTTTGGATTTAAGGCTCTGTTCCACTGTAAAATATTTTTCGAAATTTTAATCTTTAATCTTCTCTCTGTATATATATACATAGAAAGAGAGGAGGGAGAAAGAGGGACACAAATTTGGGTCTAGAGTATATTCTGGCGCAGAGTGAGTGAAAAGATAAAGGAGAGAGAGGGATGGTTTAGTGGGAGAGAGATAAAGTAACAACGGGAAGAGAGAGAGTTAATTACAAGGACTATTCCATGCTGGTGATTCGGGTCAAATTACATGTGTGTGGGGAAAATTAATAAGTTATTCGGGTCGGGTAATTTTTTAAGTTGTTGAGTCGAATGACCTTTGAGCAGGGTGCTAGTGCTAGCTGAACGGAGCAGAGCACGGTCCTACATGATGCCGCCGTCGTGCATTGCCCAAAACCCTAATAATCCTAGCATAATTGTTCTTCCTTGGGGATTGAAATCTCCGATGACACGTAGCAGCTCATGTCGTCTACATCTCAGAAAAACCATATCACCGGCGTCTTCTTCTTTTACCGTTCGGTCGTCTTCTTCTCTCTCTCAGCGACCCCTCAGGTACCCTTTTCTTTAGTTCGTCTGACTGCTTTCTTTATAATTATCTTTTGTGTGTGTGCATATATATATATGCCTATGATTCGTATATGTAATTATGTTTCAGAGTCTCATACTGTTGTTTCTAACAGTGATTTTTATCATAACTGTTATTATGTATTCATAGGTACGCGGTGCTTGGTGCTGGCTTTGCTGGGCTGTCTGTTGCTTGGCACTTGTTGCAAGTACTCTCTCTTTAGTATAAAATGGCTGATATTTTAGACGTATTGCTTGCCGATTATAAAATGGGTGCTCTTAGAATAAAAGAAAACCCAAACGGAATTTTTTAAGGTGTTATATTGCTTTAATTCCCATGAAAGCAAAGACATTATTGGCCTGTATCAAACATACATTTTGGTGGCTTGAATTGTTTTTTCTTTGTGTATTTTTAATAATTTAAGGATTCGTTTGAAAAAAATTGTTGTAGTTTTCATTCAAATATATATTTTAATTGGTTTATGTATATGAGGTGTTTTTTTATTGTAAGACTTTTTATGTAAATGCATTTTGAAGTGAAAATGGCATACCTTGGTTGCAGGTTCCATTTGAGTACTTTATTGTACCAGATTGTTGTATCAACTTAATTGGACATGTGTTATTGAATTGTTTTGTTTGCCCATTTGGTGTACTATTATCAATTATGTTGCCAAAAGTTGTATTTGCAAATGTATATGATTATTTATGGTTATATTATATTTTTTGGATGTTCAGTCAATGCCCACTTATAGTTTCAATTTTGAATGACTATTTTTCATTTTTATTAGATTTTATTTTTTCGATCCCACAGAACAAAATTAAATTTGACATGTCATTTGTGTCATCTTTGGCAAAAATTTCCATTTTCGAAGTTAAAAAAGGGAAAAATGAAAATAGAAAAAAAGAAACACTGTTGTGGAACTGATTATCAATTTAATCATCACTGTTGCTTATACTCATGGCCTCGTGGGTTATGTGCGCTCTCATATTCACTATTTATGATGATTAGCCATATTTTGATTTTTCGAAATTACTTTCACAGTACGGTCCCAAGGATTTGCAACTGTGCGTTGACATTTATGATGAAGCCGGCATTGGTGGGGGTGCATCTGGGGTTTCTGGGGGACTCCTTCACCCATACTCTCCCAAAGGTTCCCATTTCATCCTTTGATCTAATGGCAGCTTCTTTGACTTCATGAGCTCCCATTTACTTTCCTCTTCCCAGTTTCACTTGTCTTTTGATGTTCAGTATTTATTTTGATTAAAAGATGTTCAAGAGATATTAAATTTCCGGGTTGAAGTTTTGGTGGGCTAATCAGTTCGATTCTGGCAGCTAAGCTTCTATGGAGGGGTGCTGAATGCTGGAAAGAGAGTTTAAAGCTTTTAAGCGTTGCTGAGGCAGCAGTTGGTTTGCAGGAGTTAAACTTGGGAAATCAAGAAAATTCTAAAGGCTTCATAGTGAGGAGAAGGTTTAGTCTCTGTTGTAGCTTTTCATTTGTCTTTTCTTTCTTCCAGTGTGTGATACTGTCTATTGGTAGCTTAATGTTTCTTTGTAAATGATATCCTCTTGATCTTCAATCATTATATGTGATGGGCCTGATGGCAAATTCTCGGTTACATTAGAATTGGAAGAGGTTAAATGCATGCTATTTGGAATATCTAATAAGCAAAATATGGCACATCATGGTGCAATACACTAGTTTTCTTATCCTATAGGGATGACTACCTCTTGGGTTTGGGAGGGGAGGGGAGGCGGGGAAGAGGATGTAGGATGGTGGCCTCTTCTCCCCCATGTGGCTGCTGAAAGAAATCCTCACTTGGATGCCTCTCGAAATTGTGAGTGAGAATATGGAGAGAGAAATTATTGAACAAATTTAATAGATTGTGATTTAGTAACAGGAAGAACATACGAGTAAAAACCTGTGGTGATTGGTGATGTCCTCTGGTGAAGAGTTGATTGTCTAGATTAAGAGATAAGTGAAGCTGAGTGGGTGAAATAGTGGCAGGGAATGGAAACCCAACAAAACCCTAACATGAATCATATATGGGGAGAGGTAATTCAGAAATTTTCAAACATAGGGGACATTTTAGTAAAGTGACGTATTGCCCCCTGGACCCCCACTAGAGGGTGGGGGAGAAGGCGGCAATTTTAAACTCTACCCCATTTTGAACCTGAGTGGGAGTTTACTTTTTCTTTTAGACCCACCCATACCTGAAGATTAACCTTCCCAAACCTAATAGGGGCTAGGCTTGGCTGGCATCCTTCCCTATGAGTCATGATTCTGAAGACCTTTTCATATTTATAATTTAGATTATTTTAATTAAATAGAGCATCATGTTGTAATGCTTATGTGTGTTGTACTTTCCCTTTATTATTATTATTACATCATCATCATCATCATTTGGTATGTAAAAAAGGCTCTAGCCTAGCTAAGCCACTTTGTTCAACTTTCTGCTTGGAATGGTTAGGCCAGCAGGTGGCAACCTCAGACCTTAACCTCTGAGAAGGAGAATGTTCTGTTCCCTTAGTGCCTCTGCTTGAAGTACAAGCTCTAGACAATGTCCTGTTCCCTTAGTGCCTCTGCTTGAGGTACAAGCTCTAGCTACTTAGCTTGGCGAGTTATACTTCCATTTTTTGTGCATTTGAGGAATTGGTCTAGATCCCTTGGAGCAAGTTCTAGTTTTATTTTCTGCAAGTATCTGTTACTATATGTGGACTTATGATGGAAATTATTCACTTTAGAGGCATTCTAAGGCCAGCAGTCAGTTTGAAGAATATGGATGCATTGAGTGATGTAAGTACCTCAAAACTTCCTACTAAATCACGATGGCTTATTGAAATTTTCTTTACAGTAATATTGGTATTTCTTGCTTTTCATTAGTAGAATGTTCAGGACTGCCTTGCTAGTTGCAGAATAGAGTCCATTGACGAGGATGCTGCCAGAAGTCTTGTTCCCAATTTATGCGTACCTTTCAACTCTGCCTTTTATATGCCTGAAGCTGTAAATGTTCATCCCCTTCGCTATCTGGAGGTCTGAAAATACAATAATGCCTTTAAAAAAAAAAAAAAAAAGAAAAATTCAATATTCCTTTCTTTTAATTTATTGGCATTTTCTTATTTTGTGATTGTTTTATTAGGCACTCTTCTTAGCATGTGAAAATCTAGTGAAAGACGTGTCTACTTCAGGTTTTGCGGAGAAAGAGTTATGTTTGCACAAGAAGTCCATAAACAATCTCCTTGAACTAGCCGGTAAACTCCAGTGCTATTGTTTCAATTTCTTTCAGTTGCAACCAGAGTTCCAATTGTAGTTAACAAAAAACAAACAAGAGGGGATCATGTTCTAAACTGTATAGGTGCTTTCAATGCAGGCGGTATCTGTAATGTTGTCTCCTACTCGTAAATTGTTTATTTGTTGCACATTGACATAATGTGTTCTATACGCACTGACACATCAGAGCATATATTGTTAATAAGGTTACTGAAAACTAGTTTCCTTCTATAAAGAAAACATTTGTTCTTTAGAAACAAATCTGTGTGCAAATCCAGTCTTAAGTTGTTCATGCATCTGCATGTACAGTGGGTGCAATTTTTTTTTTTCCTGAATGTAGTGGGTGCAATTTCTGTTGGGAGAATATGGAGTGATTTAAGCCTTGATAGAATATTGATGGAGGAATCCTCCATCAATATTCTATCAAGGCTTAAATCACTCTTATCATGATGTACTCCCCCAATTACATATATACTTGTGGTTAATTGAAACTCAATTACTAGATCTAACCCACCCATCAGTCAGTTGTCAAACTGATCACATGAGCAAGGTTGATCTATTTTGTGCACTTGGCTACCCAGTGAACTGGTACGTTGGCACCTTCCCAGGTCGTCAGCTCTTAGAGTTAGATACAATACTTGCCACCCAATCTGACTTGAAAATTTCAATTTAAATACCTCTGTGAATTGAAAATGGGGACCTTACAAAAGAGCTGAAAATGAAGAGCTCTTAATTTCTCTATTTGGAGTCCGGCTGCTTAATCCTAAAGGGCTGCTTGGATGCCAAACTCACCCTTGTTGAGCATGTTATAACTTGAACCATTTTTCTTTTGTTTTTCAAATTCTTTGAGGTCTGGGCACTTAAAAAGGTGTAATTCCCATGTTAGGCAATGCAAATGTATCATCAGCTTATTAACCATGTAATAGAAGAGGAACTTAATAACCTTGGTTTATGCCATAGTTTAGAGTGTTTATTTTCATCCTAATCAGTGGAGTGATAACAGTATTTTCTTTTTCAGGGGAATATGATGCAGTGATTATTTGTCTAGGTGCCAGAGCAGCCTTTCTGCCAGAGCTATCAGGGAGGCTTCCTTTGAGGACATGTAGAGGTGTCATTGCTCACCTGCACCTGCCTGATGATATTGGGTAAAAGCTCTATACTTGTGTGGCTTCCAATGATGAATGAGATTCACTTAATCATAGAATGCGGAATGAAGCATTATAATTTCCATAGCATCTGTAATGAGTAATCCATTGTATTTATGTTCAAGCTAAATTATCATATTTTGGTGGTGCATCCCTTCTATTGGTAATGACTTTACCCTGTGGTTACACATAGTGAAGGATAGTTGTGTCTGGATATGATATGATAAACAAAAACGGAATGGTATCAATTACTATCTAGTAAACATATGCCCCCATGGAACAACATTTTTCGAAATTAATTATTTTGGATGCTGTGTTTCAGAGAGAGTTATCCAGAACGTAGCCCTTCGATTCTCTCAGATGCATGGCTTGCTGTCCATGGGCCCCGCAATCTTCATTTGGGCTCCACATGGGAATGGAAGTCAAAGAATTATTCACCATGTGTCCCTTGGGAGGAAGCTTCAAAAGCTCTGGAAGAGCTTCTGCCAAAAGCATCTGTCATATATCCAGGCATAAAGAATTGGACATGCACTGGAGCAAGTGCAGGTCTAAGGGCAATGCCTCCACTCACTCCTAATGGATCACTTCCAATTCTGGGTTGTATAGATGATTTTGTAGGTGGAAATTGTACTTGTAAATACTGGTTATTTGGTGGCCTTGGTTCAAGGGGTCTGTTGTACCATGGTTGGCTTGGGAAACTGATTGCACAAGCTGTGCTTTCCTGTAATGAAGATTTAATCCCCTCAGAATTAATCTCTTGGAGGAATAAGATGAAACAATAATTAATGAGAATTTCTTGATCTATAGCTTTAGCAATTAAACTTGCTTTATACCTTCCTTTTACAGAGTATTACAGCACCTGTCTAATTTAGTGGGCTTATTAGTAGAGGTAAACTCAGCTCCCCTTTCTTTGATAGAATAAAAGGGCAAATATGCATCATGGGTGTAATCTAATTCACACAATTTTTCTTATGAGGTGCCGCTCTAATGCTTCACTCGTGCTCTCGCTCTCACTTTGTTTAGATTTTGTTGCTTTTGTTCTCCTCTCGCACTTGCTCTTGCTTCCTCTCCCGTTCTATGTGACTTGGGGTATAATTTGTTCAGCCTTAAATTTAGGTTGAACCTAGTTTAATTGTTACGTAGAAAATTATAAGTAGAGACTTGTAGATTGGTAGAATTCAACCACTTTAAAGCTAGCTTTTTTTATGGAAGATTGCTTTATTAATATTAAAGGATGATAACAAGAGCTTTAGAATCATCAAAAGACCATAACTTTCACAAAAAATGCAAATACTAGGGACATAAAATAAAAAATAATTGAAATGGAAAAACCAGAATAATACCCTAAATCTGCAACATATATCTGCATGTTGAAGCTCCAGTCAGTTCCCATGCAAATATACCAATGAAAAACTAAGTGAAATAAAAGGTTAATAATTTATTTTCTAATTCATTTAAATTTGAGATATCTAATTTTCATTTAAGAAATGATTTTCTATTATAGTTAAAAATATATACAGCAAAATAGATATATAAGCACAATCATGGTTTTAAAAAGTAAAAGCATTAGGCAAGGCACTCTCATTTTAAAGAAAACATAGTTTAAATTTTACAATACATGGTTTAAAACTAATCCAAAAAATGTGCAGTAGAAGATGAAGCCACTAATGAGGAAAAGGAGAATCATCATAATATAAAATTACACAACATTCCACAGTCATTTCATCATCGTAACTCCTTTCTACCCCCTCTTTTTTTTTTTCCCCTCCTTTTTTTGGTTGATATAAAGAACAGAAGATTGTAAGAGAAGTTCCCTTTTTACTCTTTGCATCTATTTCTACATTTTCACAATTTGTTCCATCCTTGTTACTGTAAGACAGTGTAGTGCTGCTGAATGGTTCCGATGTTTAATCCCAGCTTCCACCACTGATTCAAGGTGTCCTTTTAGGGATCTACGTTAACCTGCAGAAACATTCGAAAATATGTAGTCTTTTACTATAAGAAAAGTTGTCCGATATTGAACTGGACATGTCCTTCAAAATGATCAAGCAATTTATGCACAAATCAGTCTTTCTTTTTGAATAATGCTAATCATGTATATACTTGGCAACTTCAGCACGTTTCTTCGCCTGCTCGGCAATCTCAGACAACTCCCGGTAGCTGCTCTTGTCATTGAGCAGGCTAGGATCAGTTTCTGTGGTCTTGAGGCCATGATGTGTACGTTGAGCCGCGGCCCATTGTGCCTCTCTCTCTTCCTTACCATAGTCCTTCTTGGTTGTGAAAGCAGTCTAGATCGTTAGATGAGAGGAAAAAAAAAAAAATTGAGTCAAATAAATAAAAAAGAAAGTTGTATTAGCATGGCCGTTGGCATTGTCATGAAGTTTGTCTATATACCTTGTTCTGCATCATGTTATCCCAGGCCTTATTGGTCAATGCGTAGCGGATGATGAACTTAAGGACATCAAGAGGGAAGTAGGTGATAACGCTGAAGATCCAGATCACGCCAGCCCATCCCCACCCAACGCCTTGGATCCGAGCAAAGTTCCAGTCTGCATAAACAGCAATGGCAGTGGCCACCTACATTGAGGAATTACATAACTTAGACGAAGATATATTGTCATCAAGTGCACTAAAAGGACTAGCAAAACATTTTATAAAAAAGCCTCCTACAAAGACTTACCAACTGGGCTGCAATGAAGGCACCAATAAGCATGAGTCCAGGGCGTTCAAGAAAAGACCAGCCGCGTGACCTGGTGACGAAAATGAGTGCTTGACTGACAATACTCACTTGAAGGTAAAGGGCCGCAGTAAGCTCATCTTTGCTATCCCTGATCGATCTAACATTGAAAGTTTTCTGCAAATGTTAAATTTCTTAGTAGTTTTCTTTTTATTTTATTTTTTTCTCAATTTGATTTTGCCATTTTAGTGTTGTTAGCTTACGGAGAAGAAGTTGGTATCAGCAGCAATATAGAAGAAGACCACACTCATGATGGCAAGATAGGTTCCAAGGACAATGCCGGTGGCAAAGATTTCCTTGAGCTTCCATGAATCAGGGACGGGAGATGGCTTCACCCTGTCTTTAGAGATGGTCATGATGGTTCCGTCATTCAGGATGGCAATGATGAGGACCATAAAAGGTGAAAAGTCGAACTTCCAGACAAGAGCGATAAGCATGAACCCCATCACAATACGAATCGTGATTGAAACAGCATAGATGGTATAGTTCTTCATCCTCTGGAAGATGGCTCTGCTTGTCAAAACAGCGCTCACGATCACACTAAGTCCTGGCTCAGTCAAAACTATGTCAGATGCACTCCTGGCCGCATCAGTTGCATCTGCCACGGCAATGCCAATGTCTGCCCTCTTAAGTGCTGGGGCATCATTTACACCATCTCCAGTCATTCCACAAATGTGCTTCCTTTCTTGCAGCTTCTTAACAATCTCATACTTGTGCTCTGCATACCCCAAATTTATTACATCAATTGTACCGAAACTTGACCTTTATTATCTTAAGTTATATAGCATTTTAGTATTTGTCCTTCATTCTATTTTAATCCAATTTACCAGGGAAGACACCAGCAAAGCCATCAGCATTCTCAATGAGCTCCTCGATAGGAATCGTAGCAATGGACTCGTCCTTGCACTGACCTAGAAGGGAGGATGATGGGTACATGTTGGTGCCCATCCCAAGCCTACGACCAGTTTCTTTTCCGATTGCAAGCTGGTCACCAGTGATCATTTTAACGTTGACACCCAGGTCAAGGGCCCTGCGGATAGTCTCTGCACTGTCATGCCTTGGGGGATCAAAGAGGGGCAATAAACCCACAAATTCCCATGGACTGCCAGCGCTCTCCTTGGTTTTCTCTGGTACTGTCTGTAAAGACATCATTCCATTAAATCCAATTTAGTTCGAAAATTTCACCTCTTTATACTTATCATGAACGAATACCAAATAGACTTGAGTGATAAATGACTTACCTGTCGTGCAATACCTAAAGAACGAAGGCCACGATCAGCAAAACTGTCGATGATCTGATGGGCCTTCTTTGCCGCCTCTCCTTTGAGGTCACAAAGTTCAATAATCTGGTACAGTGATTGAATTAGATATGGTAAAGGAAATGCCATTATGGTACAACTGCACCAGTGGAGGAGTATCTTACTTGCTCAGGAGCACCTTTGCTGCTTCTATGCCAATCCCCATGAGAGTCGATGTAGGTTATTGCAGTGCGTTTCTCCACCGGATTGAAGGGCAGGAAATGCACCTCTGTAATCCCTTCTCTTGCCTAAAATCCCCACAAGAAAGCAGAAAAAAAAGATATAAGAAATACTCTCACTAATCTCATATATTTTAGGCATAGTGGAATACTTTAAAACATCAGAGTTCACAAAAAGGGAAGGATCCGACAAACTACCTCCTTGGCATCACTCAGCATCCCAACAATTGAAGCATCAATGGCATCCTGATTTTCAACCCTAGAAGCCCTAGCAGCAAGGAGAATAACGTCGGCCTTATCAAGGTCGTTGGGGAATACCTGCAACCATGAGTATTGCCATTAATACAAGTCCTGAAGCTTTTGGTCATATTTTCCATACACAAAACAAAGTGTCTTCCCTTCTTTCTGTGGCTTGGAAATTATTAGTGTGCTTTGAGTTTGTTACAAACCTCAATCAAGTTTTTGTCCACCGAGAGCTTGTTGAGGGTAAGAGTTCCTGTCTTGTCACTGCAAAGGACATCCATCCCCGCCATCTCTTCAATAGCAGTCATCCTCTTGGTAATGGCACCTTGCTGCGACAACCGGTGAGAGCCAATAGCCATGGTCACAGACAGCACTGTTGGCATGGCAATTGGGATCCCTCCAATGAGAAGCACTAGCAGATTATCAATACCATCTCTGTATTTCCTATTCTGGATTGGGTACATCACCAAAAGCTCCAGTATCATACCCACCCCAATCGAGCAAATACAGAAGTTACCAATGGCAGTCAACACCTGATCAAAACCATCAACCATCATCCGACATCAATGGAAATGAAGCTACAGTGCAATATTGAATTTCACATAACGAAAGACTTTACCTTTTGGAAGTGCCCCACTTGATTTGTGCTGTCAACAAGGTGGGCAGCCTTGCCAAAGAAGGTGTGAACTCCGGTGGCAATGACCACGGCCTCAATCTCACCTTGCTTGCAGGTGGAACCAGAGTACACTCCATCACCAGGGTTCTTTGTTACAGGCAAGGACTCACCAGTGAGCGCTGACTGGTCAATCTTGAGTGGATCTCCTTCAAGTAGACGAGCATCTGCTGGGATAATATCTCCCAACTTCACGCTAATCACATCTCCTGGAACTAAGATTGATGCATCCTGCTCACTCCATTTTCCATCTCTTAACACCTTCAATATATATTCAAAACAATGAGCCACGGTATGAAATTTCATTTATAAAGCTGCTAATGTTAGATATGGGCATGAACAAAAATGGAAGCCAATACCTTGGTTTTGGGGGCGAGACCAGCCATGAGTGCAGCAGCGGCATTACCTGCATTGTTTTCTTCAATGAAGCTGATGGTGGAGTTGATAAATAGCAGCACAACAATACCCACAAAGTCTTGCCAGTCTGGAGGCCTCCCCTGCATTATTCAAATCACCTTACCCACTAATTTTATATAACACAAGTAAATATAAGGCTAGCTCAGTGCACGAGACTCTCTCCATTGTGGAGTCTGGGAAGAGTCAGATGTACACAGCCTTACTTGTGGCCTCCAAATCACACTGTTGAGCCAAGGCCACCCTCATATAACATATGTACATATATAGTATATATATGGATATATAGAGTTGTTATTACCCCTCCATTTGCCAAAACTATGGCCATAATAGCAGCACACTCCATGACCCATGATAAAGGATTCCACATAAAACCCAAAAACTTGAGAAGCTTGCTCTCCTGTGGCAGAAATTTTATACAAAAGATCAATTCATTCTTCAAGAAACTTCATGTATGAAAAATCCAATACAAAAAATATAAATAAATAAATAAAAATTATAAGCAAAAGAATAAAAATACCTTTTTCTCCTCAAGCTTGTTAAGGCCAAAAACTTGGAGCCTGTTCTGTCCTTCCTGTTCTGTCAAACCCTCCCTTGTACATTTCAGCTGCTCGAATACTTCATCAACAGGGATATTCTCCTGCACACCATTCATTTATTCATCATTAATTATAATCCACACAATCACATTGTCATTAATTATTGGTAACAATTTATGAAAAAAATAACAAACAAAATAAAATGTATGTATGATCCATTTTAAAGGCTCAGGTCAAAATTTATCAACTAATGTGGTTGTATATCATGCTGCAAAATTACATTTAATTTGAAATTATAATTTGATCATCGGCCAATACTATACAAACTGGAAATGAAGATTTTCAGTAAAGATAGAAATTGTGAATAATTTGGGTAGTGTGCTTACGAGGTCGACTTGCTCATTCTTAACATCTTCCATTGAAACGGAGGAGGCCATGATGATCAGACAAGAAAAAGATGAAAGAAGAAAGAAGAGAGAAACTCTGGTTTCTCTCTCTCTCTCTACTCAAATCTCTCTCTTCTTTCTCTCTCTTCAGGCCTCCTCCATAAACAAGCACGCAACAGTCTCTCGAGAAGGCGTTGGTAATAAAATTGCCTTATAACGAACACTGCTTCAATGCGAGGGAAAAATAACGAACCCAGTGGGCATCCAGCAACCGACAAGCTGTGTTTGCCCGTTTGTTTTTTGGAGCATTTTGCGGCTGTGCAAAAACACCGGTCAACTTATGGTGTCACCGTAAAACATGGAACATTTATATTTATATGATTCATCGTTAATTTTCAATAAATAGTCTAATACATTCTTATGTCTGGTAATTGGTTGATTATTGTTTTACTAAGAATGTAATTTAATATGAATATGGATATTTTTTAGTTGATACAAATTGGTATATGCTATATAGAGATGTATGCATATGAATATGTGTAATGATTAAATTGTCCTCGTTGGTGAAAATTAATTTAAAAGCTGAAAATCAAAATTTTAAAAAGACTATTTTAACCTTAAAGGCCACACGGCACTTCTCCAAGCCAATACATGTGTGAAACGACTTTGTTTTGGTCTACAAATTAATCAAAATTACAACATTACCCTGTTCATTTAAAACCTAGTTGTAACTATCCGCACCAAACAACTCCTAACTCATTGGTTTGGTTTCACCTTTGGTCGACAAATGCTTAGCTAAGCTCAATGTTCGAATCCTATTTCTTTCCCTCTTCCACGACAAGTGGGATTTGGTGTAATCGAGGATGTCCGCGAAGCTGAATTCACCTCGACGAGTACGAACCCATGTTGATTTAATACAACATAATATAGTCTGTACATTGCTAGGGTTTTATATTGTTTTCTTTCAAGGTGGGTCATTGTGATGTGGGCATGATTCTAACAAATTGGGCTCTATTTAAATAAGAGCGTAATAATATTGTATATTCATCTGACGAATTTCATGTAAGGGCTTGAATACTTTTCAACCACATTTTTTTTTTTTTCAAATTGTCAAGTGATTTTAAGAGGATTTAGTTACCACAAGAGGTTTTAATAAGATTTAGTTCTACTAGGGGGTTGCAAAAATTAAAAATGATAGTTCAAGTGGGATTTTGTGATTTTTCCCCTTTATTTTTCAATCAATTTCAAGTATCTTGGTGTTAGCCCCTTGTTGACGATTCAGCCCTGTAACACTTGGCCAGTTGTCAATTTAATTGATGAAACATCCTCAACCAGAACCATTCAAATTTGATAGAGCATAGAAATTTACATCCAAATTTCTCTAGTACCGACTTTCCTTCTATTCAAATTTGAACCACTACTCCAAACACACATTTTCACCCAGTTCATGCAAAAATTCAGCAAGTCTAAAAACCACACTAAAAATCCAGGTTTTGAACTCGATACAGTTCCTTTTAAACTGTTGAAGTTTCTGCTCTTTCTCAAGGATTGATTGTACCCTAAGAATCCATTCGGCAAAAAAATAATAATGAATTAATGATAAAAATTTCATCCAAAAAAGTACAATCTGAAGCACCAAAAACCAAAGAATGGAAAAAAATAAAAGTTTGAAAATTAAAAAGAAAGAAAGAAAGAAATGGCTTCCAGATTACAGAGAATGCGAGTCCTAACAGGGCTATATATACCAACTACAGCTCCTGTAATAGTGTCCTGTAGGCATCTATATAACTTCAGATTAAGCCATTGCAGTTCTACATACCCTTAAAATATTTGCCGAGTTTAAACATCACAATGAAGGGGGAGGGGGTTTTACAATTAACTTCCTTTTGTGTGTGCAAGGCCTGATGCACAGCGAATGAGCTACTTGTGCCTAGTTTACAAGCCCAAATAAAACCAACATAAAACACATTTAAAATTGAATTGTCATCTAAGCAAGTCACTTTGGGCAAAATAATACCAAAAGTTGAATTTGTATCCAATCTTTGCCGTACCAATTTTGGATGGGTAGGAACACACTAGTTTTAAAAAATAACCCTGCACCTGGAACATAAAAGACTTTGGCTCAGTCAACAGTGAACTAGCCCAGATTGGCTTTCCAACAGTGAACAAACCCTAAAATTCTCCCCGTATCACATCTCACCTCCAAGCTATCACTACAGAAATCCATATCTCACCCCAATGACATTGAAAGTCAAGATGTTATAAAGGAAAAAATAACTAGAATAGTCCAAAGAAAACCAGATACTATTCAATCCCTCAAACTTTTAAAGACAACATCTTCAGTCCCTCCATGCACAGGAAAATCAGCCAACCCAACTAATATGCACAGATACATTCCCTGCGTTCACTTTTCCTTTGGGGATAAATGCATGATGATCGAAATAGAGTTCAATGGAAGCTAACTTTAGAGCAATTAAAATGAAATAGCTGGCTAAAACATCAACCCCTTGTGTAGAGAACCCCTCCATAAAGCCCTTAGTAAAATCCCCCTATACAAAAGCCCTTTATGAAGTCCAACTAGTAGCTATGGCTTTGTTCTATATTTCTTTCTTACTTCCTTCTGTTAAATGAAAATAAGAAATAAATAATAAACAATAGGAACACGCTGTCTCCAATTCAACAACGATCACAAAAAAACTTCTTAGCTCTCTGTTATCCTCCAAGAACTGCATAAATAACATACTCAACAATAAAGTTCTTGTTAAAAACCATCTGGCATCTACACTAAAAGCTAAAGCTATTATGTTACTTTAATATTCAAATCATTCAAAACGCCTCCTCAATTGTGGCTTTCTTTTGGTCCACGACTTGTTTCAATTTTAATTATAAGGGTGACGGTGAGGTTTGAACTTGAGATTTTTGGCTCTAATACCATGTTAACAACCCTACTCTAAAAGATTAAGCTATTAGAGAGGGTGTAACTTTAATATTTATATCCTTCAACAGTTCTCAAACACGATTCCAAACTTTCTCAAACAGGTACCACTAATTAATGTTTTAGGGCCAGTGAACTTTATCAAACATGTACCACTAGTTGTGTCTAACACTCTAACCCCCTTTTGACTGTCAACAAAGGTAGCCCTCCTGTCTAACACACAACTTTGTACCAATAATTAGTGAATTGGTACCACTGAAAGGGGATTTTCCACTGTGTTTATATTCCTTTTTACCAACTTAATTAGCCCAAATATAAATGGCATTTCTTCTTTCTGAGTAATATCCAAATTTTTAGATTGTAATCCAATCCCTTATTCAATCTCTTGATTTCTCTTTAAATGAAGTCAACGGGATATCATATCCCAATTACTAAGCATCCTCCAAAAATACATTTTTATTCAAAACATAATTTAAAAAAATAAAATAAAAGAAGCATACTAATCAACTCATTTAAGAGAAAAACCCAACAAAACCAATGGCAATACGACATCCAAAACCCATCATAACATCACATTAAACTAAAATTAAGTCAAGCCCATCAATTGAAATGTGAAATCAAATGTAAATCAAACAACAATCCTCACAATTTCTGCAGAGTAACTTTAAAGAGTTCAGAACTGGTTTAGCTAATATAAACTAAACACAATTTTCAAGTCTTAATTGAAACCAGAAACATCACAATGGACCTCAAAACCCTAGCTTTGTTCGGCGCCAGTGCCTCCTCTTAGCATTGTACCTGAACAAAAAAGACAGCTTAGCAGTAATTTGGTTGACACAGAGATTGAAAGAAGAACAAAGTATTGAATTGAACCTAACCTGATGGTGTTGTCGGTCCTCAAGCGAATCCAGTGAGGAATAGGCCTGTTCTGCCTCATCTTCTTCGCGAGTTTCTTCTTGATCATGAAGCTCTTGTGCGACGGCTGTACATATCAACATCCGAATAAGCTCGTATAATAATACACATACATGAATACGTACAAACGTATCTATGTATATGTATATTCGCACATAGTTGAAGTTCAGAACAAAATCTTATATGTCTAGATCAGAACTCAGAACAATAATTATGCGTAAATGTCAGATCTTAAGACACCTGTATATCCGAGTGTTTTTTGTGTATAAATACATGTGTGTGCTTGCTTATATATATATATGTGTGTGTGTGTGTGTGTGTGTGGAGAGAGAGATTCACCATTTTCGCGATCCGATGAGCACGGCAACAGAAACACCGAGACAAACCCTAGATTTTGTGAAGCCTCGTGTCCTCTACAGAGTATGGAAGGACTGCATTGTGAAAGGATGGAATAATGGGCCTGGGCCAAGAACGAAAGATTCAATTGGGTCGGATTCATATATTGTGTATATTACGGTGAGTGGTTGTGGGCTGTTACTATTAGATGTCAATCCAATAGATAATAGTCTATATAGTTTGTGTTGATGTGTGAATTTCTTGTCAAATAAAAAATATAGAACTTTGAAAAAAAAAAAAAAAAAATTTAATTGGAGAATTGTAGAAATTATACATTTTTTAAACTCAATTTCTAGAAAATTTTCCTAAAAAAATCACCAACCTAGATACCACTTTATAATTTCAAGTTAAACAAGCCCCATGTTACTTAAATCTCCTTTTGTGTATTTTTAGTCCTGTTCTACTGTTCTTAAATTTATAAAATGTGGTCAAGGTTGAGATGGTTGCCATGATTGTTTTAAACATTACTTGATTATTTTGAAAATACAATCACTTTTACTTTTTACATATCACATATATATATTTAGAGGGTGAAACCAAAACTTGCTTGTTTGTCACTCAAAATATTACTATAAATGACAGTTGTTTAAAAAATGATATTTTTTAAATTGAATTTTAGAAAAAAAAAAAAAATTCAAAAACTATCAATCAAATAAATACTAAGAGAACAATGAGAAAAATTCAAATAGGATGGTCAAGTCATATGTAGAGCCACATTAAGGGTAATGTTTGATAGAGAGTGGTTTAACTAAAATTATGACAATAGATAGAGTAGAATAATGTGTCTATAATTGAGACAAAAACTAGTTGAAGCATACCATACGCGACTTTAAAATAATAAGGATCAGAAGTGACGCCGTTCTTTTTGTTTCATCATTCATGACAATATTGTGTTTACCCCATGAGCATAAATCAAATCATAATCATTTGTCATGTATTAAAATTAGCTGGCACAATTTAAACTCTTTCAAAAATCATCAACCTTTATGAACAAACATCGAGTGCGTCGGTGTAACTAACTGCTAGATCTTGTTTTGGTTCCCAATCCGGCTTTATCCAACCTCATTGTTTGGACCAATTTGGACATATTTGTTTCTGAATCATATGTGTGTGTATAAATTTATATATAAGATTTACCTAAACATAGTCTACACAAAGCTTGCTTAGTTTTATAGCATCTTTTAATAATGATTAATAGCACAAAATAATAATAATAATGATTAACACCCAAAAAACAAAAAAAAATTTAAGTGGCCTCTAAATTCTTGCCTTCGTTTCATTGCGACAAAAGTGAGAATTTAGAAATTGCTTCTGAAAAATTAGTTAAAACTTTGAGCTAAATTTTTTCCAATTTTAAATTTCGGTGCTCCCAAATACAACATTAGTTTCATAACCTTTGTTTCTCTGTTTTAGTCTAGGTTGATTGGTGCAATAAATTAATTCCATACTGAGTAATGCCAATAAACTAAATTGTATCAAAGGTGCTTAAGATTCACATGACACAAAACTGGTGTAAAGGAGTGACTTCACATTGGTTGAGTATAACCTCATGTGAAGTATTGCCAATATGCTGATTTTTGACAGTAATAAAAATATATTTTTGATTAATTCTTTCACAAAATATTCAATACAACATCATCTAAAGTCACATTATTGTATACTAGTACTTCTAAATATGACAGCTTATTTAGACTCGTACTTTTGGCATTAACCCTATAACAAATGTTCAAACTCATTGATTACAAGCATGTCTTGATCCAAATTGACAAACCTTCTTGAGTACAAGAAAGCTGGCCAAGAAATACCAAGAAAACAACCCAAAGATAGCTCTAACAATAAGAAAAACATTATTTTCCTTTTGTGTGTGTATACATAACGACTTAATTAGCATTATCTAGCAAATCTAAACACATCCAAACAACATAGAATATCGATAGAACCGTAGTTCTTATGCCATCTTAATCATTATAAATTTATATATATATGTACATCTTTCAAGGTTCCAACAACTGATTAAAAAATCTAATGATGGCCGGAAGGAAATTGGTGGCATTCTTTCTGGCCATCATTGTTGCTGAAGCTAGAACCATTGTGCCTAATACAATGGTTCTAGCTCCACCCTTTCCAAGGCCTGTAAGTACTATTTCGCCATCTCCGGCTCCAATGTCATCTCCTGCCCCAACGCCCTCAGCCTCTCCTGCTATCAAAGGTGGATACTGGATTTCATCAACAGCCGAGAGTTCTCCTCCATCAACAATCCCAACTTCATACTTCACTCACCTTTTTTACGCCTTTTCCGTGCCTGATCCCACAACTTACCAACTCTCCATCACACAAGCTGATGAAAAATGGATGGGGAACTTCACATCCACCCTCCATGCCAAAAGTCCCCCTGCACTGACCTTCCTAGCCATTGCAGGAGACCCTAACATTTTCTCAAACATGTCTAGCAACCGCGACAATCGTGCATCCTTTATCCAGTCAAGCATTGCTGTAGCTAGAGAGTACGGTTTTGATGGCCTTAATCTTGATTGGGAATTCCCAAACAACCCACAAGAGATGTCAAACATGGCAATACTCTTCTCTGAGTGGCGCAGCGCCATTGACAAGGAAGCGCTTGCTTCTGGCAGTCCTAGACTACTTTTATCTGCCGCGGTTTATTTTGCTTCAAACTTTTTCCTATCAAATGTCCCTCGGACTTATCCGGGTGATGCCATTGACAAGTATGCTGATTTTGTGAGCCCAATGTGCTATGACTATCACGGTGCTTGGGACACCTCTGTCACAGGGGCACAGGCATTGCTTTATGACAAGTCTAGCAATCTTAGCACTAGCTATGGTATATCATCATGGATTAAGAATGGTGTGGCACCAGAGAAACTAGTCATGGGACTACCAATGTATGGAAGAACATGGAAATTGAAGGACCCAAATGAACACGGAATTGGGGCTCCTGCAGTAGGAGCTGGACCTGGATTCCAAGGTGTTATGGTGTATAGTGATATAGTGGACTACAATTTGGCAAACAGTGCCACTGTTGTATATGATGAAGGGACAGTATCGACGTACGCGTATGCTGGAACTGACTGGATTGGATATGATGGAGAGATATCAATATCAAATAAGGTTAGATTTGCTAGTGCTCAGGGTCTTGGTGGCTATTTCTTCTGGGCGGTTGGATATGACAAGAACTGGACACTCTCAAGAGCAGGTTAATTTTTAAGATTTATACTCTTCTCCCTAATATTCCACCACAAAAAGTCTAACTAAATGTCATGGCTTAGTGGCTTAATGCTATAGCATCAAATTTAAGTTTGTTAACAGATCAAATTGACAAATGCATCCACAATCATCTTCCATCAAATTATTCATTCATTCTATATATTAAAGATGTTATTATCTACTATACACACATAGATGCCTAATTGATCAGTAAGAGCTGTTGAACATTAGGACTAATTGAATGGTATGTGATTTTATGGCAGCTTCAATTGCGTGGGAAGGCAAAATTTGATTTATGCAGAGCTTGAGAAGGCTAGCCATTTTCACAACTCGCACCAAGCTTTCAACAAGTCTCTCCTCTCTCTTTGTAAAGTGCAGTAGTAATCTCCATTTTTCTTATTTATTTATTTGTGTAATAAGGAGACGATTGTTTGATCTTTATTTGTTCCGACTGATGAATTTCCTCCTCATTTCGGAAACCTTTTGCAATACATTCGAGAATGATAAATGTTTTTCATTCCCTTTTATTAATTAAAATACAAGAGTTGTCTTCGAAATTTAATAGCAGTCAAAAAGGTGGAAAGGGGACTGTAGAACAATTAAGATTCGTTAAAATCCAATTAAGCCCTCGATCATGGGTCATCATAACTAATATGAAGCAATATAAATGAAAGGATGGATCATAACAACTCATGAAGAATTATTGACAATATGTTCTGCTGGAAAAACTATACTTTTTAGTATACAGACTAAAAGTAACAGGAATGTGGCCATACTGTTCAGTGTAAGAGGACATGGATAGATTAAAGCAGAAATTTGAATTTTTTTTTTTTTAATGAACTATATCTACAGTACAAAAAAATATGGATGAGACTTATCGCGCTACCATTTGGGTAATTGTTGCATCATCAACCGACCAAGGTTCTTTCCGCAATGTAGATTCATTTTCCCTGTCCTGATCACTTCCTATAGAAAAAGCAGGCCTTTTTGGAGTATTCATAGCCATAACTTCATTTTTTAGCATGGATGAAACTTCCAACATGGATGATCTATCTGCCGGATTTTCTTGCACACATAACAGACCTATTTGCATGCATCTCATCAATTTACACGAAGAAGATGTATCGTTCAGTGATGGATCCATAAACTCCATGCCATTGCCTTCTTTCCAGAGCTCAAATGCCTGAAACAATACAAGATTATGAATCTTTATGGTTTAGAGAGATAAATTTCTAGTGCATTATCATAGCAAGGTTCCAGAGTAACTTACATAATCTGAAAGGTTCAAATTTTCATGCAGACCATGTAAACAATTATTCTGCTTGCCACTGATGATTTGTAAAACCAGAACTCCGAAACTATAAACATCCGATTTTGTGGAGTAGATACCATGTTTTACATATTCAGGGGGCACATAACCACTACATTGCATGAACCAACGAAAAGGATAAATAGTTAACAATGTTTACATGTGTATGAGATGTTTTTGAGAGACATATTACTCACTGTGTTCCGACTATTCGGTCTGTGTTTGCTTCAAATTCATTTTTTTGGAAAGTTCTAGCAATACCAAAATCTGATATCTTAGGCTTCATCTCATTGTCCAGTAAGATATTGCTCCCTTTCAGATCTCTATGAATTACTGTTAACCTTGAGTACTCTTGGAGATATAGCAGCCCTTGAGTAACCCCTTCCATAATGTGAACTCTTTTCTCCCAATCTAAGAGTAGCCGTCTAATTGGGTCTACATCAAATTAGATTTATGGATGATTAATTGCAGCTCTTTGAAGTTTTGAGGACGGAGACCAATGCACAAAATTTATATGAACTTCATGTGATGCCACACATCACTGAAAGTATTTCTTAAAGTGCTACCACCAAATAGAATTGCATAATTTATTTATAAAGTTCAAATAATGCTTACCATAGATGTAGAAGTCCAAGCTTTTGTTGGGCATGTATTCGTAGACCAGCATCTGTTCTTCTTTCTCTGTACAGAATCCCAGAACTCTTACCAGATTTACATGTTGTAGCTTTGCAGTTACCACAACCTCACTTTTGAACTCTTCAAATCCTTGTGTAGAGGTCTTTGAAAGCCTTTTAACTGCTATTTCTTGTCCATTCTGTAATTTACCCTGCCAAAACATGCACCACTATTTTTTTAATCTTTGGCTACATATAAGCTATTTTAAGATCCAACACTTAACCGAGCATGCCCCAAAACTATACAATGATTGGTATTTTCCATTACGAAATTAGTATTTGTTAAATATATTGTAATATATATATGTGTGTATGTGCGTGACTTTTGATTTTAGGTTGCAACCATTCAGATAATACATGACTTTTGGTTTACACCTTTTGAATAGGTTGCAACTATTAAGATGGTATATGACTTTTAGTTTGCAACTCTTAGAATAGGTTACAACTATTCAGAAGATATGTGACTTTTGATTTGCAACTTTTGAAAGTTTATAAATAGCGATAGTGCCACACATTCTAGATATATACTTTTCTGTTCTCTTTCTTGTGTTTTCTAGTCATAACAGTTTCAACGAGTGTTTAGGGAATTCGTTCAGTATTGCTAATTGTAGGAATTCAGACTTTGTTGTATCCCGGGAGTGTTTTGTTATAGAACCCGTTAGCAAACTCAATTTGAGTGGGGGCAAATAACACTTTAAGGAAAGTGAATACACGCCTCAAAGTCTGTATTTTGTTTAACATCAGTGTGCTTGAGAAGGTCTGGTTATCTTCAACAATTTCTGGATTAATTGCTTCAACAATCTTAAAGTGTTATTTGGATGGAGACTATATCAGACAATACTACGTTCAAGGTTATGGAATCAAGACTTTGTGAAGTTAGATCGATCTGATGGATCTAACTTTACCCGTTGGAAAGATAAATTAATGTTCCTACTCACTGTTCTTAAAATCTCATATGTTCTGGATCCAAATCTCCAACCATTCCCAGAGCCAACAGATAAAGATACAGAGAAAATGATTAAAGATAGGAAGAAACGAGATGAAGATGAATTGGTTTGCAGAGGTCACATTCTGAACACACTTTCAGACCGACTCTACGATCTTTATACTCCTATGAAGTCTCCTCGGGAAATTTGGAATGCACTAGAATTCAAGTACAAAACTGAGAAACTAGGTATGGATAAATTTTTAATATTTAAGTACTTTGAATTTTCAATGGTTGATAATCTGTCAGTTTTAGATCAAGTTCATGAATTACAAGTTCTAGTCACAAAGCTTCGGGAAGTGAAAATTGTACTTCCAGAATCCTTCCAAGCGGGGGCTATCATTTCAAAGTTGCGTCCTAGTTGGAATGATTATAGAAAGAAACTTCTGCATAAGACAGAAGAATTTACTTTGGAAGAAATACAGAAACATTTGCGAATTGAAGAAGAAACTCGAATTTGTGATAAGAAATATTATATTGAAGATTCTTCCAAAGTGAATTATGTGGATGGAAGCAAAATAAAGGGACATTCAAGAGGAATCATTCTTATAAGAATAAAAATCCTTCTGGACTATGTTTCCATTGTGGAAAGAAAGGACATTTTATTCGTGATTGCAGGTACAAAAAGTACGAAAAGAAAGAGAATGCCAATAATTCAAACAATGCTAATGTAATGGAAGAGAAAATTTCAAATCTTGTTGCTATGGTGTCTGAAATTCAAATTGGTATGATAACTAAATTGATCATGACAACAACAACTAAGTCTTCAGATTGGTGGCTTGATTCTGGGGCTACTATCTATGTTTGTAATGATAAATCACATTACAAAACTTATGAATCTGTAGATGATCAAGAAGTTCTGATGGGAAATCACAACTCTGCCAAAGTTTTGGGAAAAAGGGATTGTTGAAATTCAATTTACTTTAGGAAAGAAGTTGACATTGCAGAATGTTCTTCATGTCCTAGAAATTAGATAGAATCTTGTATCTGCAAATTTATTGTGTAAGAGTGGTATTAAAGCTGTGTTAGAGGCTGATAAGTTAATTCTGTCTAAGAACGAAATTTTTGTTGGGAAATATTATGCTTGTGATGGAGTGATTAAACTAAGTACTAATAAAATAAGTCATTCTGCTTATATTGTTTGTTCTTCTTCTATTTGGCATGCACGTTTAGCACATTTAAATTTTAGATCTTTAAAGTATATGTCAAAGCATGGTTTTATTTCTTGTAGTGATGATTGCAATGATAAATGTGAAATTTGTATTGAATCAAAAAAAGCCAATCGAAATTCACAACTATTAGAAATAATTCATTCTGACATTTGTGAATTAAATGGAAAATTAACTAGAGGAGGAAAAAGATATTTTATAACTTTTATTGATGATTGTTCTAGATTTACTTATGTATATCTAATGGCTAGTAAAGATCAAGCTTTTGACATGTTTAAACTATATAAGGCTGAGATTGAAAATCAAAAGGAAAAGAAAATAAAAATTCTTCGTAATGATAGGGGTAGTGAATATTTTTCTAATGATTTTTCTGCTTAGTGTGAAGAACATGGAATAATACATCAGAAAAGTGTACCTTACACTCCACAACAGAATGGTTTGGCTGAAAGAAAAAATAGGACACTTGTTGATATGGTTAATTCTATATTGTTGAATGCTAAATTACCTATAAATCTATGGGGTGAAGCTTTACTTACTGCTTCTCATGTGCATAATAGAATTCCATCTAAAAAAATACATATTTCACCTTATGAGATTTGGAAAGGAAGAAAACCAAACTTAGAATATCTTAGAGTGTGGGAGTGTTTAGCCTTTTATAGAATTCCTGATCCAAAAAGAACTAAATTAGGTCCAAGAGGAATAAAAAGTGTTTTTGTAGGTTATGCTGAAAATTCTAAATCCTATAGACTATTAGAATTACATTTTAATGTCATTGTTAAATATAGAGATGTTGAATTTATAGAAAATAAATTTTGTCATGATTTTTTATTTGAACCTATTCAAAGGAAATCTAATGA